AGCAACCACTTGCTTTTTACTTCAGTCGGTGACATCTGACCTAGTGTGTGAGCGTCGCCGCCTCAAGTTTTTGATGCTCTCTGAGGTTCAGAGCTGTATAGCGATACTGAGTGGATCTACCCTATCAATTGCAGGTGTTACGGTTAGGCTTTAAAGCCGGTTGTTATCACGAGTTATAATAAGTCAACTTAAACGGTCATATGTCAGTCTATTTACTGTCTACGGGTCTCTACGGGTCAACCGGCTCCACGGTCAATTGGAAATAACCGTTGAGCTCAAAAACCGATGTTCCACCGAAACTCGGGCCAATCCACCATCGGCAAACCGTATGGGTGTGCCTACGCTCCCACTACCGTTGAAAGGTGGGTGGGCCGGTAAGGTAGTTATTTGGGCGGGCGTTTCGCTACCATTAGACTGTACGGTACCAATAAGCTACCCGTCCCATACACAGGTATTAATAATCCGCAACATCAACACCATCATAATTCTACAAAAAGGGTATATTCACAGCCACGACAACGCTATACCTGGCTAATAGAAGGAACGATGCGGAAAACCACATCAGGCCAAGCTGCATTCACCGCCAGCCCTGATTTGAAGAGGTGTTGGAACTGCCGTGGTACGATCTCAAAGGAAATATTCTTGTCACCACTCCACTAACACCTCGACTTGACAGCCTTAAAGATTGCATGCGACAAGACCGTACCGTTCTGCCGTAACTGCAGAGACAAAGGGCGCAAGTGTTCAGGTTATGGGACGAGGCTATCATGGCCGCGCCAAGGCGATACCAGGCGCGGCGCCCATCCTAAAGGGATCTACACGATTCCCATAAGGTCACGACCCCGGCACTTTATTAACACCTCTTTCCAGGACATAGAAGCGTTCGAGAGCAAAGGTATGCGTGTTGAAGGATTCAAGATGGCGCTACTGGCCTAATGTATATCTGTATCAGGTTTGGGCCGTTACGACCCAGCAACGTTGAATCGTATCTGGTTCTCACAGCAGCCCCCAAACATCGCGAGATTGGACACCTTTCTCGCTGTTTATGGTAACCCATAGAATAATTACGACGCGTCTAGACGCATTGCAGGACAGCTAACGCAGACGACAGGCTACAGTTCCACTTCCCCCTTGGGCCCATCCAGCCACGATCCCAACGACCTCTGTAGCCTTCTTATAATGCTGTCACTCAAAGATGACAGTTTTCCCTCCTTAGCATCAAGATGCGCTATTAGCGCATTATCATATTATTATCTGGGGATGGAGATGGCAGCTGCTGTGAGCAAGACCAACGCACTCCGAGCGCTGCAAGCCTCCATTGAAGCTCCTGAGCTTTCACAGGCTATGCAGATGATGGCTGCCAGCATGCTATTATGCATCTTAGAGGTCAAGTATACCAAACTCTGCCAGTATCGGTCACAACTTGCTAACCGTGGCGCAGACTCTTGATTTCAACAGTCCAGCCCTCAGTTGGACCATATTCTTCTGTGGTACAAAACGAATTGCCAATCTTGTGACCGAAAAAGACGACACCTACTTTGGCGAGAAAGCATTACTCATGGATTGGATCTTCTACCACGACGTCATGTACAAGTTCAGCATCCGGCATTGGGACAATAAGAATGCCGACCAGATCGAGCTAGCGGGACAAAGGAAACTCATCTCGAAGGCCGTTTTTGCGCCTGAGCGACTCACTGTATGCTATCTTGTCCAACTCCGGACTTCTAGCTAACGAAGACCTAGGTAGTACCAATCCTGGGCTGCTCACTAGAATTGATGGATCTCATCTGCCAGGTAATTGATGTCGTGTTGGATCACAATGATGCTGGGTATCAATCCGAGTCGCACATGGCAATTATTAAATCTTTAGAGATCCGGCTACAGAATTTAGAGCAGCGGCACTCTGGCATATCCGAAATTGATTCAGGCGAGGCAGCTCACCAAGTTAGAGTCGCGGAAGTATTCCGCTTAGCGACACTGATATATCTTTTGCGACTGGCTAAGGGCGAGTCTGTGGGCCACAAGGCTTACAACCTGGCAGTAGCCAGTGCATTTGATGTCCTGGGACAATGTGTGTTCTGTGAACGCCCATGGCCAATGTTCATTATTGGACTCGAAGCACGTACAGATGAGCAGCGATCTATTATTTTGACGGTCTTCAGAGAATCTCTGCGGAGGCAACCACATGGTACAATGTCTCTTGCAGATCGCATGGTTCGTGACGCGTGGACACAGCAAGATCTTTGTAAGGATGAGATAGATCAGTTGGTATTGTATAGTCGTGTTGTTAACAGGAATCATGTCCCACCTTGCTTCACATAGTTACTCCATGAGCATTTATAATCATATTAGGAGGGAAATAGATGGTGTCTATTATTCTAAACCTACACAATTATTAAACGAGTTAACAAATGCTAAATCTATCGAAAATGCCTTGTTCGCCTGTGATACAAAACGAAGAGGAGGCCATGTACAAACTCTACGCCAGTATCAAAAAACACGGGCAAATGCAATATATAGCATGATAATACCTTCACCTTCTCAAGCACTGACCGGAACAACATCTCCAAAGAGCCTCTTGCGCTTTATAAGAAGGCCAGAGATCGTCAGAACACCACCGCCAATACAAACCAAAATAGACAACCTCTACATGGCTTACGCAATGGCCAAAATAGCATGTTCTCTCAGTTCCCCGCTGATTTCTTAGAAGATCTTGCTTTGAGCTCCCAAAACGGCGCTCTGGATATCCACAGCTGTGAAGCCTGTGTATTCTAGCACCTTAGCTAGGTTTGACATAACAGTGGATTGAAAGACTTGGCCAGCTATCACTAAAGAGATAACGATGCCGCCTATCTGTGCTATATTTTGTAATGCCAGTGCATCAGCTATGTGTTTCAGTGCTTTAAGAGTGGCTATAGGGCAGCTAAGCTGCAGGGTTAGGTTAGTAGTGGGAGGTCGAATCTAGACTAGGCGGCGCAGTAGACGTAGGCGATTATGGTTTGGAACGAGTTCTCTTAGATTAGAGCTTTCTTTAGAGTTAGTGGTTGTATAGTGGCACCTGGTATAGCTAACAAATCAACTTAGTATTTAATTATAGTCCTTATTTAAACCGCTTTAAGGCTGGCTAGTACGTCTACTTTATGGACTGCCTCTACTATCTTCTGGTCATTCATGCAAAGCCATCCTCTCCCGATAATTACCTGGGCCGACGGATAAGAGGACACATATTGCAGCTTTTCATTCAACAGAGGCTACTACTGACTTGCGGACTGTTCGGTCATAGGATACTCTGCTTGTTCATAGCTTAGCTCTTACAGCCTCTCTAATCCCCGCCACCGGTGGAGTCGACAGCATCCTCTAGTCTCCTGGCGGAATTCTTAGACGCCTCCGCGCTCAACCCAAACTACATCCAGGCTGGTATCAACTGCCTCATGAATCTCAGCACGAAAGACTGTGGTGGGCTAGAACAATATGACCTTCGTCGCTATGACATCGTGTTCAACTCCGGTTATGATGGCCACTAGGGAGCCGCCGAAGTTGTGAATATACCGACGTTGTGAATATACCGACGTTGTGAATATACTAATCTACTGTACATTATAATCGCAGCGACGTAAATCATTGTTATTTAACCCTCCCACCAAGCTCCTCCATTCGCTGGCAATCCCCTCAAATGCCTTCGCTATCCATGTATGCACATTGAACACTGCCCGAAAATCTGCAATGTCTCATCCTAGACAGTCGCGGTGCTCGAGACGATGTCGGCAATAGCAGGCTTGAAATTGACGTGGTGCATCGCAGGCGGCTTGGCAAGTACAGGCCCCAGAACCTCACCGACGGCGGCAAAGTCTGCCCCTGACACCTCGAACTGTCTGTGAGCCTCAATAGTATCCCAATCTAGACTGTTTGTCAGTCACGCGGCCATTAGAAGTGGTAGACCTGCTAATAGAACACGATGAGAAATTGGGACATACTCAAGAGCAGCTGCACGTTGTCCGGAGACTCTTCCCATCTCCCCCATGCGAGGTGTTGGAATCCAGGTTGGCGTTGCAATATGCGTAGGAAGTCGGACATAAGTTCCTCGATCACGGCTCCAGGCTGGAGCTGGAGCTGGACGACTTCGGTGATGGGTTGGGTCATGGTGAGTATCGGTGGATCTAATGATGGAAATGAGAGAAGGTATTAGTGGTGATTGAATATATAATTTTACCGTGAAAAAGACTGGGAATTAGGTTATATTATATATTAAGTGTCTCTTGTCTATCCTAATTCTTCAACCTACTGAACACAGCACGTTGTTACATTTTCTTAAACGCAGTAATCAGAATTTTAGGGTCTGATATTTGTCATCTCTATTCCTATCTCATTCTAAAGCATAGATTGGTAATGAAGTTTGGCCATGTAGAAAGTTCTGCGACTAAGCGAGCAGACAAGCAAAGTGGTAATTGCGGTTTGAGCCCACCTCAGCTCGATGAATCGTCGCTTTACGCCCGATCTGGAAAGTTCTACGGCCAAGCGCCTTTTATCTCATTCGTTGATTACCTAACGCGCTTAACAGTGGCAGCTTACAGAGTCTCATTCCTATTGGTGTATTCTTGAACAGGGGTCGCAAAAAACTGCCATGTCTGTTCTGCCACATATAATCAGCTAGCCATACCAGGTATGTGGCGCGAGAATATTGAAGACGGGACAGCCACCGACCTAGACCACAGTTCAAGCGCCTTTTATCTCATTCGTTAATTACCCAATGTGCTTACCAGTGGCGGCTTACAGAGCCTCACTCCTATTGGCATAGTCTTGAACAAGGGTCGCAAAAACCTGCCATGTCTGTTCTGCCATATATAATCAATCAGCCATCACGATGCTGAACTCATCTTATGACCTAATCGCAGCCACCACGCTAAACAGCACAATGTGAAAGGCATAAGAAAGGATATATATATGTCGTAACGTACGCATAGAACAAATATAATTTACCAACAATCATAGTACAATTCCCAGTACCTAATTACTACACAAATACAAAAATACAAACAATAACAACTTATTCTTTCACCCTATAAAATGTTGAGTATGAGGATTCTTTTAACAGGCGCAAATGGTTACATGTTCGTTATCCATCCTCTATCCTCTCAACACATGTCGACTGGTACTATCCATGCTAATTTGTCCTCGAGCACAGTGGAGGAGCAGTCCTAGATTCTCTTCTCGCCGATGACTTCATCACGGTGAATAAATCCAACGTCTCTGCCCTGACAAGAGCGAGTGGAGCTGCATCTGTGAAGGCTAAAGGTCTCGAGCCTATAATATTCAACAGCTTGGACGATACTGATGTCTTGGCTGAACTTGCCAGCCAACACGACGGTAAGAAGGCGTTGACATTGAATATATTTTCAAGTTCGATTGCTGACGTCTCGTAGTTGTCATCCACTGTGCTTCGGGCTTCCACACCCTCTCTGCACGAGCCTTGATATTAGGTCTTGCGCAGAGAAAGAAACAGACCGGCAACGACGTCTACTACATCCACGTAAGTTTCTCAGTCGCATACTACCGCGGGTCAACTGCTCACTCGCCTAAAAGACTTCTGGCACATCCAACATTGCCGATCGACCTATTTCCAAGACATTCTCTGAATTAAACTACCCTTTGTCTGACAAAGATGATATGTTCTCTTACCTGAAGAGCAGAGACTCGGCCGTTCCATACGCCCAGCGTACCAGCGATGTTGTTGTGACTGAGGTCGGCGTCGAGTATGGCGTCAAGACGTACATCCTGATGTCTCCCTCTCTTTACGGCATTAGCACAGATCCGCTTCACGAGTTCTGCCACACACCTATCCTGATCCGCAAGTCAATCCTCCTAGGCAACACTCCTGTTGTTGGTGATGGTGCTGGCAGTTGGGATAACCTTCACGTCCTGGACATGGCGCGCGCTTACAAGCTCGTTCTCTCGAAGATATTGAGCGGTGCAGGTGCAGACATTCCCCACGGCAAAGATGGGGTCTATTTTCTGCAAGATGGCCATCATACATGGCTTGAGCTTGCTCAAATGGTCGCAAAGGCTGGCGTGGAAGCTGGCGCTCTCAGGACCACCGAGCTCAAGCAACTTTCCCTGGAGGAAGCCACTAGAATATTAACTGGCGGCAAAAATCTCCTGGCCGAGATCGGCTGGGCTTCCAAGTATGTTCCCTACCAAAGCCTCTTGTATTTCGAGTAGAAGACTGCAGAATTTCGCTAATAACTTTACCTCTAGCGCTCGTACTTCAGGTGACAAGATCCGTGCACTAGGCTGGGCACCTCTGAGGAGTGCTGATTTTGAAACCCATGCCGCTCTAGACTGGGTAAATATCTTGGCAGATATCAAGGCCAAGGAGGCAGCTGCGAGCTCTACTAGATAGTCCTTCTGATTTACACGAGTTGCGTAGTTTAATGTCAGGGTCAAATCTCTAAATATACGTCCAGTTATCACGCCAAAGCGAGTAGATCTAATGGTTTTACTCTATGCAATTAGCCATGATCCCGAAATATATACTTACGCTACGCTGAAACTATATTACCTAAGGGTATGCTAGTCAGAAGACTGACGAGAAATTGACACGAAAACGATTCGTCGCCTCACCCCGCTCACCCTCAAGGAGGCAAGGGGCTCAGATTCCACACTATGCCTATTAGCACGATTAAGAGTCAAAAGCAAGTGGATTAAACCTTCCCTTTAAAGATAATCATTAGTAGTAAGCTCTAACTAGACAATAATATAGATTTAATAACTATAGCCCAATTATAGTTCCCTAGTTAAATAGATACTAGCTAGCTAGCTCTTTTAGAACCTATAATAACTATTATAGTTAAAATTACTCCTATTTAGAACCTAGTCTCATTAAAGTTGTATATATCCTTATCTAGGATTATATATTTAGTAATAACATTCTATATAAGCTAAAACTAGTCTTAAATAACTATAGGATACTTATATTTAGCATACTAGTAATTATACTTATAGTTATACTTTAATTAAAGGGAAGTATAGTACTATATAAAGGTATAGACCTAGTTTTTACTAACTATTAGAGACTTGTTATAGTCTATATTCAACTGTTTTTAGAGGAGTAGATTTACTATTTACTAGATAGAACTCCTTCTAACTAGTAAGCCCTATTTATCTATTAACAATATCTACTTAATAAGAGCTTCCTCCTCTATAGGCAAGAGTTTAGAGTTTATAGCCTATAAACCCCTCTATGTACATCCTCCGTTAACATAATATTAAAGAGTTAAGGTAGGGATATTATATGCATTTATAGCTGCCTATAAACTTAAAAACTAGCTATCTTTATACACCTAGAGTATAAGAGTAATTTACTGCTCTTTATAAGCTAATTAGACCTCTATTAGGTAAGATATATAGAGTTAAAGGAAGGGAGATACATAAAAAATAGTAGGGCGTGTATAAGTTGCCTATAAAGTACATTATAACGTAATGCATAAGTAAGCTAATAATATAAGCAAGTTAATAATTCCTCCTAAAAACTACCTATAACCTATCTATATTATTATAAACTAACTAAACTAGCCCTTATAAAACTATACTAAGTAGAACAAGACCTCTCTAGGCATTTATAAGCATTATGCTCTAGTGATTTACATATACTACACTTATTTAGTACATATATTCATAGTTCTTATAGGTGATCTATAATTACCACCTCTAGTCCTACTAGCCCTATAATTGCTATTTTAGAGCATTATAGGCCCTCTTAAACTAATAGGACTCCTCCTATAGCTATATACAACTTCCTTTTTATCTTCTTCTTTTTCTATCTAGTGTTCTTAGACTATAATAGCTAATTCTCCTCTATAAGAAGAATAGTGTTATTTATTACCATTTAATAACCCTTAACTAACTAATTAAGTATAAGGTCTATAGGGCTTAGTAGGCTCTATGTATAACGCAAAATATACTCCTTAATTGTCTTTGTTTAATGCTCTAGCTGTTAAATATTATAAGGCGTCTTAGGATTCTAAGGACTTAAGGCTACTAGATGGTTTATAGGTAGAGTTAGCATCTATAAAGTAACATAGAGCTTTTTAAGTACATGATTAGGATCGTGTAGAATAAGGCTAGTAGCTGTAAATCTACTTTAAATGTTACGTAGAATTAAAGTCTCTTATTAGGTTTCGTTATATGCTATAAGAAAGTTAGGCTTATTAATATGGTTTAGGCTAACTTACATATAGCCCTTAATTTGCTATCTATAAGCTTGTTTTATAGCTGTAAAACAACTAATATCTAGAGGCCGTAAAAAATGCAAGGAATGTAGTGGCATATAGAGTGTAATAATCAAATGTTATATATAGAATAAGTCAAATTCTAGTGTATTATGGCTTCTATGGCCGTCTAGTATTAAGAGCCTGTATTTTCTAGTTGTACGTCTTTTGTATGCTTCTTAAACACGTCCGTAAGCCACGTAAGTCTAAGGATATCATTTGTCTAGCTATATAGTAATAGGTCGTCTAGCTCTTTTAGACCTTGTTATCACCTTTGCAGTTGTAATAACTCCCATCTAGAAATCCGTCCCATCAAAGTTATAAATGTCTACATCTGTAATACCATACTTTGCTTGAATATTATGTACAAGTCGAAACCAATTGCGAATAATTGTAGGATCTTCACATAGAGCTCGTTAGTAATCGTATTTACGGTTGAATCGCGATTTTAGGGTGGTTTCTTGGCGTTGTACAAAGTTACGGACCTAATTGCAGCTAACTGTAAGATCTGTAGAATCTGTAACTTAATCTGTAACGCGTTTTTAGAGGAGTAAATTAGCCATTTGTCGTAAAGTATTAACTCGAGGTGATAGGCCACGTTTATCCATAGATACTATCCATTAGACTAGGCTAGACTCTTCGTTTTGAGTAAGTTTGAGGTTTGCGGAACGTAAGTCGTGTCGCGCGACGCGTCCATGAAGTCGATTATGGGTAGTTGCATAAGGGACATCGTACGCATCTGTAGCAGCTTTTAGACTTCGAAATTGCCCTTTCTGGTAAGCCTGAATAGCTAGGGCAATTCGACCTTCGTTTTAAGCTAATTGAGGGCTTTTTCGTGGAGGCATTATCACTAGAGCAGTAGGCTTCGCGTAGGTTACGGGTGGAGCATGTAGGTTGTGACTGTCGTTCAAGTGAATCTACGAAAGTGATTAAGTAGCTAATTCTAACAAAGCAGTGCACTAATCATGATGCAAAGTTGACTACTGCTTCTCAGCTGAACTGTCATCAACAATCTCCGTTGATGACGATTTTGTAGTTTGCTTCTCGCCTGGTGTAGTAATTCCATCGACGGAGTCATCCAAGATATTACCAGGTGCCTTCATATTGCGACGTTGTTTCCAGCTAATATTTGGAGTGTCAAATATCTGAGCGATCTGTTCAAGAGTGTATCCACGGGTCTCAACAATGAAGTGCCAGACGAAGAGGAGCTGAGTAGACAAACGCTCAAGTTAGCAGATGTAGATAAACAGACGTTTCACAATTGAACTTCTGAGAAAATTCGGGTTGTGAAACGAACTGAGAAATACGTACCTCAAGAATTGTGTATACAATATACGCAATGTAGTACTTCCAGCCAATGTTTTTAAGACCGATTGGATTGACAAAGGTACCGAAGAAACCGAAGGCGTGCATGACTCCACTTTGAAATGTGATGCCTCGGGCTCGGGTCTCAAATGGAAGAAGCTCGCTCGCATAAGAGTACAATGGGGTCCATCCAATATCGTAAAAACCATGGCACAGGAATATGGCGACAAGGACTCCGATAGCGTAGCTGCTAGTTCCATGAGTGGTATACACTAATAAGAGTTTATGGTTAGCGTATAAGAATATGGAGGGTGGGATGGAGTTACATACATGCTGCCAATGTGGTCCAAATGATGAAGGAAACTAGCATTCCAGCAGTCGAAATGATAAACAAAGGACGACGTCCAACCTTCTCGACATACAATGAGGCGACAACGGCAATGACAAAATTATAGATTGAAAGACATCCGTTGATAGTGGTTTTCGTTGTGACTCCAGTTATGCCGATGCTGTTGAGAATTGAATTGAGATAGTATTGGACAAGACCATTGCCAGAGATCTATAAGTGTCAGAATTGGATTGAAGACAGAACAAATGATTTGAAAATACCTCAATAAAAACTCCACAGAAGAACACAAGTAAAAGACGCCTACGATTTGGAGCGGTTCGCACCAAATCCTTCCAACTTCCCTTTTGTTTATGATTTGCGTCTTCGATAACGGCATCCTTGATTTCGGCATACTCTAATTCGACCAAAGAATCAAGCGAATCTCCATTTGCATGATACTTTGCCAATATCGCCTTTGCTTCACTTCCGCGACCTTTCGAGACAAGCCAGCGAGGACTCTCAGGGACGAAGAAAATGCCGACAATCTGGATAATGGCCGGAAAAGCCTGGAGCACACTTGGAATTCTCCAAGCCCAAGAATTTGGAATGTTCCTGGTGCCAAACGTGACCCATGCAGCAATTATAGCACCAATAAACCAGACGGTACCGAAATATGAGATTATTGAGCCGCGATGTCTCGGAGCCGCTAATTCCACAATCAAAAGTGGAGAGGCCACTACGGTGTATGCAAGACCCCATCCGATGAGGAGTCGAGCGATGATAAACTGAGGAATGTGTTTAGAAGAAGCTTGCAGAATAGCACCAACGATTGTCCATGATGCACCAAAGGCGATAGCACGGCGACGACCAAACCTATCAACAAGCCACGTAATAAACGGCAGTGCAACCATTGCTCCAACTGTCTGAATAGAGTTGAGCAGACCTAGAATAGGACCAGTGGGATAATTGAACTCTGCAAGCGCTTGTTAGCTAAGAGCTCAAAAAGCGGAGGGACTAGCAGATATTCAAATTCGTAATAATTACCTTTCTGCCATGGTGGCAAGAGCTGCAATCCATTCATAATCATGCCATCGAATCCTTGATAAGAACTGCTCAGGAGCGGAATCAAAAGAAGGAAGTACAGCGTCCTCAATCCTTTATCGTGTATCCAACCCGGAGACCAAGACTTTCCAGCCATGATAGCCGAAGATGTCCGATGAGTGTACTTGTATTTAATGATATATAAGGCCAGTAGCGAGAGTGAACAAGCTTGCTCTAGGGATAGCAGTGCCTATGATCTCAAAAGACCAAACAAGAAGGCGACTTGCTTTCTTTTATGTATCGACTACATCTTATCTCTGAAGATGCGATACACTGATCAAAAACCTCGCTGGTGAAAATGAGGCTATGTCAAATTTGAACGCCATGAAGGCCATGAAAGCACATCTTCGGGACAGTAAAAGACGAATTGCGCCTCCTGTACTGATCCGATGGTTGCATAATGCTTGGATTGTGGGGAAATGTTGCCAATGTTCTGTGTTCCAACTTCATTCTTCATAAGATTGGTGATAAGAACATAAAATTAGCCTTGGTGTCATTTTTGTGGTCATTGGATGTGTGGATGCCTCATTCGTCGCTAACGTTAGAGGCGTGTTGCGCTCGGAGTTTGATGGTCGTCATTGACGGCAAGCGAGATAGTTGCTGCCGACGGAAGTTCCTGGTCGTTCTGCATATAGTAGTATCCCGATCGCACCAGTGACAGCGGAACTCTACCTACATACATACAATTATTCTCGGAGTTCGATGCAGAAGCCGCTCCCGGTAACTTTGATGCTTTGTTGGTAGAGTCGATTCCATTCGCTTCTTCGAAAATGTAGTTCTCTCTCATGGTGTCGATCGATACTAGCTTCGTCAGAATTGTTATTCATGCTGTCTTGTAATTCGAAATCAAATAAACACTGTTCGCAAAGTGAACGTTCCTACCCTTGACGTTACTTATTTCAAGCTCGTCGGTTCTCTTGCCTTGATGTCACGAGTTCGTTAGATTCGAAATGGGCTTCGAGCCCGTTACAGCAACGGCTTATCAAATTGCGCATCTGGGCGGTTTGGTTCTTGGGCGAACCATTGTACCTGCAGTCTATCATCAAACACGGCCGATGGCGCCCTCTGATAATCAGGGCTCGATACGAGTTGACTATCCACTTTCTCCAGGTGCATATACGGCCAAACAGTTGGTTGCAGCGGTATCGCCACTCTTGGAGACTGTTGTTTGTGCTCTTGGTCAAAGCAGCCCTCCAGAAGATTCTCCTCTTGAGACCCTGCTCGGCGGACTTACAGCAATCCTCTCTACCTCTGGAAGAGTCTCATCACTTCCCTTATCCTACGGGGCATCCGATACATCACGAAGAGAAATTGCAGGACAGGCTCAAATCATTGGAACGGTTTTGGTTCAACATGCTCGAGATGCTTTCAGTCTCGAAAAGGCCGATGCAAATTTCAGAATACGAAGCCCTTGTGAAGGTCATCTATGGACATCGGCGGTGGTTTCTCTTCTTATGGGTTCGAGGAGCAATCGTTACTTAATGGAGTTATACAACGAATGGCTTCATCAGATGATTCTTCTTCGAGACCTGCTTTTGCCCTTCGAGAATTATGACGAAGTGCCCTTGATAATCACAACAAAAGCCAAAAAGGGGCTTCGAGGAGCTGAAGAGCCACGAAAGAGGTTCCTCTTGCAATGTCTCACTGGCGCAACCCCTTACTTGGCAATTGTCAATCTTGCCAAAACCTTTACAGCGCCAGATCTTCTAAGTGGTGGCTACGGATTCCAATACTCGCAAGGATTGGTCCTTCCAGCATTTCTTTCGGGATCCCGATCTTGCTACCTTCTTCGCTATCATCCAGCGCGACTTGAAGACACTAGCAGCAACCTGCTTTTCGACTATGAGCATCAAAACTACTATACTGCTCCCCAAAACAATATTTCTGAGCCTGAAACAGTTGTAGCTCCTGGAGCTTGGCCTCCACCATCACTTTTCGCTCTCAAACCACAAAGCACGAAATGCTCACTCGAGGTCAATGCTGGTAGCGATTCCACCAGACGCATTCTCAAGTTGCAGGTGGATATAGACCGCGGCACATTGGTTTCCGTCGATATTGGTCAAATTTCTCGGGGCCAACGTTACGTTCATCATATCAACTTATCCACGAGACCAATTTCGAGTCACGAAGGCCCAAACGGTACTATATCCAATGGTGAAAACAAGACTTCTTCGAAGAAAGACCAAACAGAACGTAGCGTTTTCGAGAGTCGGTTCACCAGAAAATCACCTGAATTATCAGAGAGTCGACCGAAATCAGCTTCGAATATACATGTCTTCCTCCATAAAGCGTCTAATATTCTTTCGCAGCCTGGGCTTGTCACTTTATTATCCCACAAACCTAGCTCTGATAGTCTGACGAACGACGCAAATTCGATCCATATCATCCCAGCAAAAAACCAAGTAATCGGGTTTGCACTTCTTGGAAAATTGTACCCGGAGAATGTAGTGCTCCTAAACGAGAACCAGGCACCTGAGACCGCAAATATCGTAGGGAAGAACTTTGGTGCTCGCTTTGTCATAATGAATTTTGAAAATCATCGTCCTCCTCTTAGTAATGATGATATAACTTAAAGGTACATTGAAAATCAGATTATGTATAGTCTGAAGAATAAGTTGTTTGATGGATCCGGGTGGTGTGTGTGTGGTTCTTAGGTGCATGGAAGATTTCATGGATGGAGCCATTGGAACCTATTCTTTGTTTGAACACATATATCAAGACTTGATATTCTATTATTTTTATAGCCTTGGTATAATTCAATTCTATTCTCTTCGAAATAAGTAACTAGGGTATCTTCACTGACAGGTACTAGGAACAGTCTCCACAGTTTCTCGTTATTCTAATTTCACTGACATTGTACAGGATCTCGTCTGTGTTCATATTCTCTGTTTAAATAGCTGGGTCAAAATCGACAGATATTACCCTCATCTCCTTCGGTCAATACAGTGCATCAAAAGCCTTGTGAATTCATGCGAATTTGTCAGGTGGATCTCATAGAAACTCGTTCTGGTAGCACCCGATAACATGCCATCACCGCTGAGATCCCATTCGCTGCCATTGACAGTACTTTCTTTCCATCCATTTCCGCTGAAGTTCATACTCGCTGTTCTATTTGCTTGCCAACCACCTTGGAGTTCTTCCTCAAGAGCTGATTTCCACTCCGCCGCAGAATTTGCCTTCCAGATCTTCTCTGGGGCTGGCAACGGAAGGTCCATAACGAGGTCGTCGTCAAGCTCCTCATAAAAGTATGGGTTTTGTTTCTCGGTTCGGCAAGCGATGACATTGATAATGTGAATAAGGAAGAAAGTTCGTCGCACTGTCTCTGTAGAAATCCACTTCTCCCAAACTGGTTCGGAGTAGTCGCTATCATCATAAGATGAGCGTAGTTGTGGCATATATGAAGCAACAAATCGGCGGGCCATCCTAAGGAAGAAGGGTTGTTGCAATTCGGCAAAACGAGCGGAATCCGGGCTCGAGTCATCAAAAAACCCCATAATCTGATAGACGCAGATGGCATGCACAGTAGCTATCATTTCAAGCTCAGACTCCCTCAACAGGCGGAATCCTTTCAAAAGCTGATCCCTTTCAGCATTCATCAAAGAATGAACAAAACCTTTGCCACTTGGAAATGCCGCATTCAAGGCGGCCACAAAACAAAATGCAATAGCTAATGGCTTCAGCACATCCCCTTCTTCGCAACGATAGAGCCTGTGGTGTACGAATGGTGGGTATTTCCCACCAGGTCGAGCCATCATTTGAGGGAATTCCAAAAGCATCTTAGCCAGATCTTTATTTGAATTCATCTGGTAAGATATGCCATTAACAGGATATGATGTGAATTCACTTCCTTGATCCAATGTAGAAACTTCCAGATCCCGATCTTGGGCATCTTTGCCGATATTAATAGGAACGACGGGAGTGATTCTTGAAGGCCCGTTGAGGACGACTAACGACGGTTCATCTTCAGATACTCTATCCGCATATTCAAGCGTTTCAGGCCGAAGTGGCGGCTTCCAGGCTGGAGTGTCAAAACTTGATCCAGGACATTCCGTAGCTATCTTTTGAAACGCATTCGAAGTAGTATGGCTTCCCGGTATACCAAAAGATCCCATAAGATTAAAACCGAAATCGCGTGATGGTTCGATGGACAAGTTTGTCACGGAATTGCCCCAATCATGTTCACTCGTGGACTGAAAGTTCGCCACATTCGAATTCAGCCATTGGCTATTAAATCCTTCCAATAAAGCAGTCGTGTCATTGATTTGAAACAGAGATTGAGCACTTGAAAGTTGATACCCTGGAGAGAGAGCCATGGTACTTGTCTCCGCCAGAGCTACTTCTAAAACCGGATCAGAATCCAAGAAATGCTGAAAATTCTCGATATTGACCCGTGTTCTGGTTAACTCTTTCTCCATGATGTGACCAGACGATATATCTGATGATTGAGCTGCACTGCTATTCATACTTTCATCTCGCCTAGGAGACTCGCTCAACTTGCTGTATGGCGGCCGTAGGCTAGATGTCGCCGTATTTTCAGCAGTTCGATCACATGACAACGACATAATTGTGGCCGCCCGGGCATCGTCAACGGGAAGATGGGTATGCAGACTCGAATACGCTTGATTTTGGACGTCTTTTTCCTTTGCGGAAGAGTTCTCGAGAGCTGAAGTTGTTTGGTCACTTGCATCTGAAAGGTTCTCCAAATCGCCGGCAGGTTTCTTCTCTTCCCGCTTACCAGTCGTGGAAGCATATTCGCAGCTTATTTTTCGAATGGTACACCGAGAGCAAGATGGAAGCCTCATATCACAACTCAGCTTAGAAGTTGCGCAAGAGCAACAAGATTTCTGTTTCGACTTTCGCGGGTTCGAGATTGAACGAATACATCGGCGCTTATGTCGATTCCGTAGATCTCCTATGAGGAGTAAGTGAGATGTGATGGGCAGCCCATCTGAGGAAAGCTATTCCATTAACCAGAAAATACCTACTTCGATCAAAATTCTTGCCACAAATCCCACAAGTGTACGATTCTCTTTCGGGGGGGAGAGTAGAGTCCGGCATAAGGTTGGTCGTTTATGGTACTCCCAATACCACATGTAAATCGTGAACGCGTGAAGGTGAAGGTGAAGGTGAACATCTGTTTCAGTAACTTAGGCGAAGCTGCACCAACGACGGACGAATTCTGAATTATTGGGATAAAACGTGATCTTTCTTTCGTAATTTCGGTAATTTTGGTAAATGTCATCTATCTTTCGTTGAGCCATCATGTAATAAAGCTATGCAAATTCGATTATTTAAAAAAACAAGAAGAAAAGGCAGGTACTTCAAAAGCGCTACTGATGTTGCTGGGGCGATTGTGCAATAAGATGCGATATGTGGCTTGAGATACGTTGGCCAAACTTATGGTATCTCCTCCGTGGGTAGCACGGATGGGTAAGATTAGCACGAATGGGTAGCGCGGACAGCAGAGACCGCGGTTACCCGTTATCGTATCAGCAGTTCATGCCGTTTGGGGGAACGGTGTCTCGTTGTGGCCTTTGTCGACAAGAGCTTCTGACATCGATTTAGAGTACTTTGTTCACTCGAGATGTATATACGTCTTATCTAGTGTTTACTATCACTAACTTATATATCGGGCGACACTGGCTTTTGCGCATACACAAAATTGAGCTTTGGCTCATAACCAAATGTCTTGATCTCTGTCTCCAAGCTATCCAAGAACTCATGAAACTCTTTCGCATCCTTCGCAACGCCCGGAATCCCACCCTCTGTACCCCAATCAGCATCACTGTCAAGTAGAGAACAAATAATAATATCTTACCAGCAGGAATCTTCGTGTCCAAACTACGGAAACACTCCACCCACAACTCAGCGCTTACGTCACGCTGCGCCGCACTTCGGGCCTTTGCACCATAGCCATGTGCAAACTGGACCTTTGTCACATTTGTGAAGTTTGCTTCCTTCAGCAAATTGCCAAGCTTGTAGGCGATGTCAATATCCATTCCGAAACTCGCGGTTGACCATTTCTGCATCAATGCCTGTTTGTGCAGTTGTGGTAGCGTGGCTGGGTTCGCGGGATCGATGAATTCGATCTCAACAAGCTGTATGTAGCCACCTGGTTTGAGAATTGTGTAGAGATTGCGGAGGACTTGGGACCATTGGGATAGCTTAAGGCCCCAGACAAGAAGACGTTGATGTATGACATCGAAGGAGTCGTTCCATTCCCAGGAAGCAGGGAAAGGCGTGGTGATATTGTGCGGGCGCAGATCGATGTTGGAGTGCTGAGGAAACAGATCAGATCCGATATCGACGCCGTGACGATCGAACTTTATCTGGGGATAGAGGATTTCGAGATCTTTGAGCCACGTGCCTTGGACGATCAGTAAATATCTGTAATATAATGGGCTCTTGTGACATCTCACGACTTACCATCGGCGCAGCCACAATCAAGAACACGAAGCTCCTTAGCACCAGAAGTTATTGGACTGGCGAGCTGCAAATTTTCAGTCGTGCTTCGCATGAATAAATGCTGCTTCGTCAATCTGTCGATTTCTTTGGCATGGTGAGGGAGCATGTAGACTCCCTCAGTGCCCCTAAAAGCGTTGCTTTTGAGAATCGTTTTCGAAGCTGTATTCTCGTATGGAGGGTAAGTGAGTGTTTCTGAAGCCATCTTGGAGAGCTTGATCAATAACAAAAGAAGTCCTAGATGCTGTGGACGAAGAGTATATCACGTGACGTGACAATGTGTTGATTGGGAATATATATTTCAGGAATTCAAGTCACTGTGTTTACTGTAAGCATCGAAGAAGATATAACACATACTTATAAACTACGCGGCGAGATATAATTTTAGTAGTGGGATGTAGGACGGAGATATTTAGTCTTGGCTCCTGATGCATTCCTGGCGGTTTCCTTCTTGTTGTCGCTTATTCCAATAGCTACTCTAGAGTTGTAGTCACATCATCGGTCGGAGTTGACATGACTATTTATTCGAAGGTCGAAGCGTAATCGTCGGACTTTAGTTGTTCGAGGTTATGCAATGTCGTCGCTTAATTTACTACGTAGATTGAACAGTGAGGTACAAACGGAACATATCGAGTATAGCAAGAAACAACCGTACCATCCAACTCCATGTCTCACCGATTAATCTAAATCGGAGAAATGAGGAGGTGATGGAGATTGGCAAAAGTGCATCGGCACACCTATGTAATTAATATAGCAACAGCATTGTTTACAGTCTGTGCTCTGGCTCTGCTCCTATCATCTGTACCACATCCACGATATCTTCTGTTGTTTGTATATACTCTACCAGCCTAAGTTCCTCTACTTCTTCTTCCCAAAACCCGTTCGCCAATTCTTCCAAGTGTCACTGCTTGTTAGAGTGTCTTAATCTCACATATTGAGTGAATAGAGTAGGTCTTCATTAACTTGTAGTATTTGCTACTCCGTCCAGCATTACTCGTCATAATTTATTCATCGTGCTGACCTAATATTTTGACCATGATAGGAAGCTTTCATCGAATCGCACGACTTGCAAGCTGTCTCGGAGGCATTATTGCTGGTCAATTCGCTACACCCATAACCAGTACCACTGCATCTGGGGCAACAAGATCATTCATGTCTTCCAGCAACCAGATATATCGGGCGCAGACGACAGAATGGGATCTTCCTGAAGGTGTCTTCACACCATCTGAGATTATAACCGGTGTTACTCCTCTCCTTTTGACCGTTCTGTCAAAGCTTGGAAATGATCCGCAGGGACATCCATCCTCGAAGAAGCTTCTGCTTGATAATTTGGCGAATTCTTTGTCGACCAATTCCCGGGAGTCCACTATGCCTATCAAGGACACCCAAGGAGAACCGTCTCGACAGGAAATTCAAGCTCAGGCAAACAAGATTGGAATTTACCTTGTTGAACAAGCTCGGAAACTGGACTTGGAAAATCCAAACTTGAACATCGATATTCGCAGTCCTTGTGAAGGTCATTTGTGGACGCGTGCTGTTGCGAACCTTCTTATGGGACGACGGAGCAATGGCCAGCTTATGCAACTATTCAATGAGTATCTACATCAAATGGTTCTATTGCGCGACGCTCTTCTTCCTTTCGAGAATTATCAAGATGTTCGGTTCCAGATTCAAAAGTCAAAATCCGGCCCTGGTCTAAGGAAGTTTGAGAAAGCTCGCTCTGCATTGCTCGTGGAATGCTTAACACGAGCTGTCTCGCAGAAGACTCTGGTTGAAGTTGCCAAGGCGTTCACTGCCCCAGATCTTCCTACTGGCGGTTATGGTTTCCAGTACTCCAGCTTTGTCGTCCTTCCAGCCTTTCTGTTCGGGTCTTCATCCATTCGCCTACTCAGGATCTACCCAACTCAGATAGAGGAATCAGAAAACCCAATCTTGTTTGACTACGAGTATCCTGATTATTACACTGCTCAAAGAACCGAGATCTCCCAGGATATCGATGTGATCACCAGCCAAACCTCCTTTGGAACTTCTGTCGGTACAAAGTACTCACTCGCTGTCGAGAATTCTTCGAAATCTCCAGACAATAGGGGACTGCTCAAGCTGCGGTTGAATGTCCCTGAGGGCAGCTGTTTGTCAGTTGATGTAGGCCAGGTTGCGCGTGGATGGCGCTTTAGTACACATTTACAACACGCGCCCGGAAATACTCAAACGAGTGCACCGCCCATTGGGGAAATAACAAGTATTGTCCACAAAATAAATAACGTCCTGGATCTGCCGGGACTTGTCTCTTCGACTGATGCCGATACTCACATTTTATTTGCCACAAACTCCCTCATCCGGCTCGCATTGCTAGGAAAGCTCTATCCCCATAATGTATTCTTGGCTGAAGGCAAGGAGGGTATAGCGGAGGCGGAATCGTTTCCTGAGATGTTCGGGGGGCGATTTGTTATCATTGGAGGAAAGTTTAAGGAGTCTTTGGATTTCGCTCAGTTGGTGAAGGGGGAGTTGAAAGAGACTGTTTGAGATGGCTAAAATTTGCTTTAAATTTTGCTGCGGTAGTAGTAAACGTTAATTCTTTGAGAGTTAAGATGCAAGACTGACTACCTATACAAATATTTCTATTGGCCCCTCTGGTTGAACCTTGAATGTGTGTGGGTGCTTATAGCTGCAAGTGCGAGTCAAGTTTCAATAGTCAGACAGTGTACAATCTCTTTTTCTGAATACCATGCTTTCAGTTTGAATATCAATTATTCTGAATGTCAATTATTCATGCAATTCAAATATGTTCCAGTCCACGGGCCAATGTTGACCATTCGCCAATGGTCCAGTCCATTAGTGAATGGCCAAGGCCACCCGCCAATGCCAGTAGATTAATAATAAGTAGGAAGACTGACACCGACTGTGATACCAATACTGACTGTGATACTGGCACCCGATGTGATACTGACATACTGATACAGGCTGTAAAGTGATTTCATCTATGCTATATTACCAGCTGTATCTGCCCTTGCACGCTATTTCCGTGTCTACACCTTCTCGACCAAAGCCAGCTCTGTACGTGTAGCCAAACCTGATAAGTTCCCGCAGTCATGATCGTCTCTATGGCAGTGTACGCTGCACTGCTTATTCTCCTTATAACACCTACATCTCTTCGTATCACAAGATCCCTTACATTGGCATGATACCCCTACTCGAGAGCTTGTAGAAGCATCACTTGCAGCCTGCCCAAGCGTGACCTCTTGTTCCGAATCTGGGATAACGGTGTCTGCCCATAGAGACCGCACTACAGCTCCCAGCTGCTTCGTTGGTATAAGACGTTTTATAATACCTGATACTGTTATAACTTTATATCTGTGGGAGTAGGGTTCATCCAATATGCGTGCAAATAGGCGTCTATTATCAGTCAATGTCCTATCCTCTTGAGGGACCTTCAATGTGACTATATATCCCGTATCAAAGTGCTGGGTATCGTTCCTCTTTGTGTATTTGCGTGCCATCAGGGCCCTTGCTTTTTGCGTACACTTTTGAGCATTTTGAATTATTGGATCGGCTGGTTGTACAGTGATGGTTTCAAGGTCGGAATCATGCTCGCTCTCACGGTCGGCATCAGTATGCTCGCTCTCGCTGTCATACTCGCTTTCACTCTCACTTTGGTGCTTGCTCCGATGCTCGATCTGGCGCTGACTCCTACGCAACTGGCTCTCACGCAACTGGCTGTTCTCACGCAAGTTGTGGCACTGACTCCGGAGCTGAGAATCAATGTGAGACTCGTTTTGGGCACGATCCTCAAGCTCCAGCTCTAGCTGGAACCATTCATCGACAGGAGGAGCTGGCATACTGTATACCAGAGCCTGCATTGCATCCTCTTGAGGGACTCCGATAGTAAGATCCTTTTGTGCCTGGCTACTTAGCCAGCCCGTGTATAATGTGCGTTCTCTGAATAGTAGTTCTGCTGGTACACATCCAGTATTTTTGCCTGTTCTGGCCAGCGTGACCTCCAATAGACCATCAGCCCACTCAGTTGACCCGTTATCCATTTTCCAAGCCCGTAACTTGGCCTCCACAACTCCGTTAGCCTGCTCGACCAAGCCTTGCGTCTGCGGTGAGCGGGGCGCTCCATTGATAACTTGGATTCCATATTTCCGGTGTAGAATCAAGAGAGCCCCTTTGAATTCCTTCCCGTTATCTGCATGCATGATCTTTGGAGGCAGGAACGCTGCAATGAAAAGAGCAAAGGCGTCCGCAATAGGCTCTGCATTCTTGCATTTCAACGGATATAGCTGCGTGTATTTGTTGAAGTGATCTTTTATATGTAATATCTGCTTGGACTGTCTTGAAGGCTCATGCTGCATATCGATGAGGTCGATCTGTACCCTTTCCCATGCACGTCCAGTAATAATGGGAACCAGCGGCGCTTTTGTTGCAGAAGGTCCATTCAAAGTACAGTTCTTACATAGCTTCAACGCAAAGATCACCTCTTGACAGTTGGTTCCGTAGTACTTCTTCTGAATAGCTGCCCACACCTTGTCTCGGCCGGCGTGCAGAAGCTGTAGATGCTCATTGATAATGGGGTCGAGGGCTTCGCTTTCTGGAACTACATATCTTGGTTCCTTATATTTATCATCAGCGTTTCGATAAAGCCGTCTGTTGGTGAGGTATAATTCCGTAAGGGGATGGTGCTTTAAGTTCGATTCAGCGGGAGTCTTCGGCTTCAAGGTTGGGTTGTCGATGAATATATGCATCTATCGCCATTTTGCATGTGGAAGCCGCTCACGGTTGTTGTATTTTGGGGCCTGGATATAAGCCTGGAATGCAGTACGCACATCATTTGGAAATAAGTTGATAGAAGTAATAACATGTGCTTCCATTATAACGGTTATGTGTTACAGTTATAGACAGTCAAACATTGGGAGGACGACAGAATAGTTATGTGAATAGTTATGTGAAAATCTCGCACAGCGCTCATTGGCGACTGGTAGGCCACCCGCCAATGTGAGAATGCATTGGCCAACGGTCCATTCGACTGGCCAATGTTCGTATGGGCGGGTGGCTTAGGCCATTCACCAGTGGACTGGACCATTGTCGAATGGTCAACATTGGCCGGTGGACTAGAAAAAATACGTTCTATTCAACAAAAACTTGATCTGTCTGAAATGTTCTCATGTCGCTGTTCTTTTCCTCCCCAGGAGTTTCCAAAGCACACTCTAGCTAGTCTTTGCAACCACATTCTTATCCTCAAGCGCCTCAACAAAGGCCAAAAAACTGTCAATCACACGGAGGGCCTGTTCTCCAGACAAACGTGGATCGCACAAGGAGTTATAATTTTCCATTAATAACCCCTCATCACCGGGTGCTGGGTAGCGGTCTACACATTCCGACACCGCCTCTCCCGTCTGCTCCAGGTGCAAGCCGCCTAGGAAGCACCCTGTTTCCCGCAAAACAGCGTATGAAAGCGTGGCCTCGTCGATTATATCTTTCAGGACCCGTGTCTTGACCGCGCCGCCAACTACAACTGTGTTGCCGTGGCAGGGGTCGCAGACCCAGACTGGGCTGAGGCCGGAGTCTCGGACGGCTTGTGCTAAGCGGGGAAGGACGTCGACGACGTTTTTGCTGCCGAGGCGCGTGATTATTGCGATGCGTTTTGAATCCCACTTGTTGAGACTGAGCCGGTTGAGGACAGCGACAAGTTCTTCGGGCTGCGTTGTGGGCCCGATCTTGACGCCGATGGGATTCCGGAGGCCACGCAGATACTCTATGTGTGCGCCTTCAAGCTGGCGTGTTCGCTCACCAACCCAAACGAAAGCCGCGGAGTGATTATAATCTTCGTGCGTCAGTGCGGACTCGTAGGGCAAGTGAAGTGCTTCGTGCGCGGTGAAAAACGGGAAGCTAGAGATGGTCGATTTCCGCCTCTCTTCTTTTTCGAGATGGCCAATGCTGTTTAATGCTGCTGCCGCGTAGAAGTATCCAAAGAGAAGACGTTGCGGATCTGGCAGCCGTTGATGAAGACTGAAGCCATTGACGTTCTCGCCACGGAAGGCATGGATCAAAGTCCCATCTGGCAGAGATTCAAAAGGGGAGGACCGCGGTTTGGCGTATTGTCCTGCAATGCGCCCAAACTGTACTACTGGCAGGCCGAGTCCTTTGCTGAGCCTGGTGGACTGCTCTCTCAGCAGCATCACCTTCTGCCGAATGATGTCTGATTTGACATCGTCGAAGCGCTCCGAGCAGTCTCCGCCTTGGATAAGAAAAGCTTTTCCACTGGCAGCTTCTATCACAAGATTCCGCGCCCTCTCGATTTCTCCAGCCTCAATAAGAGGGGGCAGGGAATGCAGCGTTTGGCAGACGCTTTCAAGGGCAAGCGGGTCAGGATACTGAATTTCCTGTGCTGGGATGCGTTGAGACCATGACTTCCGATCCCAGGGCATATTGTATAGAGTGCGCCCATTGATCGGCTCAACGACTTCATCGACATCCCTCCTCGGGTACTGTTGAAGAGTACTGACGGCAATCTGGACGTCATTAGTCTAATTCCGATTTTGCAAGCTAGGAGCGATCTCATTACAAATGTCATGTTGAAGGTGATCGTACGACGATTGTATAAGCAACGGTTGAGTGTTTATCCTTTGTCACTTAATAGGTTTTATACATCATCCGTCATCTCCAAGTCCGCTGCAACTTATTGTTAAGGGGTATATGTCAGCCTTGGGCGATCAATCAAAGCTCCTCCAGACGTAGAAATCCATAGCCATGAAAGAGCCATGGAAGTCCGAGGGGTGAGAACCACAGCACGCGCACCCCACCTTCCATACACAGTAACATAGCTCGTATCCTAGAATTGTTTCGGCATCTGGTTGCCTTGGGTTACTGGGATCACCGATAATGATCCTGGTCGTGGACAACGGCGGTCTCATTGCAGGCGGAGCTATGTAGTTTCTATACAGCGAAGCTCGTTTGTACTTGGCGCCAGTGTAACTATCATCATCTTTGCCCTCAACTCCTGGTAGCTGCTCGGAGACAATATGAGATACATGCAGAGAATGGACAAGTTCCCAAAGTTGATGGAATTCAAGTGGCGCGCCTTCGGTGTCTCTCAGGGCCGTCACCTTTTGCGAGTCAATTTCTGACTGCCCTTCTTATCGTACAGGCACCATAGGGTCTTATTTTGACTTCAGCAACTAAACTTGAAGTAGATGCGGACATATAGAAAGTGACTGTCGAAAAGTGACTGCCCTGAGACTTTCCGCGCGCCTTTATCCTGGCCTGGTTAGAATTGACAGAAAATCACCACACACTGCTTTATACAATTTTTTTCGAGATTTCCATGTACTCCTAAATACAAAGGGGAAAAGTTTACTGTTTGTAATAGCGAGGGTACTATCACAGACGTAGCCGTGGCCCTTCAATCATTGTGTATATTTCAATTTTCTCGGTTCGGACGTTTCTTGAGATTTGGTACTAAAAATTCACAACTATCGAAAAAAGCACGCAATATAACGTTAGTCTCAAACAGCCACCTCAAGCAGTCTCGTATGCGTCATCGAAGTTTTCACCTGCCCCTCCTCAATATGAATCAAACTCTTCAGTTTTCCACGGTTGATCTTGAACCCCACCGTAGGATACTTAATCACGAAATAAATTCCACCAGACAACTGTTTAAGGCCTGTCAGTTCCCGTGTCGTGTGCCTCTCAATCTCCTTCGCGGTTTCACTGCTTGCATCGTAGCCTGGCTGCAGAATCACGAACGCAGTCGGATGGTAGATTTGTGTTGATTCGTCACGGATCCCTACCACTACAGCGGAAGCAACGGCTGGATGATCAAACAGGGCAGATTCCAAATCCGAAGTCGAAATTCTGGATCCGTAGCCTTCGCCTACTCGGAGCAGCTCTTTGAGGCGGTCTTTGATAAAGACATTGCATGTGCTGTCCAGGTATCCAACATCGCCTGTGTGGAAGAAGCCCTCGGAATCAAAATCTTTGTTGGCTTCGTCGTTGTCTTTGTAGCCCACGAACGGACAGAGACTATTGCGTACCAAGATTTCCCCTTCTTCACCAGGACCAAGTTCCTCGCCGGTCTCCGTGTCGATCACTTTCGCTTCAATTCCATTGGTCAGTGTACCACTTGAGCCAGGAACGCAAGTCTGCTCATCGACTTGTATAGCAAGAAGCATGGTCTCGGTCGTGCCCCACTCGAGAGTTAGATGCTTGCCGTTCAGCTGCTGAGAAACCGAACATCGCAGCTTTTCATGCATGGGAGCACCTGCTGAAAGCAACCACTTAATGCTGCTGAAGTCCTGGTTTGTTGTATCGGCCTTCGCGATCTGGGCTGCGAGCGTGGGTGTAATGAATAGAAAGGTAATGTTGTGTTGAGTGATAACGTCCAGGGAGGTATTATCAAGAGGCTTCTTCAGTAGAACAACTGGAATGCCGAGTAGGATGTTCAACCCCATGAAGAGCTTGCCGCAGATGTAATATCCGAGAGAGATCGTGGATGTCCAAACATCCTCTTCTGGGTTGGTATTCTCGGGAACGGTGGCCCGAGTCGCATCCATCACGGCAATAAAATGTGCATGGGATGTTAGAACCGACTTCATCTTTCCCGTTGATCCACTGGTGCTGTTGATGAAAGCAATGTGCTTTCTAGAATCGCTTACACTGTTGAGGTGAAACCTCGGAGCGCTGACTTCCTGTTTCAGGAGAACATCGAGATGTGGATATCTGGGAAATCTGGAATCGACCTCCTCCAAAGTAATCACTGGAATCACGCCAATGATCGCCAACGCAGTTTCTGCAATGCTCAAGAGCGCCTGGTCTGTGAAAATCAACCTGGAACCAGATTGCACAAGTCTCCCAGCAACATCCAGATACCCAAGGTCTTTCTGGATGGGAATCAGAGACACAGTTGCTCCAGCTGCCAGAATTGCAAAAAATGCGATGGGAAAGTTGATCTATAGAGCTCGATTAGAAAAGTTTCTTGGGTTTGTAGTGTGGTTTCCGATTTCAACTTACACTATCTGTCGCGAGAATTGTAATTACGTCTCCAGGCTTGATTGAGTACGAAGCAATCAAGACCTTAGCAAGCTTCTCGCTTCTTTCTTCCAGCTGTGCCAATGTAAGAGTCTCGTCCGAGCCGTCTACTCGATAGAGAATCCGCTCTCGAGAATAGCTCCTGCGCCCCTGATGAAAGAGGTAGTGGAACACATCGGTATTGGGTATTGCCAGTTTGGGAAGACGAGATTGAAATAACATGATTGATTTGCTATCAAAGCAGATATGTTGAATAAGGATAAAGAACTAATTTTAAGCAAATTTGTTGAGAATCACTCTGGAGAAACGTAAGGAAGCATGTCTATATCTTATATTTCTTCTTGGATAGGAAGGTAGGCAATATGATAATAGCGTGACTCGTGCCAATTGAACTCTCAACAACCACGCACGCACGCCTGAGAATTCGGAATGGTTCCGAGGTAGGCAACAAGCACACAAGCACACCTTGATTGCCAAATCGTGTTAATTTCAGCCACCTTCGCTGTATGATGGTTGTCGGGAATCTTTGGTCTTCCTGCAGGATCTTATCAGCCTTGAGCTCATGGGTTCGGACATGAGTATACATGGGGACGGATAGGCTTGTGATAGACTACGCTAACAACAAGAAGATGATAAAGAGGATATTGAATAAAAGTGATGGCGCCCGCTAAACAACAGGCCAGCAGTAGAGATAAAACATACTTAACATGGCTATTTCTCCAAACACGACCAGCTCGTCCGCAGCCAACCTTCCAATTATCGACTTCTCCAAACTCGAAGGCTATAAGAACTCGGATGGCGCCATTACAGCAGAAGAGAGCTCTGTGGAAAAGCGAAAGCTGTTTCAGGCCTTGAAGGACGTTGGTTTCGTCTACCTCAGAAACCACGGCATCGACGAATCTGCCGTGCAGACGATCTTTGCGCACGCCGCGCGATTTTTCTCACAGCCTATCTCTGAAAAGGAGAAGGTGGAAACCGGTGAAAGCAAGTTCTTCCACGGCTGGTTCTCGCCAGAGCGGACCTCCGGGTCTTCGAAATTCTCAGACCAGAAGGAGGCGTTTGATCTGGGCGATGACAGCGATGTGACGCGACCAAATCAGTGGCCGGCAGACTGGCCCGAGTTCAGGACCGATATGAATGCGTTCTTTGAGAGGAGCCATGACATCCATCTCGGTTTGCTGAGCACGTTAGCGGAGGAGGTCGGGCTGCCGCGGAACTACTTTTTGCAGTATGTGCAGGACAAGGACCATTTCTTTCGCGTCCTGCATTATCCAGAGACGACGATAGATACGTTTGAGACCCGGGTGCGAGCAGGCGTACATACTGATTATGGCACTTTGACATTGCTATTCAATGACAGCAATGGAGGGTTGCAGGTTCGTGGAAAAGACGGACGGTTCTTTGACGTGCCACCAATCCCGGGCTGCGCCATTATAAATGGTATGTAATGCAACGCTCACTGATCCCTTATCGCTTATCCCTTCTGCAGCACCGAAAACAAATTTCTGATATTTTTTTGAGACTGACTTAACGGCTAGTTGGTGACCTGCTCTCTCGCTGGTTCAATGGCGTGCTGAAGTCGACCGAGCACCAAGTGATCGAACCGCCGACAAACGAAGCTACACGCGCTACCCTTGGAGGAACGATACATTCTCGATACGCAATCGCGTGGTTTGGTCATCCCAATAGAAATGCATTCATTGAACCACTTAGTGTTTGTGTCACAGAAGACAACCCTAAGCATTTCGAAGGCGTATTTGCGGGCAAGCATGTGGTGGATAGACTTGCGAAGCTACATAAGGACGGGAAGAATTCTGAAAGTTGGGAGGATAATATGTATAGGGAGAATAAGTCTCAGGGGCTGTAGAAAGGAGATGTACTTAGTCTGTAGCTTGCCACGATATCAATCAAGCGGACGTTGTAGTTGCGAAAAGTTGTAGTAAGAGATTGCCCGGATGTCTCACTACAACACTCACCTGTTCGATCCCTGGTTGTCTGTGTTTAGTGTTCGGTTATTGGTGAGCCGAAGCCCTTTGAGGTTTCTTGATCGCAGTATATATACATGACTGCCGGTTCGGGAAGGTGCTATTGATGTTGTTCTATGATTGTGATATTTGGCTCCGGCCCATTGTTGTTCCTGAGGTATCGGGGTAAGTAAGGATTAGATAACACCATGTAAAAATGGACTTGACAGAACGTATCCATGAATCGGCCGAATTCGCAAATTGCGCCATCGAAGGCGAATACACCTGCTTCGCGAATATCGAAATGTTCGCGAATAAGTAGACATTCACGCAGCATGATGGGAATTGAAGCATTGAGGTTGGTGGAGAAAGTCTGGGAAACATCCGGGCTGCGAACTGTGGCCTCCATACCATATGTACGAGCATGCACACAAGGGCGCAGTTGCCGGACCAAAACGGAGGACCACGACAAGTACTAGGTTTCAATTAAGAATGATTCAACAACAACGATTCACATAGCTATATAAATAAGTACATATATAGACAACTATAATACAATACATTTCCTATGTCTAGAATTCCGTTGCCATGCCTTTTGTGGTCTTTGCAAGCTTGAATCCTCTGAGGCGAAGTCCGGTATACACACACTGGTGTAAGTTTTTCTCAAGTCTCAAACGGATCTCAAGAAAGAACTCGACAATCTCAAGCTTCTTTCTAAAACGGCTCTCAACCAGCTTCAAAATGAAATCTAAAGGAATAAGTACCCATTTATATACCGAGAACACAACCTACGACGGAACAACGTAGCCACCGATACACCATCAACACATCGCCGAGCGCATCACAAACCGCGTTGACGCGACATTCAATTGGTTTCAGCACTTCCACGCAGCTCACTTTGTCGTTGTAGTTCTGCCCAATTAAACTACCGGGAGTCCTTTTTTTTTGGTTGCCCATTGGAAGTAGACGATCTCGCTCATCCAATGCTCTTTCCGGCCCTGTCGTTGCTTTCTAGGCCTAGAAGAGCTTGGGTTTGTCGCGATGTTATACACACTCGGCTTTGATAAGCCGAGCGCAACAGAAACTTTGCGACAAGATTGCCTGGCTCGTAACATTCCAATCGCTTTTTCACGAGTCGGAGTCGTAATCTTGCCATGTCGAGAAGTCTTCACAGGACTTAGAAGCATGTTAAGCATTGTTTAGTTATGGTATATTCTATCTACTCTGTAGGTAATGTTGGTGTTGTCGCGATTGACACTCGCGAAACGCATGGATGTCCACGTTCCATTGTGTGGATGCTCGTACAGTATCCTGTGAAATAATAGTTGTAAAAGTTCATATAAGTGAGATATTTAGGTTTAGGTAAGTTAACGAAGAAACAATTTCAAAAAAGGACAAAATGTGATGTCAATCTACAATCCGCAACTGAGCAACCATACCAACCTCCTCTGGCACTCAACCTGCATCGATCGTCGCTTCCCCAACCCCTCGATTTTTCCTTTCCCCGTGCTTTCGTAGAACCAAGACTTTTGAAAGATATCCACTTTATAGTCCAAGAATCAGCCACAAGTTAACATGGCTCTCCTCAAATCTAAAAAAAGTAAAACAATTTCCAGTGTTTAATCTTCGTTGCCCAAAAAAAGAAGTAGATCAATGCCACATTAGAGAGGGTGAACGCAAGGAAGATTCCCCAGTACGCCCAGATGCCGCCCAATTTTCCAGACCCGAGATTGAAGATCTCGAGATACTGATCGCCTGTGGTCCACTTGCACACCTGGCAGTTCGATGTCGCGTTCGGGTTCAAGAGCTGGGCCGACGCGGAAAGTGCCCAGTCTCCGGCATAGGAGCCGCAGGATTGTCCAGATGGCGGCGAGAAGATGCTTAGATCGGCCTCGGAACAAATTACGGCCTGGCCGCTGATTACAGAGGTCGCCATGCCGCCGAGGAGGTAGGTAAAAGGGCTGAGATAGTAGAGCTTGATTTGGGTTAGTGTAGGACGGAATGTTTGGTGAAAGGAAGACTCACCCAGTAGCGCCAGAAGACCTGGATCTGGTTGTAGGGCACAATAATTCCGTTGAACCAGTTGAGTGTGCAGATGATAAATACGAGAATATTGCCAGCAGCACCAAGATCGGGACTCATCGCCATCATGAATAGTCCGACGGTGACCTGTTTATGTCAGACAAGACCTGTGAGAAAGGTACTGAAAATAAGACTAAACTTACCTGGAATACTTCGTAAGTCAGAACGAACAAGAAGATGTATCCTGCTGTGGATCCCAATGGCAACCCAGAAGGAAAATACCAGAACAGGTAATACAGCGTTCCACACAGTATGGCTCCAGGCATCTCTGCCAAGATGCTCGCAGAGCATAAAGCAACCCAGCCATATGTATTAGAAGGTCCTTCGCGATACTCCCAGTACATACGAGCAAAGAAGAAGCGCATAAGAATGACATTCACGATGCTGTTGACGAGAAAGACGACAAAGTAGACGCTGAAAATCCTGTTGATCAGTTAGCAAACATCATCCATTAATAATGATCCCGCCTCTCCTCACCTGTTCTGCAGTTCGCTAGGACTGGTCCCGACATTGAAAAATGTAAAGCCGACCAAGATGCCACATACAACATGAACCCAAATCTTGGAGTACATGTATGTGACATTGCGCCATTGGTTGGTGAGAATGCGCTTGGTTAGTAAGAGTGTCTGGCGCGCGGTAGAAGTACTGAAGCTATCAGGGTCATCCTCAAAGTTCTCCACAGCATGCTCTTCAGATTGGAGATGTTGAATCTCGCTAGCAATCTGCGTGGCCTCAGGAGATTGTGCCCATGTGTCTGCCCAACCTTTACCTACTCCATCAGTCCGAGAATTGATACCAGCGCCTACAGTCTCGAGGATAAACTCGGCGGGATTCGCATCTGGTGGGCACACAGCGCCGTTCTTTTCAAAGTATGGAATCACATCCTGGCTGGCGCCGAAGTACAATTGTCTGCCGTCTGATGACAGCGCAAGAAGTCTGTCAAACTGGGAGAACAAGGATGCGGAAGGCTGATGGATCGTAACCAGAATAGCCTGTCCCTGTTGGGAGAGATTCCTCAGAAGACTCACAATATGAATCGCGCTTTGAGAGTCCAGACCAGATGTAGGCTCATCTGCGAACAAGATCTTTGGCCGCGCTGCAAGCTCAACACCAATAGTTACCCGCTTGATAATCTCCACGCCGAGTCCGGAGCCTTCGTCACCAATAAGAGCGTTCTGGTACTTTCTCAGATCTAACATGTCAATAACGTGGTCGGCGTAAGCAATCTTTTCGTCATTGGTGTATGTCTTTGGCTGGCGCAGTAACGCAGAGAACACCAGAGCTTCTCTAATGGTGGCGGTCCCATCATGGAGATCCATTTGTTGGGCAAACCCAATAGTTTTCTTGAAAGCTCTCCCAGGTCTGGTATTGCCGAATGTTACCTCTCCGTCTAGCGTTCCGACAGAATTTGTTTGGCTCAATGCTGAGAGTAGAGTCGTTTTTCCTGCACCACTGGCACCACAGAGAGCCACAAAGTCTCCCGGTCGAACATAAGCCGAGACATCCTTGATGATCTTAGCCTCCCCGATGTTTACGGTCAGATTCTTCCAGGCCAGTGCAGGTCCATTATGTCTCTTTTCGAGAGAATTGGTATCCTCCTTAGCTTCAGTAAGAGAGACAGCAGCAGATTTCTCAATATCTTGAGTACAACTTGAGCTCTTTTTATCTGTGGATTTCTTCGAGTAGATAATGGGGGCGCCGCCCTGCGAGCTGAAAGTCATGATCTCGCTACCAAGAGCTCCTATCAAGACATAAGCAATAGCAATTGCGATGAGGATACCAATGTTTCTCCAGCGATGATCAAAGAAAAACCCCAGAGCATTGGCATATTGAATTCCAGGAACAGTGCCTTGTCTCGCTGTTGCTCCAGGAATTGAACAAGTTTGGTAAGCAATGTTGTTGCTGTTTAAGTTGGGAATCAGCGAACTTGCATCACAAGTTAGTGTAAGGCCATCGAATTCGTTGACAAAGACCTATAATCCATCAGCATTGCATAAGATGCTTGAAAAGAAGAAACTTACATTTTCATATGCATAGAACATCGGATTTATCCAGTGCAACCAGCCGAAATATGGACGTATGGACTCAGGAGGGATTAAGAACCCCGCAAAGAGAATGCATACAATGCATGCAGTACCGCCATATCGAAAACCTGGACCTGTATTAGCACTAAAATCAATTCGTTGGAGTATTTTAGAGCACTTACAGTCATCCAGAGAGGGGACAAAGTAGGCGAACATCCGCAGCAAGTTACTAAAGTTGACCGTAGAGAGAAACAAGGTGAGATAGAAGAAAAAGAACTTTCCTACGTCCACCTGAAGATGAACGAAGAAGTAGAAGGATATGATGAAGATAATGTGCTGGAACGCAATGAGGGGAAGATCGATGAGAACTCTAGCAAATGCCACAGCAGATGGTCGATACATGTTGAGGGAAGCTACGCATTTCATATTAGCAAGTAAATGAGAGTAAGTTAAGCATTTCAATAAATACCTTGACGCTCTAACACTGGACGGTTCGTATGAGCATCAAACAATTCAGGGAACTGGAGCCAACCATTGAACAAGAGAGCATAAAATACAATTCCGGACCTGGTGAATGCTCCTGAAGCATCGCTGGTCAGATCGAAGTATTCGCTTCCAATGACAAGGGATAGAATAACTGTAGTGATCCATTTGATATAATAAACCATTTTTTGGGCTCGAACCAATTGGTACTCTCTTTTCAAGCACTCCCATATCTGCGTTGGGAAAGCAAGGTTGTACGACGATGTTGAAAGTAAGGAGGACTCTGTGGCTTGTGCCTTCTCGTAGTCCGATATTTCCCTCTGAAGGCGACTATAGATCGTAGAAGATCGAAACGCAGCGGAAAGGTCGGTGGCGGTCTTGATTTGCTCCGCTGTGGTGCCTAGGGTAAATCTTCGCTGAGTCACATCCGTAACTGTAGTTAGAAACTCTGCGGTTGTTTGGCCAGGTATCTTGACGTATCCCAATCCTTCAAAATACGCCTCAGCTTCGTCTGCACGACCAAAGAATACCTGATGACCTTCACTAAGCAGTATGACCTTGTCAAAATGATTGTAAATACTCTGGCCCGCCTGATAAAGTGTTGCAAGTGTGGTCTTCTGGCCAACATCCGTCAGCGTTCGAAGAGCCTTGACAAAGTCAAGAGCAGTTGAGGAGTCGAGTCCGCGCGTTGAGTTGTCAAAGCATTGGAGTGAAGATCCTGCTGCCAGGACTTCTGCGATTGATACTCTTTTCTTCTCCCCACCGCTAACTCCTGGAGAGTAAGGACCCCCGACTGGCGTTTCAAGGGCATGTTCGAGACCAAACATTTTACCCACAGTAATGACCAATTCGTCAACTGTGGCACTGTCTCGGAAGTTGGAAGGCAAGCTCATCGTCAAGGCAAATCTCAATGTTTGGCTGACGGACAATGACGCAATGTGTCGGTCTTCTTCTGGGAGATAGATCGTCTCCCTTCTATGCTTCTTCTTGAACTCGGTGTGTGAAATGCCCGCGAAGGATAAATTTCCAGAAACGGCCAAAGAGGACTGGTTTGCAGCAGCTCGTAGAAAGGTTGAGCAACCACTTCCTGGGCGACCAAGCACGAAGAGCATTTCACCTGGTTTGACCAGACCAATGAAATCAGAAAGTAGATTGATTGTTTTGCTCTTCTTTGAATTGACGCGGAAGAGATTCTTGAGGAATCGGACCTGATCTGTCCCGAAGGTGTTCCATATTGCGAGTGGAAGAGTTTTGACTAAGACTGAATCCGAATAGGGTGCTGCAATCGTGAGACCTGCGAAAATTAGGCCAACTTTCTTAGCACTGCCATCGTTGTGTCTATATTGGCTTTGAAGAAGCTTTTTGATGATTTCTTTGCCGGTGTCATCATTATGATCGCTATTAGCTCTCGAGGTTTCAATTGGTGCTTGTGGTGTCTCTGATAAGGTGACTGCCGTCTTGTCGACTGTTGTTGAGTCGGCCATATTGGACGTGTTTTAGTAGTACAGCGGTAGAAAGGGAGAGAAAAGCCGGAGAACGGAGCAGATGAAATATAATACAGCTTCAGAAGTTCAAGCTGAATCAACCATTTGAAGAAACATAATTGTGAAAGAATCTATGGTCGGTCTTCCAATAACCAAATAACTGAAAACTGAGAAATAAATCAAAGTCAAGAAACGGGGACGAGCTTGTTAGATGCACAATTACAAACAAACCTTGTCTACCACAATTGCCGGCAACCAAGGGATCGACATAGATCTGGTATAGAAAGAGGCATGCCATATTGTTCTTTGCCATTCACAAAATAGTGAGCACATTAAGTCTCGGGGTTCTCCTGGATTGGCAGGGGCGATGCCAACCAACTCCTCCTTAACATGACCAACATTCTCCGACAACCAGCAAGCACGCGAGCACACACTCGGATCTATCATCACGTGAGGTCCATTTTGCTCCGACAAAGCTTAGCAATCAATCAACCAATCAATCAATCAATCAAACGATGCAACATTATTCAGCAAGGAGATAAGAGCCATGAAAATTGAAATGAATGTACATCTCATGAAGGTAGGGGTGTCCAAGAGAATCTGCATAGAGACGGGCGCTGTGTGCCTGTTAAACGAAAATAGGATCGTTAGACTTACCTAGCTTGTTACTTCATTTAGATTCTAAGAAACCGCTTCTTGAGCATCTCGACGTTGTTGAAGCACCAATATAATATATGCTGTTTTCTGATAAAGTTGAATTCTACATTCTGGCTTCCAAGCAAGACAGTAAATTACTTGCCAGATCCCAAAATCGCGTCATCGCACTTCAGAAGGAAAACCTATCTTCCGATTCTAGGAATTGATATTTATTGTGAAAACGCAAAGCGGTATCTAGAAAAGACGTCTACGGATGCACTTTAGTAAAACTCAGTCTATATAACTTTTAGACCATTAAAGAAGCTATCCTGAAAAGCATGTATAAAATAAAAAGTCTCTTTAAATTTAGCCCACTTAAGAGACTACCATGGGATGATATTTCCATCGTAGTTGAGAAACGTTATACTGTCCTGTGGCTTTAATCCTTAAATAGCGCTAACATAGCGCCTGTCGACGTCTGCACTGGTATGCCACTATCCCCCATAACGTTCCCGATATCTGTCCCTACCCATCGGAACAACAGTGAATCTTTCATCTTTCAACTCATTGTGATCACTACACAGCGAGCATGTTCACTGCTACTTTCGAGGCTCCGAAAGGCCCTACAAGACCAAATGTTGAGCCGATTTGCAGTTGGTGGGATCCAGCTTCTGGTGAGGTAATTACGATCTGACGTGTGTTGCGAACAAGTAAGGCGGGGAGGAATGCGCGGATAACGCGTCCGACCACATTGGTGTTCAGGTAAGAGATGAAGTCGAGAGAGGAGAGACTTTGGAGATGATCGTCGTTTCCAATGGGTGCGTTAATGATGAGAGTATCGAGTTCACGAACATTCATGGCTGCGGCTATGACGGAGGCGTCATCTGTCATGTCGAGAGCGATCATTTTGATGTCGTCGTCCTTCAGATGGGACTCAGGGGATGGAGTTCGGGTGTTTGCGGATAGCGAAAGTTCCTTGACGAGCTCGAGTCCAATGCCCCTTGAAGTACCGATGACTGCGACGATTGAGGACATGTTTGATCACTTGATTGATAACTGATATGGTCTGAGCTTGAGGAGCTCGATGAGCTGGAGAAGCTGTCCTTGAGGAGTTGTACGTGGGGAGCTGTGAGGGGAATGTTTAATATCGTTTGGTTGCTGAAGATCTTGTTGCAAGTCGAGCTTTATACTATTTATTGGATTTGTTCTACAGTAATAGGATCTTCATCTCGCGCCTTTTCTCTTTGTTTGTAATTCATGATGGGTCATCACGATATTTCCTTGAGATTCCTTCTGTTCATCCATCTCGGCGGAGGCATTCCTTCAAGCCTGTCTCACTTCGGAAATTTGAATCGGGTTAGTTTTCGAGATCGATAAGCCGCCCGAATGCAATTGGGTTAATGGGAATTATATCGCTGACTTGGTATAAATATGGCTGGCAAGAAGCCAATAAGAAATCTCACCGATGTGAGAGATCGTAGCAAAGATTTCCTATAGGAGAAAGTGACCTGCACAACTGTGTTGGCTGACTCGCCCTCAGGATCACTTTCGACCAAAAGGATACTTTTGGGCATCATGTCCTCATTCGTCATCAGCGTGACACTCAGAACCGCGACGTAACTGTGAGACATCGAAGCCCAATTGGGCCCACTCCGTCAAGCTGAACGCTTGGCACAGATTCAGGGGCACAGAGTAGGTAGGCGGTTCCTTCCCCAAATCTCCAAATCACGTGAACTTCACAATGTAGTCACCTTGTTGGGGGAAACGGACATTCCCGCTGGGATACGGTGGGCTTTTACGCCCAAAATAACGGGTTATTCCCGTCGGACCGTCCAGCTCCCCAGCTGACCTACGGGTGAGACAGTTACGCGGTTGAAGCAATAAGTGGCACGGGTCTTGGCACATTTCTGGTATATTTCTGGCAGTAAACCGTGCCACTTTTTTCTTCACCCGCGTAACAGTGGCGCCATACTATTGGGAGCCACTGATCCTAACCCAGCTGAGCCCGGAGAGCTCAGCTTGTCAGGGTTTTGGGGGATTCCCCCAGGACTACAAATAGCGTACGTAGGCCCGTAGATTAGGTAGTAATTCAATTGATCTATAGATTCTATATACCGTATTTACTGTTTGAAGCCTTCTGTTCTGTTGCGCCAAAGTGAAGAAGTTCCGGCCATCGAAGACACTGCACAATTCGTGTGGTGGTCCCCGTATTCCGGTCCTCCCCCCAACACACCTGCTGTAGCTACTTGTGGTCTTGATGTGGCACCTCTGCACTTTTTTGGGGCTCAGTTTACGTGGCTCAGATTCCACGCTATGCCTATTGGCACGATTGAGAGCATCGATCCACTGAACTACAAGCTTGTGTATGGCAGAGCGGACGGGATGCCCAATTCTCTTGAGTCTATGGTCGTATGTGGTAGATTACTACCCATACCACATTATAACCACGATTACGTGGACAACACATGTAGAAACATGGTACAGTATGCAGGGAGACAGCGAGGTCTAAACACTCCCGCAGGCAGTAGCAAGAATAAATCGGAATTTTTTCTCTTTCCAGCTTGTTATTGCCTTTTGTATATCATCTTTAGAATAGGCCTCAGGAGTTTCACGTTTATAGCCCATGGTTAGTAGTAATAAGAGTTAGAAGCTAAGGTAGTAGGGTAAAGTGCGCGAGATCCCTATATGCGCGAGATACCCATACGTCACGTTATATAATAAAATAAAATAATCGTGATATAAATGCTATCTAGCTATTTGCTCTCGCGTTCATATATCTGCAATGCTCGCAAGTACTTCGGCGTGCTGTCTCTTGAGGCCCCTTACTGCACCAGCCAACTCTCCTCTCCGTCTTTCCTCCTCTTCGCAGGCCACGTCCTCTCTGTCGCCAGACTGCTGCGGCGCAGAAGCCAACGCCATCGTAACATCGTTCTCAATTAAAGCAAAGTCTGACTCTAATGATTTCAGTACGCTATCGAAAGTTGTCTTGGCCGCGGTTTCAATTTCCCGCTTTATCGCCGTCGAGATGTTGGGAAATAAGGTGCCGTTCGTGATTCGTCCTTGCACGGTATTTCGTTGACGAGCTGCTTTGCCGGTGCCTGCCACAAAAGAGACATCAGCATAAGGTTGAAGTCGATTTAGATGATAATAGTGTCTTAATAGTCTACCTGGGTAGGTATACTCACCATATTCATTGGCTGCTGATCGGTAAGCTGGAACCATCTCTGCGAAAATATAGGAGGATTCATTCGGCTCTGATGCTTTACTGCGAGTAATCCTCGTTGGTGTAAGTAAAGGGTCCTTGGCCAAGCGAGGCTTTAAGAGGTATCGAAGTTTGCAAGGGCACAATAAAACTTACTTGACTTCCTTTGCAAAATTCTGCTCTGCTAGACTGCATCTATATGTCAAACTTTGAATTCTGAAGTCAATTCCTTCAACGAGCAAAGGGCTGAAGCATTTTTCTTCACTAGAATGTCAGCTATTTTACCGCAGAAAACTAATCTCTATCAACTTACCTCTCATCTCTGACTGCAAGGCCAGTAGCGGTGCTTTAGCGGACTGTAACAAATCTTTAAACAGCGTTGGAATGTCTTCTTCTAATGTCTCCCATTGGAATGCCATCTCCATCCTCATTTTCCAGATGAGTTCAGCGTTCCAATTGACTTTCCCCCGCTTTTCCGTGTAGTGGTAACCATCGTGTCTGCACCAGGCATTATACTGAGCTACACGAGCTAAATCAGCCTGTGTACATAAAGTTGTGCACTATTTAGAGACATTACTCCAATGCCACTATGCTGAGTTAGAATTCGGACTGCTGTGAATGAGAGATGGATATTACATTGTTCCAACTTGCACTATTTTGTTTCGCCACAGTTTCCCAAACCTCGCTTTGCTTGTCTTGAATAAAGTTAGGCAGGTAGCCCCTTAACCTACAACAGCTTTAAACAAACTCACCTAGAAGCATAAGAACCAGCTCCCGAAAGGTGTCCTGGAATTCGCTTTTGGACTGAGAGACTGCCCTCAATGTCTCCGAAGGTTAGCCGACCTCAATATCGAATAAATAATATGACTAACCTCCGTTTTTCCATTATTAACGGCGAGAAGCATAGATTCGTCTAACCCAGTCTCTGTGGGTTGTTGAGATTCTGTAGGTTTAGTCGCTAAAAGCTCAGCTGAATTTAGAAGACTCGACAACATTGAAGAAAGGAAATGCCTTGCTTCAAGTAACTGCGCATGGGCGGTCATGGTGTAGCAGAATCGTCGAAGCTCTGGTATACCACTAGCTTGAACCATTTCAACATTACCCTTTATTGTATACTTCCCGTATGTTGTGTTAGAGACGCAAAATACCTCTAGCCCTCCATTCGGGACCTTTGAGGAATAGGCCCGCTGTAGACCTTCTTTAACGTGCGTATTGCGAGCGCTAATAAGAAGCAATTGTTGCCTATAAAAAGGTTAGTAGTCTAGTCTCAAGCATACCCAGTCTTTCATACTTTCGCTTTAAGTGTTTCTTAAGGGCTTTATTGCGCTGCGCTTTTGCTTCCTTGATATCTTCATCAAGTTTCGTCATCACTCCTTGTGGTATGCTCTTGTTTGGGCCACAAAACTCTTGTCGTGCCGCCTTCACATTAATATCCTAGTTATGTGTAAGCCATACCCTCTAAATTTAATTTTGTAGTAGACTACAACCTCTGACTTAGTGCAGACAACAGCAACTTTCATGCTTTTCCCAGCGGACTCCTCCCATTCCAACTCAGCATGCCGAGATAAGATAGAATAGAGGGATGATTTCAATGACTGATCTGTGATTGCTCGAGAGATCTTTGCAACGATGAAGATATAGTTGCATCTTAAAAGATAGTCCTGCGTTGCTTTTACTCTTGCTAGATTTGTATCATGTAGACCTATATGTTTTGTTAGTTAATCTGTGACTGCATTTACAAACCTAAGCTACAAACCTGGCAAGTCGGCAAGAATAATACCAGTCTTTAAGACGTCTGCTTGAAGATAAACACTATCGATACTCAATTAGAGGCTAATAAATGATAGAGTATGATGGAAAACTTTACCGGATGATTTTTGTAAATGGCCAAAACCTATCTTCCATAAATACACTTGTCTTCTCACAACATTCATCTGCAGTATCTGCTGTTGATGTCCACTTTCCATTCTCTCCACTATCTGGCCAATTAAGCTCATACGCCCATTGAACTAATTGGCTATTCGCTATAGACAGCCCAGCTTCGGATATATCATTTATAAGCATAGCTTTGTTAAAGCTAGGCTGGTGGCTAAATCCTGCCTCAAGTGAGGACCATGCTTGTTCCGATTCGCGTTGCATTGTAGCGTATTCATTTTCAGAAACGCTATCACCTTCAGTGTGTGGAAGATACATCTGGCGGTAGTTCCAGACCAGTTCCTTGATTAGATCTTCAATTTCGCCCATAGAGAGGTACTCAACCTCAATTGTAATAGGCGCCAAATGGTCCGTTGTCTTCTGCCTATATTCAGTAACAACTGAAGTACAGGCTGCACCAATATCTCCCTGTCGGATTGTTAGGTTTAGATTTAGAAACGCCCGTTATAAGATATGTACTTACTGTTTTAGCGATATTTGGAAAGTGAAGAAGAGAGTTAATGAGACTACTCTTTCCTAGAAGAATATCAGACCTATGCAGCATAATTTAACGGCTCATTCTTACCTTCACCCGAATCTCCTAGAACGGCGATGGTTCTCGTTTCAGAGCTTTTAAACGTACTCAACTCCTTAGCATCATTAATTAGCCTTTGAAGATCGCCCCCTGCCACTAGAGATTGCCCCGCCGTCTCCATCGCGTCGGCTGCATCCTTTGCAATATCAAGTCCTTTTTGCAACGCTGTTTGAAAAGGTGAGGCGAAGAAGGGTTCCAATGGCGGCTCCTCACTTCCGACATCATAAGGGCTAGTGGGATCGTTGTAATAGCTGACATCGCTTATACTAGAAGAGACCGATACACTTCGCTGGTGTGGGTACAGGGATGGACTTGTACCTAGCTCTGACATTTGACTAAAGAGAGAAGTCCGCCTCCGCGGCGGAGTCGATGGGCCACACTCAGCGGAAGCCGAGTCCCCATTGAGTAAAACAGGTATTGGCATTCCGAGACCCTCGTTCTCAGTAGAAACAGCTATCTTTTCGTCAGAAAACAAGATATGCAAAGACTGAGGGTCCTCTGGTTCGAGCCCGGACAGAATTGGCAAAGACAGATCGCTAGACCGAGTCTGTGAGTCCGGAATTGGTGAGGGTCTCATTGCATCGAGCTGGAGAGTGGGCTGTCTTCCAAAGTCAAGGCCTTTAAAAGCGAAGTCGTTACCCTCATAACTAGAAGAGAGAAATCCTGCATTGCTAGGTGTGACATTAGATGCAACCGCAGAGTCAGATCTCGGTGGAGAGAGGTCGCTAGAAGCTGGGGCGACTTCTATAGTTCGCTCGACACGCTGGGAATTTGCGGAAGCCCCCAATGTTGAAATAGGATCTTGTCGCTCTCCCGCCTGATCAAGGCTCCTTCTCAATCGCATAGGCAAGATCTCATGCTCTAGAGACACTGGTGGAGAGAGGTTATCAGAAGCAGGCGAGATCTCTGGAGGTTGCGTGATGCGCAGAGGATTTCCAAAAATCGGTGGTGTTGAAAGTTGACCTTGGTCGCTATTCGAAACGCTTCGTCGTTCCCTTCCAAGGCTTCTTCTTGACCTTACGGGTAATATCTTGCGTTCTGGAAAGGAATTGGACATGTTTCAAGTGCAAAGTGGGCTGTCCAGAAAGGACTTCGTCGTTGGAAATCTGTGCAGCAATATATGGCTGTGATATTCGCAAATGCAACAAAAGATGGAGGTTTCCAACACCTTCATATTGCACGGCAGACGTTGATATGGCGAGATTGGCCCCCAACCAACATGTAGAAGGAGGGGTCAGCTGTAACACCAGTTCGCCCCCCTACTCCAACAGAGACTTACCTAGTACGGAGCATACTGCATGTAGCGATAGGAAAAATGCGCGATCCATGCAAGTTGTTTAAGTGGGTAGTATCAGTTGGCGCCTATAATCCAACTTAAGTGGGCTATTGGTGTTAAAGCAACCACTTAAAGATGGATGGAGTTGCTTTCTGTAATGCTAAATAAAGCACAGAAGGAGCTATAGACTATGGCTAGACCCTTCCAACTCCTCGTAGGACATCTCTGGCACTTATGTCCCATTAGTACTTACGAGCAAGCGCTATTCGTAGTTATTTGAATCACAGCATGAGACAAAATGAAACCAATTATTTGTCTGTCCTTGAGTCCTGTCCAGTCGCTCTTGTTGGCTTGCTATCGTACCTCGTCATTGGCTATATTAATTCAGCGGCGCTTATGCATCGCGGGCCTCTCCGGTAATATCTGTGCCCAACTCCATGACCCACCACATCAACACCCCAAGTTCTACCTTTCGATGAATGCATACCAAGGGGTCACTAGCTATTTGTCGTACGCGAAGTATTCTTGGAGGGAGAAGGACTTGGGCGCTGGGGTACAGTGGGCTATTGACCCTGAAACCGAAGGTTTCTCCGGCGCAAAGTCCGACTCCCAAATGGGTCAGAATTGCCGGTGGTGCAGCTGTAAGGATCTTCAATATGAACAGGGCAGTAGGGGGTCACGGGGCTTTGGGCTATTACGTAGAATCCTGTATTGATACGAAGACTGAACGCTGCCTCTCCTCTCTTCCGTGCGGGGTTCGGCCTATAAGTAGAATACGTAGGCCTGTAGGATAGTGTAGTAAAAATATTTGATCTATATACTCTATTTACTGTATTTACTGTGACGATGATTACTCCCAACAAGTATAAATACCGCCTGCACACTACAAAATTACACAGCAAAAAAAGGAAAATAAAGGCAAAAACATACAACAGTGGGTATTCGCTGGTGGTCACCCACCCAACTACTAATCCACCGATCTCAAGCTTGTGTATGGCAGAGCGGACGGGATGCCCAATTCTCTTGAGTCTATGGTCGTATGTGATTATTATGTGTATGTCGGGAACTTAATACTGCCATGCTGTGCTGTGATGTGTTGTGACCGGACGGTGGGGGATTTGGGGAGGTGGGGTATCATTTATCTTTTTCGCTCACAATTACAAAATACGGTAGATAAAGCAGGCATATATAATTAATTCAAATAATTCAAGGGTATATTGACAATATTTTTCTTTCTACACCACTGATACCAAGCCCATCAATCTATTTCACAAGAGATACGCCTGTGGCACTTCCCAAGGCATTCCTTTCCCTAGCCACTCAAGAACTGCTGCCATGTGGCTAAAGGCAGCGGCGCGACCTATTCTTTGCATGAAGTTGCAGCGCGTATTGCCACCGTAATTCGCATTGCAAGCGTGCTTGATACCTGAGCCACCCTTTGCCCTCAGCTGATGCGTTAGGGTACCACGACCCTTACTGAATACAGCTGCCCTGATATCCATTCTTTGGCGTAAAATCCACCTGCAAGAACGTCTCTCAAGCGTCAACAACAACGTCCACAACAGCAGTCCCCACTGGTTCTGGCCGGTTCGAGAAGATGATCTTCCACTTCACAATCTCCACAATCTCCAGCTCTTCAACGCCCTGCCCCTCCTTCGAAGTGTTCTCGGTTTCAGACGGCGCACGTTTCCGAATAATAGCAATAGCTTTTGAAAGTTTCTTGACCTCTCCCGTGAGACGCTGATGCATGCCTACATAGAGATAGACGCGTTTCTGCCACGCTCCGCCTTCTGATGTCCCTGGCTCGTAGTCTGGGAAGACAAGGCGCCCGATTGGTGTTTCATAGCTTCCCGGCTGGTTTGACTCGTCGTCTTCATCTTGAGTAGGAGGAGAGGGTGTGTTGATCGTCCCCTGCATCTCTAGCAGAGCAAGCCCGGATGGTGTCTGGAGTAGCTGGGGTAATGGATTCTCCAAGGGCTTCTCGAGGGCTTTTGGTGACGGGTAGAGGGCCACTTTCGTAGCCATTTTTGCGGATTTTTGAGCTTATCTGTTTCTTCTTTGAAATTGAATTATATCATTTTATTCTGAGAATATACAAGATGAACATGTGCTATAACTTTGTGGATCTGGTTATAATTGCTGTGCCTCTTGATATAGTTGGACGCGACGAGACGCGTTAAGCGACTCCAAGCGCGTAAAGTGACTAAATTACTCTGTCTAAAATCACTCCAATAGGCAAACCAGTTTGATTTATAAGAAATTACTGAAAGTAAGGTATCCTCTCAAATATCCTGGACTCTCAATTGCCTTCCTATCTAAAATTGCCAAAATATCTCAAATATCCCCATAGTCACGACGGAAAAACCAAAGTGGAAAGAGCTACCCACTATTTTGCTTAGTCATTTCTTTTCAGCCCTTACCAAATCCACCACTAGCCCACAACATTAGCTCCGAAATTTGGCTCGCTTATTCCCACAACTAGCGCAAAATGCGAGCACACACACGAATTTCGCAAAATTGATTCCCTTCTTGTTTGATCCCGATCGCGACCTCATCAACAACCACCGGCCTTTCGACAAATTCTTTAGCCGGCCATGAAGCTTAACATCTCATACGTATGCGCAAATGCTATTCAGACCAAATGGACGATATACTGACGTTCCGATAGCCTGCCAATGGCAGCCAGAAGATGGTCGAGATCGACGACGAGCGCAGACTCCGTGTCTTCATGGAGAAGTACGATATTTCGAATCTCATTGGAACGAACGAATCTAACATATAACAGGCGTATGGGCGCTGAGGTTCCCGGAGACTCCGTCGGAGATGAGTTCAAGGGCTACATCTTCAAGATCACCGGAGGCAACGACAAGCAGGGTTTCCCCATGAAGCAGGGTGTCATGCACCCAACCCGTGTCCGCCTTCTCCTCTCCGATGGACACTCTTGCTACCGCCCCCGCCGTACCGGTGAGCGCAAGCGCAAGTCCGTCCGCGGTTGCATCGTCGCCATGGATCTTTCCGTCCTTGCTCTCTCCATCGTCAAGCAGGGCGATGCCGACATCCCAGGCGTCACCGACACCGTCCACCCCAAGCGTCTTGGCCCCAAGCGCGCCACCAAGATCCGCAAGTTCTTCGGCCTCACCAAGGATGATGATGTACGTTTGTCCATCTTCATCGCCTGTCCGTGCAAACGGTACAGAGTGTGAGCAGAACCCACGCTAACGGAATTTTCAACTATAGGTCCGCAAGTTCGTCATTCGCCGCGAGGTCCAACCTAAGGGCGAGGGCAAGAAGGCATACACCAAGGCACCAAAGATCCAGCGCCTGGTTACCCCACAACGCCTCCAGCACAAGCGTCACCGCATTGCGCTCAAGCGCCGCAACTCCGAGAGGACCAAGGATGCTGCTGTGAGTATTCCAATATATATATACACTGCAAGAACGCTATACTAATGATATGCTAGTCTGAGTACGCCGCCATCCTCGCCAAGCGTGTCCACGACGTCAAGGCCGAGAAGGCCGATCTCCGCAAGCGTCGCGCTTCGTCCATGCGCACTGCCACCAAGGCTTAGATTGCGTATGGCTGGGAGAAGGGCAGGAATGGGCGGGAATGAGCTATTTGAAAGAAAGTCCTATGTATACATCAGTCGCCTTGGGCTACTGTGTACCGAGGATGCCGGCATGTAGGGTCTAGATATTCATGGCATACATTTCAGCAAAAGGCGTCTTATTCGATGATATCAATCTGGCTTCTTGGCGTGAGAGAAAAAATGAGCATTGGCATGTTAAATATTAAATTATGATCCCTTTGTTTACCCATGTCGTGATTCGGTGATTTTCCTTGGACGCGGTATGAAGGAGACTCTATTACGAAAAGGTGATATTTCAAAACGGCGGGAGATGGGAAAAGGAAGACCAACATTCGAACTAAACTGCACTTCAGAATTATATAAAATTTAGTGAGATCGCCAACAGTCACCGACGACATATCCTCGCAAAATTATTCACGCCTATTCATTATGATCACGTGTCTATGAGAATTAAGGAGACAACTAGCCACAACATTACAAGCCACATACAAACAGAACGTGACCTCGACTTTTGTTTACTATGTCCCTATTTCGAAGTGCACTGATGTCTGCCCTCTTCAGCTCCTTACCACTTCATAATGCCGAGGGCATTGCCTCTTTCTCGTGGAGAGATCACATACTCGACTGCTAAAGATGAAGAGGTCAATATCCTTCATCGCCTACGATATCCAGCCGAAGAAGTCAAATTCTTTAACCACATTAACAACAAGCGCAGTTGGATTAAAGCTATCGTTGCGCATCACCTAAATCTAAGGTTGCCTACTTTATGCCAGGTAGCTGATGTTAAGACCCAAACGTCATGTTGGCACAAAAAATCCCAAGTAATCCCATCACCTAACCTCTATCCGTCATTGTTACAGCTTCCCCCCTGGTGGGGGGCAAAAATGACAAAAATGACAAAAATAACATACAACAGTGGGTATTCGCTGGTGGTCACCCACCCAACTACTAATCCACCGATCTCAAGCTTGTGTATGGCAGAGCGGACGGGATGCCCAATTCTCTTGAGTCTATGGTCGTATGTGGAAGTTCTAGGTTGGGGAAGGGTTATATGGTGGTGTGTGCTTGACTGACGGCCGGATGGTGATGGCGGTTTGACGGTATAAAATTCTTCTACATTAGCTGTGTGGACTCTGTTCTCTTTTGCGATAGGTTAGACGTAGGGGATTTATGAGCGTTCGATGAGCGAACGGATTCTCAACCGAGATGCACATACTGGAGGGGGGAGGGGAACAAGTAGCTTCAATGTTTGCATTCCAGTCACAATTAGCCCCTGGGAAGGGAAGGAACAGCCTGGACGGCGTGTTCTAATTAGATTTCCTCTCCCATATCGTGTTGGGGAAGCCTTTCGGCCTGGGAATGGAGACGAAAAGATTCGATGTGAGGCAGGCGCCTATGCATATCTTCAGGAAAAGCGGGATGACAGTAGGCTACGCAACAACCTCTTTCACGATCTCTCCTGGATAATGCTCAGTATGGCACGGACTCCCCTACCTAAAATTAGATCTTTCATAATTGACCGTGACGGGTTCTTGCGCTTGGCAAATAGGCCAGTGTTGAAATTTTCGAGCTAGAAAACGAGGAAATTCCGACAGATATACCCCAAGACTAGACTTATTCTACAGCGGATTCATACGCGATGAGTATCATTAGCATCCATGATAATCGACTACGACATCAGCTAAACGCAATAAAGGGTGTAGGTGATTATATCTATTAGACATCAGCGTTAACGGCAATGAGGACAGTACTGCCATCATTTTTTAAGTGGGAATGTCGCCGTGGACCTTTTCTTTTCACCTTAACGGATCTTCACCAGAGCAACCTCTTCGTTGATAAAAACTGGAACATCACCTCACTTGTGGATCTTGAGTGGGCAAGCACCCGGCCACTAGATATGTTTCGGACTCCGACCTGGCTCACGAGCAAGGCTTGCGATGAGATTGCTGAGGAAGGGCACGAAGAGTATGATAAGGTCCGGGCAGAATTTATGGACAAATTCACGGCGGAAGAGGAACAAGCTCAAAGTCCCGCCTCTTGTAATTACGATGGGAAGCCGCTGCTGTCAGCTGCAATGAAGCTGAACTGGGATAAGGGAATATTTTGGTATACGCTTGCCCTTGCCAGCCCAACAGGTATTTTTCGACTATTCTACAAACAGATCCAACCTAGGTTCATTATGCATACTACGGGTCATGACAATTTCGAACTGATTATGCCATGGTACTGGGCAGAAGACTACGTTAAAGTCGGGATGAAGAAAATGTCAGATAGAGAGGATTATGATATCCGCCTTCGACACGCATTCGAGGGTACTGCAATATCGGATACTGTTCCAAATATTTAATCCGCGGGCTTATTGACCGCTTGGAATGAATGGACGGGGGTCTACATTCACGCGAAAGACGGTACAATATCTCAGCGCAATGAGGGGGACGAAGATGGGAATATAGTGATTCCGGTAAAGAGTCAGGAAGACCCATCAGCTTCGTTCTCTCTTTCATCTTCGCTATCAGCCTCGATAATCAGAGGAACTTCTCCGTAATATCATCAGTAAGTAATACTAATACTAGAGTAAGCTAAATATCCTACCTTGAGAGTTGACTGGCAAATATATTGCGTTCGAAATTATGAGACTGGTTAGCAGGTGGCCTTCGAAGAACAGCTCCTGTCACTAATACTAGGTGGATACTGTTGAACTATGCTCGCTATGATGGCGAAGTTTATGGATACTGAACCGTACATAGACCCGTAATTAGAGATATCGATTTTTTCATTAAGAAGAAGGAGCTAGCTTGTGCTGAATATGTCCTTTTCACCAAGTCATTAAATCTTTACCAGCTCACCCACCACAAACGGTATGGGGTGCCAGGTTTCCCAGTACCCAATATCAATCTTCTTCCAGCCCTTTCGATCTCCTCCACCAGCTGCCTCAAGGGCGCCGACAGTGTCTCTATTGAGTTTACACCCACCCATTAAAACATTCCACCCCGCTAAGATCCAGAGCTTTTGCAAGATCCATGTCACAACCGATGCTCGCCCAGGCCAAGGGCTAGCAATGTGCTCGCAGACAATCAGGCGACCGCCAGGTTTCAGTAACCGGTAAAGCTCGTTGACAGTATCCTGCTGGTTTGACACGCTGCAGAGGACTCTGATACACAGGATCGTATCGAAGACACCCTCGTTAGACCGGCCTTCCGTCTTAAGGAGCGCTAGCTTATCCAGTGCCGGGATGAGAGTTGCAGGTTCAGCACCACAGGAAACAATCTCGTATTTTCCAGCGAGCCCGGCTTTGTTGATGTTCTTCTGTAGCGCTGGGTGCATGTCAACCGCAGGTTCCACACCATAAGCCTTGGTTATGAGTGCTGGATCCAGCCGACATAATATCTCTCCGGTGCCTGGCCCAACATCCAAAACTACTCCGCTGGCTGTTTTCAGCATGTCGAACGTGTTGCCTTCAAGCTGCTGCGACAACTCCGCTCCTACTTTGCCCCAGACCCTCGAAAACTGTATTTAATAAGCATATGCCGGGTTAACTAGTGGAAATTATACATACAGCGCGGTGTCTGAAGGCTTGCAAGTCTTGGAATGCAAGCAAAGGCCATTGTAGAAAGGTTATCAGAAGATCTACGTAGAGTTAATAACATGGAGCTAAATCCTAAATATGGAACTTACAGTAATAGCAGTAGCAAATAAGTCCAGCAGGTTTCAATACGCTGGCGAGAAACCGCTCGAAAAGCGGGGGTGCCACATCCTCAACAGGTGCCATGGCTTAAGAATTGTAATGGTGTTTTCGAGAACTTAACTAGTATATCCTAAGTCTTGTTGTTAAGAGTTATTGTGCTGGTAGTAGTAATGGAGGATAGATGTGTTGGTGACGACATATAATGTAAGTGGCAGTTCGACTGCGGAATCTCGACGGATGTCCAACCTCGGTGCAGTCACGTAATGTAGTTGAAGTGAGGGGACAGTCTACATTCGCGAGAAAGACGGGTACAGAGACGGGTACAACGGCTCAACCCGATGAGGGCGACGAATATCGAAATATAATACTTCTAGAGAAGAATCGCGACATCGAGAGATCTCAGGAGAGGAGTTATCATCTCAGCTATAGTGTCTAGGTCGGGTGAGAAATACGAAGGCATGGGGTCTGTTGGCATACGATGCTAAATACGCTGTCTAGGCTTTAATTTTCCGGATCTGCCACGACTCCACCAAGGTTTATACTGTAAGATAGTAAGGCTTACTGTGTAGGAACAGCAGAGAATAAATTATTACAAGTGGCAAAAATCCAAAAATTACATATATTAAACGGCTTTATAAAAGTAGAATACTACATAACCATATAAGAATATCGTAAGTATAGTACAGTATGCAGGAAATATAAGTAGAGAGTGTATGTTAAAAATAAGGAAAAATCAATTATTTAGTATTTAGTATAACTACTATTTTATATAGATAACTATGGCCACAGGAAGTAATAGAGCGAGAACGTAGGTTTTCTAAATTATCACTTTTGGCGTTCAGTGTTCGCTAGCCACCATGCCACCTTTTGATTCAACCCCGTGCTGTCTCAGATCTTATCGCCTCGGCGGACCAAATTCCGCGCTAATTTTTGTCTTGACAACTTTTGTCCCGCAAGTTCAGCTTCAAACTTCTGGAACATTTTACCCCACACCGTAGCCTGAAATCTGGGCTTCTCATCCACGCCACATCACAGAGTTGCACATCTTCTAACTCCATTATATTTTCTTGAAGAATTGAGCTCTTGGATAGACCCAGCTGCCATACCCTATCACCCGGGCAGCTTCCCGACCCCACGTCACGGATCTCCCCGAAACTCGGACGAATTCTCCTCGACACACTCAGACAAAATGGCGACGAACTCTATCAAGCTGTTGACTGGCAACAGCCATCCTCAGCTTGCCCGCTTGGTTGCCGACCGGTAAGGCACACCAGCGCCCTAACCCGGTGAGCGTGGATGGGCACGTTGCTGACTGCGCATAGCCTCGGTATTGAGCTTGCGAAGACTATGAGTCTGAACTACTCGAATCAAGAGACATCAGTCACAGTCGGAGAGTCTGTTCGTGACGAAGATGGTACGAATCTGTCTTATTCCCGTGGCTTTGTTTCTATAGTTGTGCATACTCTAACACCTCAAAGTTTTCATCCTCCAATCCACCGCCCCGGGAGATATCAATGACGGACTCATGGAACTCCTCATCATGATCAACGCATGCAAGACCGCCTCTGCACGCCGCATCACCGCCGTCATCCCCAACTTCCCCTACGCGCGCCAAGACAAGAAGGACAAGTCCCGTGCGCCCATCTCCGCGAAGCTCATCGCAAACATGCTCCAGACCGCTGGCTGCAACCACGTCATCACGATGGACCTGCACGCCTCCCAGATCCAGGGCTTCTTCAACGTCCCCGTCGACAACCTATATGCCGAGCCCAGCACCCTGAGGTGGATCAGGGAGAACCTGGACGTCAAGAACTGTGTTATCGTCAGCCCCGATGCTGGTGGCGCAAAGAGGGCAACCAGCATTGCCGACAGGTTGGATCTTGGATTCGCTCTGATTCACAAGGAGCGTGCGAGGCCCAACGAGGTGTCGCGCATGGTCCTGGTTGGTGACGTTTCTGACAAGACCGCCATTTTGGTGGATGATATGGCCGATACTTGTGGCACCTTGGCAAAGGCTGCTGAGACAGTTATGGCCCACGGCGCAAAGGAGGTTGTTGCGATCGTCACCCATGGTATCCTGTCCGGAAAGGCCATCGAGATCATCAACAAGTCCAAGCTGAGCAGGGTCGTGACAACGAACACTGTCCCCATGCAAGGCAAGGAGGAGTCGTGCGCGAAGCTGCAGACAATCGACATCAGCCCTACGTTGGCTGAGGCCATCCGCAGGACCCACAACGGCGAGAGTGTTTCTTTCTTGTTCACTCACGCGCCTACGGATTAAACGTCAGATTTTGGTATGGAATGGAAAGCCAGCGTTCTAGTTTGAGGTGGATTTTGGAGGAGGATACTTTTCAAAGTAATAGATCAGAGGGCAAGTTTTTTGGGGGGTGTTTTGATAAATTTCAGGCGCTTTGTTGGTGTAAGGTTCAGGGGATATTTCAAAGCTCTGGTAGGCATATGTACAGTGCAAACGTGCCATTTTGGATTTCAAAAGTGAAGAGGAGTTAAACCCTATCTTGGGCGTGGTAGCTTGGATAAGTTCCTGGAACTTTTAGCATCATAAGAACTAACATGGAATAATAATTCTGGTTCTGTTCTTACCTCACTTTTTGCCACTCTGGCCGTTATGTTGAAATGCATGTGACTTCTATTTCGCTGAAGCAAATTGATATATATACAGCATCTATACAGCACTTCCACGCATGTTCATACAAAAACGCTCTGCCAATGCTTTTCCCTGATCATACAGCTCGACGTATTCCCACATGTAAAGACATGCGATTAAAAGTCAGTCACCCGTCCATTATAACTCCAATCCGCCTCCCCTCCCCACTTCAATGGGTCATTCTTCGGCCCTCCCACCTCCCCCGTCTTTGGATTTACTTCCCCCTCAAATTCTGGCTTCGCACCTCTGCGAACATCAGGGTGCAGCTCCTGTCCTTTGCCAGTAGCTTCTATCCTAGCCGCAAGGGCATCCGCTGACTCATCTGTTGCCGGGCTTTGGTTGACCTGCGGCTTCGACGCCGGGGATTGGTTTATTTGTGGTGTCGCACGCGGTGTTGAGAAGGCACCCGTCGAAGCCTTCTGTAGCCTTTCGAACTCTTCTTGCTCCTTGGGTGGGAGGCGTGGCGGGGAGGGCCCAGTCGCGAAGGCGGGACGAACGGAGGATGTCGAGAAGAGGCGGCGGTAGGGCGCCGGGTTGAGGCGGAGGAGGAGACGAGGCATGGTTGTGTGACTATATCGAAGATGTTTACTTGTCGGTATATTGTAAGGCTTGCTAATACCCGTACAAAAGGAATGTTGCTTCTTGAATCGGTAATGCGTGCGTTCGGGGTAATTCGTTATGGATGGTAATCGGGCAAGGCTGAAGCCGGACCGGGCGTTAGCCTATTGAATATTCTGCCGGGGCGGTGAAACGTATTTTGTGGTCGATAGTGGGATGGAGGGGCGACTTCGGATATTTCGTACATGGGCTGGTTTGACTCACAACAGAGAGGACACTTGCATATAAACAACCCTTTTTCTCGATACGAGAGTTTCTTTCCTCAATCCCACTTATACGCTTCAATTGACTTATAAAAATAATTGGCAGCGAAAATGGAGGGCCTTAAACAGACCTTTGCACAGTGCAAGAAGGAGGGGAGAGTGAGTCTCAACGAGCTCAGACTATGAGAGCGGTGAATTGATGCTGACATGATATATAGGCGGCGTTGGTTACATATTTCACCGCTGGGTATCCTACTGTAGAGGAATGTGTTGATATTATGCTGGGGCTGCAAGCCGGTGGATCAGGTATGTTATGACTTCATTGTAAAGCGAGCGACCAATGCTAATATTCCCTCTCCAGACATCATTGAACTCGGAATCCCTTTCACAGACCCCATTGCTGATGGACCAACTATCCAAAAGTCGAATACCGTTCGTACAGACCTACTGGACTGCTGTTACGCCGCTGACTGAGCTTCAGGTCGCTTTAAAAAACAAGGTTACGGTCAGCTTGGTGCTCCAACTGGTCCGCGATGCGAGAAAGAAGGGACTGACAGTCCCTGTACTGTTCATGGGATACTATAACCCGATTTTGAGCTACGGAGAGGAGAGACTACTGAAGGACTGCAAGGAGGCTGGCATCAACGGTTTCATTATTGTTGACCTGCCACCGGAGGAGGCCGTCACATTCAGAAACTTCTGCACCAAAGCACAGTCAGTATCCGTCCAAATGGTTGTTATTACAGCTACTAACAGCATCGTAGACTCTCATACGTTCCCCTGATCGCCCCATCCACCACAGATGAGCGCATGAAGCTCCTCTGCGGACTCGCTACTTCATTCGTCTATGTCGTCTCGAGAATGGGCGTCACCGGAGCTACAGGCACTTTGAGCACAGGTATCCCCGAGCTCTTGGCACGAGTTAAGGAGTACTCTGGCGGCAAGCCGGCAGCCGTTGGATTCGGTGTCAGCACAAGAGACCATTTCGTCACCGTTGCCAAGATCGCTGATGGTGTCGTGATTGGAAGCCAGATCATCAACGAGCTTGGTGACGCACCAGCAGGACAGGGAGCCAAGGCGGTCGAGAACTACTGTGCCACCGTCTCTGGAAGGAGAGCAGCCCCAGTGACCCGTGAAATCGGAATGGTCGAGGCCGTACACAGCGCCCAAGAGCCCTCGGGAGATCAAGTCCAAGTCGACGCCGTCGTCCCTCCCCGCCCCGAAGGCGAAGTCGGCCTCGCCGACCAAATCGTCGCCCTGAACGCCGACGGTATCGCAAACCCAAACCACATCCCCTCCCGCTTCGGCGAGTTCGGCGGCCAATACGTCCCCGAGTCGCTGATGGACTGCCTTTCCGAGCTCGAGCAGTGCTGGGCTGAGGCCAAGAACGACCCCAAGTTCTGGGAGGAGTACCGTTCATACTACCCCTGGATCGGCCGCCCAGGGCACCTGCACCTCGCCGAGCGCCTGACCGAGCACGTTGGCGGAGCTAACATCTGGCTCAAGCGTGAGGATCTCAACCACACCGGTAGCCACAAGATCAACAATGCCCTCGGACAGATCCTGATCGCCCGCCGCCTCGGGAAGACCGAGATTATCGCTGAGACTGGCGCCGGTCAGCACGGTGTCGCTACCGCGACTGTCTGCGCGAAGTTCAACATGAAGTGCACCATCTACATGGGCGCTGAGGACGTGCGCCGCCAGGCCCTGAACGTCTTCCGCATTAAGCTCCTCGGCGCGCGCGTCGTTGCCGTCGAGGCAGGATCGCGCACCCTCCGTGATGCCGTTAACGAGGCTATGCGCTCCTGGGTCGTGAACTTGGATACCACGCACTACATCCTCGGATCGGCCATCGGACCCCACCCCTTCCCGACGATGGTTCGCACATTCCAGTCCGTCATCGGTGACGAGACAAAGGCCCAGATGCAGGCTGCGCGCGGCAAGCTCCCCGACGCCGTCGTGGCGTGCGTGGGTGGTGGCTCAAACGCCACGGGAATGTTCTTCCCCTTCTCCGCTGACCCGAGCGTTGAGCTCGTCGGCGTCGAGGCCGCGGGTGACGGAATCGATACCCCGCGCCACTCTGCGACTCTGAGCGGAGGATCCAAGGGCGTTCTCCACGGTGTTCGCACCTACGTTCTCCAAGACGAGCATGGACAGATCCAGGATACTCACTCTGTGTCGGCTGGTCTGGATTACCCCGGTGTCGGCCCAGAGCTGAGCGCGTGGAAGGATAGCGATCGCGCGACGTTTATCGCGGCGACGGATGCGCAGGCATTTGAGGGGTTCAGGGCGCTGTCGCAGTTTGAGGGGATTATTCCGGCGCTGGAGACGGCGCATGCGGTTTGGGGCGCTGTGGAGGTGGCGAAGAGGTTGGGGAAGGGGAAGGATGTTGTTATTTGTGTTAGTGGACGCGGTGATAAGGATGTGCAGAGTGTGGCGGATGAGTTGCCTATTTTGGGACCCAAGATTGGATGGGATTTGAGGTTTTAAGGGGGGGAGATAAAATGAGGTGAGATGGTGATTGAGCCTAGATCGAACAAGTTTTGAAGGCCGAAAATGAGATGATGATAGAGATGGTACAATTTTGGTGATGATGGATGATCTAGAGAAAAAAGTTTCGTATCACACTGAATAAAGAGCAATTGGACTTATCAAATACATCATCATCTCGTTATTCATTAAAATACACATCCGATCTACCACTCCCCACGCAGTAAATCTAATCCTCTACAACAAGCTATCATCCCCTCTATCCCCATGCCCCTTCGCCTTAACCATCTCCGACCCCTCCTCGGGCCCAACAGTAGCCAAGTACTTCTTAAAGTTATCACTCATCTCGACCACCTTCTCGAAATGGTCCTGTCGGAGCTCAATCTCCAACGGCTTCGTCTTATCCTCCACCTTGCGCTTCTGGTCAGCCTCGTACTCAGCCAGCGCCACGGCAGTCTGGAACGCGTTACGGATCTCGCGACCGTTCCACTCGGTGTCGCGAAGCACGTCGTCGCTGAGAATGTACTTCTTTGCCGCGGCCCGGACAGATACGTCATCGCCGCGCTCGCGCTCGAGCTTGGCGAAGAACTGGAGCCAGATTCGCTTGCGTCCTACGGCGTCGAGGGGTGGGTAGCCGATGTAGACGTGGATACGGCTGAAGAAGGCGGGGTCGAAGTGGCCAACGCGGTTGGTGGTCATGAAGAGGATACCGCGGTAATACTCCATGGCGCGGAGGAATACCGAGACGAGTCCATTGCGGGTGAGTTCGTTGACCTCGCGGCGCTCGAGGTAGACATCCGCCTCATCGATGAGCATGACAGCTCCCCAGATCTCAGCGAGCTTGAACCATTTGGACAAGTTCTCCTCGACGCGGAACTCGTCGGTTCCGATGTCACCACAGGTGAGAGAGAGGAGGGGGCGCGATGTGAATTCCGCAACACACTCGGCGGTGAAGGTCTTTCCGGCACCGGGAGGGCCGTGGAGGAGGAAAATCTGGCCCTCGCCCTTGTTGGGGATGGGGTCGGCGGCCCAGGTGGTCTCGTTCTTGGAGGGGTTGGTTTTCTTGGAGGTGGTGTATTTGTGGACGAGGGCTTTGATCATGCCGAGCTTCTCGTTGGGGAGGACGAGGTTCTCGATGGCTTCGGTTTTGATCTTGGGCTCGCGGCAGAAGTCGACGTCGAGAGCTTGCCACTTCTTGGACTTCAGGTCGAAACCCATGATGCGGCGGGGACAGAGGAAGTAGCGGTGGCGGGAGACGACGCCGTCCTTGATGGTCTCGAGGGAGGGGGTTTCTTGGGGATCGATGTTCTCGTAGGTCCCCCACTTCGTGCTCCCGGATGCGGCGCGGCGCTTCTCCATGCACTCGCTGCAGTTGCAGTCGTAGTGCATGTCGGCGAGAATGCCTGAGTTGTCATCGTCGACACACAGACTTGGAGCCGGGTGGATGTCAGTCTCCTCCCATCCTGCGTATGTGTAGAACGATCCCTGATCGACGACGACTCGGCCCTCGTGGAAACGCTTTGGGCGCTGCTTAGCCGCCATACTGTAGCCCTTGTAATCCATCTGTCGGCCCATCAACATCTTGTAGAACTTCTCACCACGGTCCTCCAGTTTCTGGCGAGGAGAAACCTCGGGATCGGAGTCGAGGTACATTGCTGGGATGACCTTGAGAGAAGTGATTTCGCGCTCGCCTTCGAAGGGAATGATGATCACTTCGTGCTGTCTGCGGCCCAAATAGCGGCCATCGAAGTCCATGTACCACATCATGATCTTCAAGGGACTGAGCTGCCCCATTTTCGTGGCTTTGTTGACGTCCGCAGTTGGAGTACATGACTGCACGACGAAACCACCACGCTGGTCGTCGATGTTTGCGTAGACGTCCATTCCTGGCTTGAACAACATCCAAAGCATCTCAAAGGTCGCAACAGGAGTTGGGCGCATGTAGCGCTCATCCTCCTCGAGGATCTTGTCGCCGAGGTTGTCCTCAAGGTACTTCTGCAGGACACCAATGTGGTGATAGGTCTCTGCATCATCGCAAGACTCCCGATACTCATCGAGCTCCTTGCGGAAGTGAACGAGAATGCTGAATGGCTCCTTGATGGAGATGGTGTTTCCGAGGAGAGACTGGCCAGGGTAGTAATCAACGATGGAGCGGAGAGCCTTAATGATGGGCTCCGAGTGGATGATGAGTTCCTTCTCCTCCATGGACTTCTCGTCAAAGTCGTCCATGTTCTTGGGAGTGTCCTCCTCTCTCTTCTTGTTGTTGCGTCCATTCTTGTAGAGTGTTGGGAACCAGACAGTCACACTGTAGAGGACCTCGAGAATTGGAATGCCGAGATCGCTGTATGCAGTCTTCTTCATCTTGTATGGAGCAGTGAGATCCTTGGTACCCTTGATCTCTCCGCCAAAATCCTTGTACTGGACTTTGTAGAGGATCTCCGGGCATTGTGGGAGCTCCTCCTTGGTCTCATTGTCGCTGGAGGTGGCCGGTGTCGCCGATTCCTGCTCTGGCTTCACGATAACATACTTGGCGCCCTCACCTTCGGGCTTCTTGTCACTTGATTCACCCATGGTTGCAGGAGAGTGTTGTTGTGATTGCAGGAGAGTGTTGTTGTGAGAAGGATGAGAGTAGGTATAAGATGAGGAAGAAGTGGAGTTCAGAGCACAGCTCAAGACGTGGAAAAAGCGGCAAGTGAGCTCACCAAGAGAATGGTGAACGAGTATGAAGAACGAAAAAAAAAAGAAGGTATGAGGGAGTTCATTCAGACTTTATAGAGTTTGGGGGCTTGTCGTTGGAGTTGGGTTGATCTCACCCACAGCCTCCTCTCCCCACAGCTCAGCCCCAAGGCTGGTTCCAGCCAGGCAACCGTGGCCGTGCATGAAACTACTGCTCCTTGATCCTCTATCAAGCTCTGGAACCAAGCAATCACAGACGTAATGCGGTGAGAGAGGAAGGAAACGATGTTACTCGCCGTTGTCGTGACTGGGACGGCCTGCATACTCACCCATGTTCGCCTTATGCTATTAGGTGGAAGCTGCCGTCTTCAACGCCGTTATCACGCCGTAGGCCAATGGATGATGAGTGACGAGCAGCACATCCCTGTCCCGTGTGCTATGAAGCTGCGGCGAAGGAGTCAGAGTGGTCATCATTATGTGGAGCTCATGAAGCGCCTTGACTGGAGAGAGCTGTAGCTTGTAGGCTGTGGCTTGTTTGTGGAGTTGGAGCCTATTTACACTATTCTAAGATCTTTATCTCCACAATGCATAGCATAATTCTTATCGCAAAATATGCAGTCACGTGTTGGCTGATAAGAGACCGTCACAAATTCCAGACTCTCCATCTCTCCAGCTGTAAACGTAAACAACGAACATGTCAAATACATGGACAAGAAGGCCAGATCCTATAACAATTGTTAATGTTACTCAGCAACCACTTAATACCACCTAATTTGTAACCTCCGCTAACCTCCGAAACCATGTTGCGACGGTCCAGGCCCAATCTACAGCCAGCCAGCTTTGTAAGAAGTTGTGGTGGTGGAGGGATGAGCCGCGGTCCACAGTCTCGCTTGCCATCTTTATATAAATGCCGAGGGGCCCGCATGAGGGGTTACAACTCCCGCCACCAAGCATCTTTATTCACCGCTAGCTACAACACTATAACGGCGCATACGTCAACTACCTCATCTACGACATCTTTATATCCCACAGATATCCAATCGCATATACATAGTCGCAAAAGAAACATATCAAACATGGCGTCAGCTACCTCCGTCTTCGACTTCAAGCCGCTCAACAGTAAGTCGCATCCTTCACATGCCTGGTTTGCGCCAGCGACAACACCAACCCTCCTCGTTGTCGCATTGGCAATGTGTTCTTATCATCATATCTGCTGCTCGCTGCCTCTCTCACCGCGTACTCATCACTAACCCTCAACAGAGAAGGGTGAACCCGCACCCCTCTCCGCCTACGCCGGCAAAGTCCTCCTCATCGTCAACACCGCCTCCAAGTGCGGCTTCACCCCCCAATACGGCGGACTCGAAGCCCTCTACCAGAAGATCGAAGCCTCTCACCCCGGCGAGTTCGTCGTCCTCGGCTTCCCCTGCAACCAATTCGGCGGCCAGGAGCCCGCAGCCGACGACCAGATCCAGGAGTTCTGCCAGATCAACTACGGCGTCAGCTTCCCCATCTTCGGCAAGACGGAGGTCAATGGCGATAATGCCGATCCGCTGTGGGAGTACATCAAGAGCGAGAAGCCGGGGTTGATGGGCATGAAGCGCGTGAAGTGGAACTTTGAGAAGTTCCTGATTAGCAGGGATGGGAAGGTTGTGGAGAGGTGGGCGAGCACGAAGAAGCCGGAGACTTTGGAGGGTGATGTGCTCAAGGAGATTGCGAAGAAGGCAGCTGAGCCAGTGAAGTCAGAGCTGTAAGCTGTGAAGATGGAAGTTGGGGGGTGTAGATATGCGGGCGGAGGTGCGTGTGCCTACGAAGTGGTTAATTGAGCTGGTGCTGGGGGTGGCTAGCCGCGCGGTGCAGTCTCGTTATGCACCCTGCGGCAGACTGAACTGTACTGTACAAGTACGAAATGCAGCTTCTCACTGTAATTTCCACTGTCACCACCGCCATCGCAACCTGCGTCTGTGAGTACCTCATTTGCGAGCTCATTTGGGGGGTGGAAGGGAGCCATGTGTTAGCAAGATACCATGGTCGGCGGTCCTACTATTTAGCCTCTTTTGCTGGGCGGATGTATTCTGTCGCGACGACATAGAAGAGCAGCAGGATTGTTGGGAGTCCCTGAACTAGATACTATAGATATGGCCATAGATTTCCTCACAGATTTTTGATCTAATTTAATTAATTGTTGATATAGAGCAGCTATTGTCATCTCTTCACCGCCACCTCATCAACTTGATATCCAAACTTGATATCCAAGCTCGATAGCGACTGATAACACGACAAAAAAGACGTCTATACCAGCACTACTTTTCCGAAGAAGTCAAATATCCCAAATAATGATAGCTAATTATACCAAAACGTAATTATTTGCACCAAACACAATCCACTGACGCAGCTAATCGCCATGTTGCTCCTCTCACCGATGATCCTCCCCAACCGGCCCGAGAGCGGCACACCAGGACTTAACTCGATTAACTCCGACTCCACAATCAGCGCCAACGATTCTCAGATGGACTCAAACCAAATAAATCCCAGCAAAATGCCGCTCCTTAATCCTTCTAGTCGCATTGGTCTCACATAAATAAGCCTTTTTGACACCTCTGGGCGCCGTTTCCTCAAAACCACGACCGCAGCCACAACAATCACTAATTCTCGTTCTCATTCTTCTATTATCACATTCCCAGCAATGGCGGCACCGTCCTGTAAAAACTGCCTTACGGGCTATATGAAGACTGAAAAGCCTACCGGCACTGTATCGACAATTCATGGCCTCGAAACCTACGTCGCTACGCCCCCGAACGCCCCCAAAGGGCTCATCGTCATGATCCCAGATATTTTCGGGTGGGAAACAAACAACAGCCGTCTCCTCGCCGACAGCCTCTCCCAAGACGGCGATTTCCTCGTCTACCTCCCTGACTTCATGAATGGTTTGCCTTTCCCCTTCCAATCCCCCAGTTTTATCACTCCGTACTGAACATATCCAGGCACCGCACCACCCCCTGGCACAATGGAATTAATGGACTCCCTCCTCGGCCCCTCCCCCTCCCTCGCCACAACCATCTTCTACAAACCCGTCTGGGCCGTCCAATTCGCCAGCGCCGCCATCCCATTCTTAGCGCGCAACCGCGACGCCGTCGTGCGTCCACGGATCTACGATTTCCACCACGCCGTGCGCTCTGACCCGTCCACCGCACATCTCGGGTTAGGATCAGCGGGGTACTGTTGGGGGGGTAAATACACGATCCATCTCTGCCAGGAAGATGGGATGGTAGACGCCGGGTTCGCCGCGCATCCGAGTAAGGTGGCGTTTCCGCAGGACTGGGAAAAGGTCGCCAAGCCGCTGGCGGTGGCGATTGGAGATGTGGATATGGTGATTGGGATTGAGGATGTGAGGAAGATTGAGGGGTTGTTGGAGGGGAGGAAGGAGCTGGAGAGTGAGGTTAGGGTGTATGAGGGCGCGAAACATGGGTTTGCGGTTAGGGCGGATCCGAAGGATGAGGGGCAGACGAGGAGTGCGGTGGAGTCGCAGAGGCAGTCTTTGGAGTGGTTTGGGAGGTTTTTGAAGGGGAAGGGGAAGCAGAAGTGAGGGGGTGTGCTATTAAATTGCTTAGAAGGCTTGTTTTCAGACGCCAATTGCTAACGGACTTCGATACCTACATTGCTTAAAGCTATATATCCGTTTATTGCGTTTTATACGCTTGCTATTTTAAATTGTAGAGTATACTCGCAATTATGCAGGACGGAATTTGTGCGGAATTTGTGTGAAATTTACATAGTCTCACTTCGGACTTGAAACAACCAAATAACCTCCCCTCTCTTAATCATATCGCTATAGCACATATAAAACTGTGCACAGCTTAGCTTATAAAATAGAACAAGTCTTATCTCGGTGTTAGCAATTAATTCCGTTGTTACTATTTTCAAGAGCTTCGGACTTTGTCAGAGTTAGACATATTTCGGTACGCATCGGCGACCGGGCCGCATCGGCAGCGCGTCGGCAACAACATGATTGGCTAATGTCCACTCTCCTCCCTAACTCCATAACTAAGAATTCATAAAGTCGCATACATATAGTATATCAAGAGAGAAATCTAGCTGTCATGGACACAGATTCTCTTATAAGAGCAGCAGCGACCCGTGGTGGTTTTGGAAACTCCGACATCTTGCCTTAGAGTTGGCACTGTCGTGATGGCGCATACAAATGAGGATTTAGGGGAATCTGAGAAGGGAGCTGTTGGGACAATGCCCGAAGAAACAGATGTGGCTACGGTGATTAATAAAGAGGCTCTGAGCTCGAATGAGGGCAATGGCAGCGAGACCCCTTCAGAGGCAGCGGTGCAGACAGTGCCTCTACCTGACAGTGATCCTGCCAGTGAACCACCATCAGAGGCACCTATCGAGTCAACTGACGCATCTACCGGAGCATACAGTGTCTTCACAGTCACCCAGAAGAAGATGATAGTTCTCACGGCATCATTAGCTTCGCTATTCTCCCCTATGGCCACTGCAATATACTGTGAGCCCCTATCCCCTTCACATTGCAAAGCACATTCTCACATAACTAGACCCATCCCTCACAACCATGGCCAAAGACCTCCACGTCTCAGACGCCAAAATCAACCTAACAGTTACTCTCTTCCTGGTACGCTCTTCCTCTTCCTCTCACACCACAATCTAACCACCCCCCAGGTAATCCAAGGCATTGCCCCAGCCTTCTTCGCCGACATCGCCGACCGCGCCGGCCGCCGCCCCATCTACGCAATCTGCTACCTAATCTTCAACATCGCCAACATCGGGCTCGCCTTAGAAACAAACTACACCGCCCTCCTCATCCTCCGCATGGTCCAAAGCGCTGGCTCCTCCTCCACCGTCTCCCTCGCCAATGGCGTGGTCGGGGATATCATCACCTCCGCCGAGCGCGGTACATACATTGCCTTCTCCTCACTCGCTGGCATATTTGGTCCCATGATCGCGCCTGTACTAGGGGGTGCCATAGCGCAGTACGCTGGGTGGCACTTCTTGTTCTGGTTCCAGCTGATTTTTTCGTCGGCGGTGTTTGTGCCGCTGCTGCTGTTTATGCCGGAAACGTGCCGAGCCGTGGTGGACGATGGGTCAATACCACCGCCAAAGTGGTCGAGAAATTTCACGGATACGTGGAGGCATCGGAATAGGACGAAGAGGGGGTTGGTGGTGGATAAAATTAAGCAGGAGAGGATTAGGGAGAGGTATCGGATTGGATTCCCGAATCCGTTGGCGACACTGAGGGTGGTTTCTGATAAGGCGACGGCGATTATTCTTATATGTACTGGTGTTGGAATAGGTTGCTTCTATGCCATTAGGTATGCTTTGTCCCTTCCCCCTTATCTCTCATACCGGGGCTCAAAGCTAACTCCCACCCAGCACCGGCGCCGCAACAGCCTTCTCCAAGCATTATAACTTCGATCCCGTCCAGATCTCCCTAATGTTCATCCCCATCGGCGCAGGCAGCATCCTCTCCGCCCTCACAAGCGGCCGCCTAATCGACTGGAACTACCGCCGTCACGCACACCGCCTCGGCATCACCGTGGTCAAAAACCAACGCCAAGACCTTCGCAACTTCCCTATCGAGAGCGCACGCCTCCAAGTCGGCTTTCCGATGCTCTTCCTCGCCGGCGCGGCCGTGATGTCCTACGGCTGGGCGATACGAGCAGGGGCTCCTCTCGCCGCGCCAATCGTGGTGCTCTTCGTAGCAGGGTTCGCGCTGACGTTTACGTTCCAGGTGCTTAATGTGCTGCTGGTTGATATGTGGCCTGGGAAGGCGGCGGTGGCGACGTCGGCTAATAACCTGGTGAGATGCGAGATTGGGGCTGTGTTTACGGGGGTTATTGGCCCGTTGACGGGGAGGGTGGGGGAGGGCTGGGCGTATACGATTTTGGCGGCGGGGTTGGTGGGGGTGGCGCCTGTTTTGGTGGTGGTGATGAGGAGGGGGGTGAGGTGGAGGGGGGTGAGGAGGGAGAGGGAGGAGAGGAAGGAGGGGGTGAGGGGGCCCCCTCGTGAAGAGGGAGAGGGAGGCGGAGGATAGACGGGTGAAGGAGGGGAAGTAGAGGCGTAGATAAATTCTGGGCCCATCGTTTGATGATGCATGTAGATTGACCATTGACTTATTTACAATTGTGCATATCAAATTGTAAATAAAAGATCGAAAAAGCTAAAGAAAAATGTTGTAAGGGGCCAGTTTCCATGTGAGACTTATTTGGTAGTCCTGTAAACAGAAGGCTGCTAGTCGGCACTGCGTACAAATAAAGCTCATCGCCGGCATGTGATATATACAGTAGCGTGCCCCCAATAGCCAAATTTAGACTCTATTCTAGATAATGTGATATCTACGGCTGAGTAGATACTGTTTGGCCCCTGGCTCAAGATTCAAGCTTCTCATTCTGGTGTAAATAAAATTAGCTGTTGGTTACTCAACCAATGAACGGTTTATTTTTATCAGTTATGAATTACTTCCAGTTAGTTATATTTACAAGTCCAGCGACATAAATCTAGCCTTATACGTATGACATGGGATGCCCGACAGGTCTAATTTTCGCGATATTACATTTACGAACGCCAAGAGTTGCCTGGACCAACTAGAACCCAACATGTCGACCACGCGCTTGACGCTATTTAAATTGGCTGTTAGTTTAACTATACAAAGTCTCCAGTTACCCACCAGTCTCCAATTTTAAGCATATCAAGCTCTAAATCCAAGGCATAGAAAATGTCTTAATAGTCGCGGTTGCAGATCAGCCATCGGAATATCTGCCTTAAACGTTTCCACGAAGAATCACCTTGAGATGGTGCGTTCCAGATTCCCAAAGCCATGGGGCATCACCCAGCTCGTTTTACGATCCATATCCGCCGGGCTTTCCTTCGCGACGCTTATTGTCGCCATCTACGCATCCGCGCGGGGACATGGCCGTGCTGTGGTAGGCTCATACATTGCGGTATGTCTCCCATCCCCCAAGCCAAATACAGGCCGAGGTAAAGGCACGTTCGTATTCGCTGACATCGTGGCACTTTTAGTCCATCTGGGCTATGACGGTGGACGTGCCAGAAATTGCGGGGTTGGCTGATTCCTCAAGGCGCACACCGCGCTGTACAGAAGGGATGACAGCGTTTCTTTCGTTCATCACTATGCTGATATGTGGTATTGTGCCAGTGGCGGTTCAAATATCGGTTAGTGGGTGGAGTCATGAGTGTGGAAGTAAGCCGGTGGAAGTCTGCAGGGAGGAGGAAAGGCTGCGCAATGAGGCTGATCATGATACGCTTCTTGGTTGGGTGCTGCCTTGTGTTGTGGCGTAAGTTGTTCAACTTCTTCAAGTTAACCTATGGCCGCCTGTTTTGTTTGTTTGCATACAGTCTTGTATAAATACTAACTCTGTTTAATTAGGGGGATGCATATTTTCTTTATGATATTCGGATGTGTTGGTCTTTGCACCAGAAAAAGAAATGACTAAATATGTCGTATGTGGTGGTTACTAATGTAGTATAAATGTCGTTATCTGGAAATAACATCACTACATATCACAATTTATATAGGGGCCTGTTTTTTTGAGTAAACCGCCTCTATATAGACCCCCATAAAACATCTCCACCGAGAGCTGCTCAAATACATCATACACCCCAACCCCCTCACAGAATCCCCACCTGGTCATCCACCCTCCTCTCCTCCAGTGCCTCCCTAACCACTCTCCAATCCCGGCAAACATGTGCCGCACCCGCCCCATCTACCGAGCTTGACTTCACCTTCCCAAAGTCATCATACTCCACCTTTACGAACTCCAGCGATGTGTCTCCAGCACAAAGTATTCCCTGACGAACTACTGCTCATCAGTACACACAACACCGATAGGTAAGGGGGGGAGAAACGAACTATAATCAAGACAGTGATACGCGTGTCCATCTCCCCCTTTGGCCGATTGGTCCCAGAACCTCGACGCGCTGCCTTTCCCAAACTGCACAATGACATCCCTCAGCATAGCCTGCGGCCGTTAGCCCGTATCTCATAATTGACTGCGATAGTGGCGGGGAGGGGAACAGACCAAGCAATGCAGCTGGTGCGTTAATGAGACAGAGTACTCCTCTGCGCCATCCGTGCCATTGCCGCTCGGTTTGCTCGGCGGGAGATCATAAAGGCGTGCGTTAGGGACGCGAAGGAAGCCTTTCCCCTCTTAACTGGGGCATTAGCTCAAATGCTGTGTATGCATGGAGGGGGCTGAATTACTAGGCATCATGTCATTCCATAGCTTGTCACCCGCGGGGCCTATGTCCCGGTACGGGGTCTCATCTTCGAAGATGACCGTTTGGATGGGAACTGGGAGCGTTAGAACGGTTTCGGGTACGGAAACTCTAGGCGGCTTACTCGGCGGCAGAAACGACTGGGGATCGAGAAGTCCTGTGCTGTTCCCCTGGCGATGCGAGGAGGAGGGCGCGTAAACCAATGCAGCGCGATACGCGATGCCGAGGAGGAGGAGGGTCTCGAGACCCAGAGCGACGAGGAGCCAAACGCTACGGCGGCGGGCCCAGTGGGGTTGCCGGGTGGCGCCGCAGGGACAGGTGTGGGCCGTGCCGGGATCAGCGGCGAGTGGGGTGTATTTCTGGGCGCTCATTTGGGGGTCATGAGTACTAAGATTATACGTATAATGTCATTGAGCATGTTTGGGAGAGGCTACAGAGAGAAATTTTGTTGGAATGCTAGGAAGGGAGATGTGGCCTTGTTTGGGCGCGGGAAAAGCCTCCGTTGGTTGTGCAAACCATCTCATATTGGGGTATAGCAGCAATATACGGCGCGGGCCCGGATGTCGGGCCTTTCATTTAAGCAGCCTTAATTAATCCGTGCGTGCGGCAAAAGTGCTGGAATTTAATTATTAAATTATAGTACCTTCTGGGACACAATTAAAGCTGGATGAGGTTGTGTAACTACAGAATTATCATTCAGAACTATCACTGACGCCGATGGAATCCCAGCCCCCAAAAGGAACACAGCACAATAAATCTAGTTGGAAGCCTCCTTCATGGGAATTTTTTTTTTCCCTACTGCCTTTACCTCAAACTCTGTTATACGATACTCGTGGGTCGACATATACATGTTAGGCGGCAGGTACTCGCCATTCCAAAGATCAACATGATCATGAGCTACGTTAGACAACCACATTACTGTAGGCTAGAAATAAGTTAGAGACCAGATCATTCACAATTATAATGATTGTTAGCTTACAGGGTCTGCCTCGTCGACTTGAAACTCCACGACAATCTTCGATTGTGGGACCACGTCTTTAATACGCGGTTTGTGGTCAATGGCGAGGAATATTGTATCGACCAATTTTGCCTCATCTTCACCACCCGAGAATCCAAAAGCTATGCTGGTAAGTGTTCCATCTTTGCAGTGATAGATCTGCTCGGTTTTTGAAGGAAAACCAAGTGACAGTCTGCCCCACTTTCCGAGGACATCAATACTTCCATCATGGTGATGTATTGCCATTCCGGATATCTGAGGGCCTGTCCTGCTTACTCTTAATTCTTTGACATGCGCAAAGCTTGCAACTGTGAGGTAGCAATTTACAAATCTCTTTCTCGGCTCGTCTGTATTTAATTCCAGTGTGAGCATTGGAACCGTCGGATAAATCCCCTGCACCTCCAGTCTAGCGCGTTGAGTAATACCTATGTTGTCGATTCTTTGGGAGACACCATCTCTTCTAAGTGCATCAAAAAAAATGCCTGTAGGTCTATATCCAGGGCCCTTGTTTAATAGTGTCCATTGATATCGCTTGTCTCCGTAAAATCCAGAGGCATGTACCAGTGAGGGCCCAAAAAGTTGTGTTCGATTTAAGTTGGTCAAAATCTTACTAGTATCAGCAAATGCCAAATATGCACAATGTCGACTAACCATGATGTTCGGTCTATGCCACGTGTTGGATTTAGGGTTTGGCATTCGGAGCCAAATAGATTCAATACGCTCGTCCGGCCGAAGATAGATATGTACAGGGTGACGTTTATCACTGCATTCGCCAATTGATCGAAGTGAGAGGCCAGAGCCAGATGCTGCCATACCCGTTATAGAGTGGCCGTTGCAGTACATTGTGAGGCTAGATATGTAACCTGTCTCATCAAAAAATGGAAGGTACCTGCACATTCGCCACTTAGGGAAGCTTCTAATCGATAGTGAATCCGTTATATCTAGGGTGCGATGACAGTCTCCAAATCTAAAGGAGAGATCTTTATCCAACAAAAGTCCACGCTGCTCTCTCATTGGTGAGCCATGCATGAAACCTACCCGGATGCATTTCAGATCCTATTAGGTATTAGCAGGCTGCTAGGGGTATAGTTCATATATATAGACTCACATCGCGCAGAATACGCAGACTTGTAATGTCAGTCCCGCGCATTACTCCAATCCATCCGGCTCTTGGGTCCCCAAGCCAATCAGACGACTCATTGGAAGCATAACAAATACGAAGTGCCTTGAGCCCATAACGGCCAATTGCAAACTTGATACCTGTAACCTCTGACTCTTTTACTTGAACTTTTTCTGAACCCTCACTTAGTTCGTTAAATCTCAAGGATGATATATATGTGTTGCCGAATATTGACACAGTCGTAGCGGAAAGGGTCTTGACATCTGAGTGGCATATAAGCTCAATATGTCGTTGACCTTGGCTGCACTTGAATGCGCTGACAAGTGTAAAAGATGTGTGAGCCACTGTTACGAGCGACGATATCAAGTTCGAAGGGCAAGCTTCTGATATCACTAGCTGAAGTTCTAGTGGCAACCTAGATATGCGATTAAGAAACTTTCCCAAGTTTGATTGGCTGGCGTTCTCATCGATGAAGCCTGTGAATCCCGTGGCTGTGATATCTTGACCCTCTGGGACATGTGAAGTCTTGAACAAAGAATATGTCGACTCTGCAAACTCATATATTGACCGAAGACTGAGATCAGAATCCAATGCCTTTATCAATTTCCAACACGGGAGATGAACAAGGTGAGCAATTCTATCTTTATTCCGTGTTCGGTGGTTAATCTCGACTTTCAGGGCCAAAGACTGGCCACTGGCGAAATCTACAGCTATTTCCTCGAAACAAACAGCGTTTGCCAAATCCCCAAAGGCAGCAACTATTCTAGACGGCTTGTCTGTACTTGCGATATTATAGACTAGGAATACGCATTTAGTACCCACTTATTAAAGAATATAGGGGTGTGGAGATGTAAACTGACGTCCGATGACCTTGTACTGCCAGGCATCACTCAGTGGAGGAACGAAGCCAATCTCGGAATTGGGCTCAGGCAGAGTCTCACGGCAGAGAGCGCAATAATCACCAAACGTGAAAAGAAGCTTGCCCGCTGGGTCCCTTGGTACAGACATAGTTTCTCACCCGTACGTTGAACTTAGGTATGTCATGTTGGACAACGTGGTATGATGTGGCTGAGATGGTGATAGCTCCGGATACGAGTAGCGCGACAACGCATCACCGTATGGAATTGTGGCTGAGGACATCGTGTGGCTGGAGAATAAAGGACAAGGGGAACAACTCAGATATTGTCCGGATAAAATACTGTGAAATTACAAAATCACAGACTCGCTGAGATCACTAAACCCCACAAGATACTCGGCGTTGGGGCTTCCCCTCATTCTCTACTCGAGTATGTACTTCGAACGAGACAGGGGAAAACCGAGCTATCCAAATGAGAACATCGGCTTCCTTAGTACCGAAGAAGGTGATCAACGGCATCATAACCATTCGCGGGGTTCAGGCTAATTAGATGGTTGAATAGGAACAGTTCCGTCCAGACTTTCCCCACACGCCATTACTCCAGCCGGCAATCAAGTACCTTGCAGTCTTGCTTGTCTTATACAAGCTAATATGAGGGGGCGGGCCTTGTTTGTTCTTTCGATGTTCTAGCATCAAAACCATATTTTACCTAATTTACACTGGCATACCACGCCAACGCGCAACTAGCACTGGCAAAATGGATAAAGTACGCCATGCGATATATATCCAGAGTAGCGGAGATGACGCTCATCCGGGGGTAATAAGAAGCGTGAGGAGAAGCTCGGGGCGTGCCTTATATAATGCTGTCATGGCCCTTTATTTTCGTGGCAGTTGACAAGAGACTCAAGGCCAATTGAGATGTTACTCAAGCTTCTCCCTTCTCTCGCGCTCTTCAGCGCTGTGTCTGCGCTCGGCCAGAAGCAGACCATTGGCTTTACGGCTTCACATGATGCCTTCCAGCTCTTCGGATCCTCGCATGGGAACCATGCATCCAGCGGGCAGATTCTCGTCTCCCCCGATGACTACTGGGGCGTCCAGAAAGCTGCTGGAGATCTTGCCATGGACTTCGGACGAGTAACCGGCACGAACCTATCTTTGACGGCTTATGCTGCCAAAACTGCCCAAGCAGTCTACAGGTGGCACGCTCCCACCAGCGACGTCGTCTATGCAGTTGGCCCGGAACAGCAGATTCTCGGCCCATTGTACACCAAAACCAAGGACTACAAGGATACTGTGATCATTGTCGGTACCATTGGTCACTCGACACTCATTGACCAGCTTGTCAAGGACAAGAAAATCGATGTGTCCAAGATAAAGGGCAAGTGGGAGAGCTTCGTTAGCCAAGTCGTGAAGAGCCCCCTCCCAGGTGTGCCCAAGGCTTTGGTCATTGCAGGTTCCGATGCTAGAGGTTCCATTTTCGGAGTAAGTAAACCGCGTCTCAAATACGTCCAACACTAACAATGGCAGATTTACGACGTCTCGGAGCAAATCGGTGTATCGCCATTCTGGTTTTGGGCCGACACTCCAGCCCAAAAGCACAGTGAGATCTATGCCCTCAGCACAGTCAAGGTACAAGGGCCACCAAGTGTCAAGTACCGTGGCTTGTTCATCAACGATGAGCAACCTGGCTTAACCAATTGGGTTAACAACAACTACAAGCCCGGGAAATACGGCCCAGGGATGAACCATCTCTTCTTTTCCACCATCTTTGAACTCCTACTCCGCCTACGAGCCAACTACCTCTGGCCAGCCATGTGGAATGGTATGTTCAACGTTGACGACTATGAGAACCAGCCGTTGGCAGATGCGTATGCAATTGTAATGGGTTCGTCCCACACAGAGCCAATGATGCGAGCCACAAACGAATATGGTCATTTTGGACAAGGGGCATGGCGCTGGGACACGAACAATGCCAGTGTTCGCCCATTCTTCGAGTACGGCGCCCAACGTGCCAAGCCATACATAAACAACAGTCTTTTCACCATGGCAATGAGAGGTAGCGGTGATACTGCTATTCCTCTGACAAGAGATAAGGCCATCAAGGCTGCCACCGACTCCGTCACAGCCCAGAGAGAAATTCTCGACGAGCTTCTCGCTGATGAGGGCAAGACTGCTAAGGATATCCCACAGATGTGGTGTCTTTACAAAGAAGTCCAGGATTACTTTGAAGGAGGTATGTCTGTGCCAGAGGATGTCACTCTCCTGTGGACCGACGACAACTGGGGCAATGTTCGCAGAGTTCCCGTTGGGGCCGAGAAAGCGCGCAGCGGTGGAGCTGGTATCTATTATCACTTTGATTACGTTGGAGACCCAAGGGATTACAAGTGGATTAACACGATCAACCTCGCAAAATCGGTCGAACAGATGAAGATAACTTATGAGAACGGGGCTGACCGCATCTGGATCGTCAACGTTGGAGATCTCAAGGGTCTCGAGATCCCAATCAACCATTACTTCGATCTTGCTTACGATATCGATCAGTGGGGTTACGACAGCGTCCCACAATGGCTTAAGCTGTGGGCGGCACGCGAGTTTGGATCCAAGCATGCCGAAGCTATTGGTGCCGTTGCTGATAAATATGGTATTCTTGCAGCGAGACGCAAGTACGAGATGTTGAGCCCTGGTACATACAGCGTCATCAACTACAATGAGGCCGAGACTGTTCTTGGAGAGTGGGCTGCCCTGGCCAAAGACGCACAGAAACTCCATGATTCTCTCCCAGCTAATACTCAGGCATCTTTCTTCGAGACAGTGCTTCACCCAGTCACTGCTGGCTACACAGTTTACAAGATCTACGTCCAGACTGCTCAGAACGACTTATATGTGAAGCAGAGGAGAACCGCAACGAATAGCAAGGCTCAAGCTGTCTTGACTGATTTCAATACCGATGCTGTTATCACCAAGCAATTCCACACTCTTCTTGGTGGTAAGTGGAATGGCATTATGGACCAAACACATCTTGGTTACGATTACTGGCAACAGCCAATGAGGAACTCCATCCCGCCTCTGGCCTTTGTCCAGACTACGGAGACCTCTGTCGCTGGAAACCTGGGTGTCGGAATTGAAGGTTCCAACGCCACCGTCAGCGGCGATGACCAGTACCACGATAATGGCAGCGGCACCCTCACTTCTCTGCCTCTCGAGCCATACGGCCCAAAGACCCGTTATCTCGAAGTCTTCAGCCGCGGAACCCAAGCTTGCAAATGGTCCATCGCCTCTCCATCCTACCTGAAAGTCGAGCCATCCAGCGGAACCACCGGCCCCCAACAGGGCAGCGACGTTCGCGCCCACATCTCCGTCCCCGACTGGTCCAAGGTCACCGTGGCCCAAACCGCGATCCTGAACTTCACATCGTCGTGTGACTGGGGTAACTACAACTCCCCCCAGATCAAGGTCCCCGTCATTCCCCGCTCGGTCCCAGCTACATTCGGCAAGGGCTTCGTTGAGTCCGATCGCCAGGTCACCATCGAAGCTGTGCACAGCACCAAGAGCACAACCGTCAAGGGAGCCAAGTACGTCACTCTCCCCAACCACGGCCGCTCGCAAGCCGCGGTGTCGCTCAGTCCTGTCACTTCGCCCTCGATGCCTGCTGGCACCGGCCCAGTCCTCGAGTATGACTTCTTCACCTTCACTGACATCGCATACCCGGCCAACATCACGCTGTACCTCTCGCCGTCGCTCAACTTCATGAGCGTTGATCGTCCGCTCAAGTACGCTGTTGCGGTTGATGGTGAGGCTCCGCAGACTATCCAGTTCGTCGGCACTGTCACGAGCGATCTGTCACCTCCTGGCTGGGGAGCTGCGGTTGCGGATGCGGCGTGGGGTGTTACCAGTGGTCGCCAGACGACGACTATGCATTCTATCAAGCCCGGAAAGCACACTCTCAAGTTCTGGTCCGTGGAGCCAGGAGTGGTTCTCCAGAAGATTGTGATCGATCTCGGTGGAGTGCGCAAGAGCTACTTGGGCCCGCCAGAGAGCTTCAGAGTTGATGTGAACAAGGTCGGGAAGTATGACGGAACGACATATCTTTCACAGTGAGAGGGGGAATATTTTGAACAGCTTTAATTATCTGATATAATAAAATATAATCGATGTGCGCTTTGGTGCAATAATCGCTATCTGAGTGTCTGCATAGTGTGAATGCCTGGGTTGAAATAATATCCGTCTATTTTATATATCTGGTATCCTCTGCATCCACCAACGGTCGCGGTTGAGGTGACACGATGCCAGAGCCAGTATAAAAATAGTTCCCCTGCCAATCCTGGGTAAATGAACCAGGACAGAACGATCCCATCCACGAGCATCAGAACTTTCTCCGTCCCCTCCAAACCCCCACACCAACTTCCAGCAAGCTCACCCAGGTAAAGTTGCCTCGAAAAACAGCGACGCCAAATTAACTCCCCCGCGCGATCCCTTCAAAGAGCCCAGTCATCAGTGTCCGATACAGACGGCGCCACGCTCGTAAAGGCAGGGTTCGCCTGCTCCGCCTTCCCCTTCTCCAATTTCATCCTCAAATCATGCTCCTCAAACGTCTCTTCACGTCCCCCATTAACTCCTATCCCCTCACCCCATCTAGCCCACCCCGCGTCACCTGCCGCTCCAGCGCCTGTAGCCTCATCCATCCTCACTTCTAGCTCCTCAATCTCATAGGGGTCCGCTACAGTCTGTGATTCCATCCACAGCTTCAGCTCGCCACGGTTAGTCAAGAACCCCGCGTCGGCTCTGATTCCGTCTTCGTATCTGAACGCATCGCGACCTGCCCGGTCAATCAAGAGATCAAGCGACACCTGCTGCACTACAGATCTGCGTTCCTGAATCGGCATGAACGGATCGCGCGCCTGCTCCTCGACCATCTCGTCCAGCAGGCCTTCCAATTTGGCTTCTCCCCCGCAGAGCCCCTGTGCGCAGACTTCGCACAACAGCAACCCACACCCGACTTCATTAACAAATCGGTCTGGGACGCAGCATTTGTAGAACGCCGGCGCCACACAAACGGAGCACCATTTGACGACCCTAGCGGAGTTTGCTCCATACCCCTTGTTTTGGTCCCTCATGATTTTCTCGTATGCGGAGTTGTAGTCGTAATCACGGGGGTGCTTGAGGCCGGCGATGGCGGAGATGGAATGGGTGTCGCAGAAGAGGATGCGTTGGCGCGCGAAGGTGCAGTCTGTGCAGACGTAGGTTGGGTCTTCTTCTTCTTCTACGTACTCGTATCCTTCTTCGTCATCTTCGTCTTCTGTGGCTTCGTCGTCGTTGTCGGCTTCTTCGTCTTCTGACCTCTCTCCTCTTTCTCCTGTTTTCTTCTTTTTAACCAGCACTATTCTGGGCGCGCATTCGGTGTAGACAAAGGGGTTAGCGGGACATGGTTTCGTGGGCCCAAGGACCTCAACGTCTTGCGGCTCGCCGATGCCTAGCATGGGAAATGCGGTGGTGGTGTGGAAGTGGCAATTCATGCCCATGAACCGGGTCCTTTTGAGATCGAGGTTGAAGGCAATCGGGTGGCAGAAGGACGTCTTGATTGTCTTTTTGAACATTCCCTCCGGCACCCTCTCCTTTTTCTTCGGCTCAGGGCGAGTGCGCGCCGCAGAGACCATCAAGAGGCTGGCCCTGCCCTTAGAAGAGGCCCTGATGGCCACCTTCCCCACCTTTCCATTTTTAGTCCCCGCTTTCCCGGATTTAATGACTTTATCCTCGAATGTGCAGTCAAGCCTCTTAGACGTGCAGCGTTTACAAGGTCCAGTCTGCTCTCTTGTCTTCAACGAGCAGTGGCCAAAGTCTGCAGCCCGACATGTGGCGCACGATATATACTTCCTATTCCTTGGATCGATCTTTGGCGCCGCTCTCTGCGCCGCCAGCTGCACTAGGTTCTTGCCTTTATTCTTTTTCTGCTCTCTTTGCAAGCGCGCTTGCTCCTTTTTCTTCTTCTTGGCATTGGCGAAGGCGCGTTTTCTCTCGGCCTTGGCCTCGGGGGTCATGGGGTTCTTGAGGACGCAGGCAATGCTTAGCTCGGAACAGGAAGTGCAGGGAAACTGGTCGGGGTCGTCAAGGATGCTACAATCGAACCCGAAGATCCTGCATGCTGAGCATGCCTCGTTGGTTGTCTCTGGCCTGAACGCTATGTTAGTTCTTGTTGCATGGGAAATGTAATATACTTACTCCTTTGCGTTCCCTTTCCCCTTCCCCTTCTTTTGTCCCGCCGCGGCTGTGGTCTTTTTCTTCGAACCCTTTCCATGCTTCTGTTCAACAGAGCTTTCCTCAGCGGAAACACCTTCCTCAATTGACGGCAGAATTTCCTCGCTTTGAGAGTCATATTGCGTGGTTTCCACTTCAGCCGGTCCCGACTTCGTCGCAGCTTTTTTCTTCGCTAGCCTCCTATTGGCAGCAGCTTCTTCATTGGGATCATAGTTGCCACTCTCATCATGATCCATGGCACCAGACCCCTTGAACACCCTTCTCTCCACATTCTTTCTAAAGCCATACGTTCTGGCGTCTCGAAGCCTCTGCAAAACTGGTTTTCTGGTGCCTTGCTTGGCATGTCCTGCATCTGGAGCGGGAAAGTCATGCTGAGTCGGAAGCGTAGGGGAGGAGTTGAAGCTGGAGTTGGGTGAGCCTTCTGCGCCACCGTTGTCGGTGGGAACGTGGTCCCAGAAGTCTTTGCGTTTGGCGTTTTCAGCATCGGAATCCGAGTCCTGGGTCTCTTTTGGGGTGTCCTTAGGGGCTGGCTCGGACCCGTCCTCAATGAAGTTGAGGAAATTAAAATCGTCGGCCATTGTGACTAATTGTGAGCGTGTAAGTTGGTTATCATACTGTCTGCTGGCTCAAAAGCAGGCAATATTATGACTGGCTAATGTGCACGAAAAGAAAAGGAAAGAATGAGCAGGTAACAATATGACTTGATAAACTTTATGTGCCAAAGTGAGAATGAGACCGTCCACTCTGGAACAAACAATGCAAGACCTGTGGTTGAAAGCAGGCTCAAGCTTCAACCACAGGAATTGAAGATGTCATATGTTATCAAAAGAAAGCTATGAGAATGATGTGGCCAGTGATAGAAAGATGAGAACAATGCGACTAAAGCGAAAAAAAAAATAGGTAGTAAGATAGCAATTAGAAAAGAGAGAGCTGTGTTCTGGCTGGCAGCTGAGAGTATATATCCCATTGCCAGTTATGCCGCAGCAGTATAGCCTCTCAGGAGCGTAATGCAGCGACATGTAATGCCAGTGCAATTAGCGGACAGAAATTATGCCCGCTAAAAAAGATGACAGTGCTTGGGGATGGCTAATCCGTCCACCGTGACTGAAACTTTGGCGTGGGATGGAAATCCCAACTAGCGAAGCCAAATTATCAACGCATGATAATGAAGGTATTTATCACTTACCAGATGTCTGATGAAGGCCACTTTTGAAGTGAAGTCGAATTGTTCTTCCGATCTGGATAATCTTTTTCTGTAAAGAATCGGGTTAGTCTGGAATTGATTGTATCAGCACTGTGCTGAAGCTGAACAGAGTAGGTTGGTGTGAGAGGCGTTGGGCGGCTGGGGTTGGTATGTATGACGAAGGCAGAGAAACTCTTCAGTGATAATATGGTCGGTATTATGGGCTCCAAGCATAATAGATGTTCGAAGTATTGCAGCTGCCACCTGTTCAATAGAAGCAAGAGTAGGTTGATGGAAGGAAAAGAGAAGTTGCTCTTCGAGGTTGGAGTATAAGGCAGAGGAAGTAAATGGCAATGTAGATGGTGCAATATATTGCTTCCAATCGAACGGGTAAGGAAGCAGGTGGTTGATCAAGAACTGAGAGAGAGCATGGATCCAAGAAATGTGGTCTCCGGTATCACCCAGTTAGGAAGAGAGTAAGCATGTTTCGAAGAGTTGGTGGTATCCAGAAAAATAAGAGGTGAAGGAAGAGTCGAACTCTTCTGTATCACTGCTGCCAGTATTGGCACTGTAGATGCGTTTCTGCAATCAGGTAAGAGATGTCAAGTAAGATCGAAAGACACTTGGGAAACCTTTGGCTTTTTTAAGCCTTGAATTCATTCTATCGCAACACCGAGAGTATATCCCAGCCGACGATCATCTTAAACAACTTCACGTTGTAAGAATCTCCCAAACTTCACTTCCCAATAACGCCTCGCCATGCTAACCCATATCAAACACCAGCACTCCCACATCTCCACCATGAACGCACCTGCCATCATAATCACAGTGTCATCGCCCCCGCCTTCCAGTTCGCTCCAATCCTCTTCATCTCATCCGAAAACCGTCGGCTCTCGATCTTCTTCCCCCCGTGTCCCGTCAACGGGCTGTGGTCATCGGGTTCGTAGAAGGGATTCTGGAGGAGGCGGACGTATGCTGTTTGGATGGCTCGGAAAACCTACAAAAGAATGTTAGTCCCAGCTCATCCCCATCCTTCCCCAGCGAAGCTGAACACCACCACAGGTATCCAGAGACACGCAACAAAACTCACAATCTTCATTTCCCCCTCCCTCAACCCCAGTCCACCAACAACACCCTTCCCCCTCCTCACCTCCTCCTCCCTCTCCCCCCCATTCCCCCTCATATCAACACCCACCACAAACCTCACCCCGGTATTCGTCTCCCACCCAAACATCGCCAACCGCTCATCCACATTCTTCAACAGTCCATAGTCGGAACTCAACCCCTGTCCATTCAGCGCATTCGCACGCGCGCGCGCCTCAAAAATATCCAGCGTCGACGATAGCAGAAGCGATGTCTGCAGCGGGGTGAGGAGGGGTTCTGGGAAGCCGCCAGGGGATTGAGGGGGGCAGGTGGGGAAGATGGATATGTGGAGGGGGTTGTTCTGTTGGAGAGAGGTGGTTAGTTAAAGACTTGGCACATGGAAGGGGGGAGGAGGAGGAGGGGCATTTACGGCTTTCCCTATTATGCCTATGCAGGCTATTGAGGGCGTGGTTGCCATTGCTGTTGTGGGTTGTGGTGGTGGAGCTGTGAGTGTTCGGGGTGGTGGTGCGGCGCGAGGCTGAGGCTGAGGAATTGGGAGTGTTTGGGGATGGGTGACGTTGGCGGCTGGGCCAATGGTAGGGGGGCGGTCACGTTTATTACCAGAGCTGTGCCAGGGGTAGGTATATGAAAGCTCTTGTAGGTTCTATGTTTTTGATAATTGATTGATATTTAGATTTATTAATTTTGTTTATGTTGTTTATGTTGTTTGGATTATGTTTGTAGCTGAATATTATTTAGATTGGAGGTTTTTGCCTGGCGTTGAAAAGGGATCGTGGGTATATGTCTGGGAACAGTATTTATGGCTACGCCAAAGACAAAAGAGCTAGGCAAATGGTTGAATTGCTAGATGCGATAGATAGCGTTGCTTCGGAAGCCAATGGTATATATTTCCAGCCGAAGAGAGTATATCTCCATCTGTTTTACTACCGAATATCTTGGAATTCCACCAATACTATGCTGTTCTTTGTAATTTACGTACAAATCCTAAAATCATCTACTCCTAACCGTGGACATTTACCGGCCAAAAGGGATCCGCGGATCCGCCATGACCAACACCCGGAACAACACTTTTCCTAAGCCGAGCAGTACCCGCGCGGCCTTTGAACTCCCCTAAACATTGTCGGAAAACGTGGGGTCTCGGTGCCATCCATCCCGACCTCGCCAGGCGACGTCCAGCGAGCAATGCAGACCCAAGAAAACGCGATGGTCTCACCAGAACACCACCACATCCCCAAACTGTGATCCCTCACCATGAGGACCCTGGCTACGGGCCTAGCTGCTACTCGGCCAGGATTCGCCAGCGAGGCCATCCTGAGATGTGAGACCTTGAGCGCGATCCCTGGCCGGCAAGGTAGTCGGTCTGGACTACAACACCCTCTATATACCAGTTCACAGCGGCAGGAGCGGTCTATAATGACAAAACGCCGGCCACGAACCGCGCTCTTCTTCCCAGGTACGCCTATTCTAACCCCCCTCCTTTGCACCTCTCTAACGCGTTCCCCCCAGGCCAAGGCGTCCAAAAAGTCGGCATGCTCAAGCCATGGCTCGATGCCTTCCCCCGCAGCGCCGGCCCAACCATCGAAGAAGTCGACCACCTCCTGGGCTACAAGCTATCCACCCTCATTGAAGAAGGCCCCAATAGCGCGCTCACGGCTACCATCCACTCTCAGCCCGCTATCATGGCAACCTCCATCATGATCCTGCGCGTTCTCGAGGCGGAGTTCGGGTTCCACCCCCCCTCGCGCTGCGATGTCACGCTGGGACACTCCTTGGGGGAGTTCGCTGCCCTAGTTGCGGGGGGCTATGTCACGTTTCAGGACTCGCTGTATTTGGTTCGCCGACGCGCGGAGATAATGGCTGAGTGCTCCCGTAAGGCTACAGAGGAGTTCGGCGGCGAGTACGGCATGATCGCTCTCGTCACCGAGCCGGACCACCTCCGGCCGCTCATAGCTGCCATCCAAGATTTCATCGGCCACAATGACGCGGGCGTTAAGACGAATAGCGGGGAGGACGTCCCGCCGATTCAGCAGGTGTCTATTGCGAATATCAATAGCAAGAACCAGATCGTGTTGAGTGGGAATATCAATATGATCCGCACTCTCCTGACGCACGTGCGGAGCTTTGGAGGTCATGATCCTAGAGCTGTAAGGCTGAAGAGCGATTCCCCCTTCCACAGCCCGCTGATGAAGCCCGCGAGTGGGATGATGAGGAGGCTGCTGGATGGGAAGAGTAGGGTTGTCGGGCGCGAGGAGGAGGATATAGTGATGTGGCCGGGTGTGATGGAGATAGTCTCCAACGTGTCTGCGAGGCCGATAACGTCGAAGGCGGAGTTGAAGGATAAATGGACACGGCAGTGTGTGGATACCGTGCGCTGGTGGGATAGTATTAAGTACCTCGACCAGGAGCAGAAGGTGCGTCGCTGGATTGGGGTTGGGCCGGGGAAGGTGGGGAGGAATCTCGTGGGGAAGGAGGTGGGGATGAGGGGGAAGGATACGGTGAAGGGGGGTGGGGTGTGGGGGATTAGTGATCCGAAGGAGATTGAGGAGGTGATGAGGGCGTTGGAGGATACGGAGTCGATGTATTGCGAGGATGATTGAGCTGGGGATGGGACGTAGTTAGAGCTCTCTCGCAATGGGCCTTGTAAGATGGCGGTGGGGGTGTATAACGGACTGAGACGCGGCTATCGAGTGACAAGACTCAGCGGAGCGAGGGGGAAGGGTGGCCGGAGGTTTGTTTTGGAGATTTTGAGCACTAGATACACACACGGCGCATGGGGACCTCGAATCGAGATATGGAGGATGTATTTGAAGTAGCTAGGGTGCTGCGGTAATGGAATATATTACTATCACTTGTTGACACGCGTAAGACCCAAATGACCGTTCCCGTTTTCAATATCTATCACTAGCTGAGCTCATGGTCGAATACACACAGCCTTGAATTTCCCCAGCCTCAAACATGCACCCCCGTGACCCCATCTCCGCCCTAAAATCCATACAAAGTATAGAAGCATAATGTGTATTAATTAATCATGATATTCGTACACCACAGCACCATCGCTAAACCCAGCAACAACCCTATTATACAGCACCAACCCCCTTTAACAAGCCATCTACTTCTTCTGCCTCTTCGTGCTCTTATCACTAACCTGACTCAAAACGCTCGCACTCCTCTTATGCGCCGCCGTCTGCGCCTGCACCGACCCCGCCCTAGCCACCGAAACACTCCTCTCCTTCTCTCCCCCCTCAGCCTTAATCTCTCCCTCTTTCTCCACCTCTGCCTCCGTCTCCTTCTCCCCCTCCTCCTGCCCCCCCTCCTCCTCCTTCTTCTTCCCCTCCTTCTTCTCCCTCTCCGCCTTCTGCGCCTCCGCAAGTTTAATCTCTCCATCCAGCTTATCCGACGCCTTCCGCGTATCAAGTAGGACATTAATGCTCCCCAGCAGCGCCTCGAACGCCGTCCCAACCTCAAGGGTCGGCATCACCAGACGCGGCGGGATCTCCAGCTCAGTAAGCACATTCGTGATTCGGCTCGCCAGCACCGCCGAGCGACTACTGACCATCTTGGCGATGCGGTCGTAGCGGAACTGTGGGCCGCTCTGGAGGCGGTCGTGTGTCGATACACCGAAGACAACTTGGTCCTCCTCGCTCAGCTTGCGTCGCTCCGCTGGGCCCGCACCGCCCTTCTTGGCTGTCACTGGCGTGGCGGCCGCGGGCTCGCGCACGGCGGTGCTATCGCGGCGATCGACAGGCGCTGCGCCAGGTCCAGCCGTAGGGGTTCCCTCGGGGCCAAGGATCGATTTCCGCTTCTTGGACTTATCGGCATTCATGAGCTGCTGGACGAGCTGCTGCAGGCCTGCAGAGGTGGTATAGACGCCTACATTGCTGCTGCTGAGTGGTGCGTCAAGACGAGCGTACAAGTCCTTGCGCTCCTCGTTGAGGCGCTCCGAGCGCGCCATGATGCGCTTGAGTTCGATAAGTAGACTCTCCTCCTCACGGCGCTCCTCAGAGCTGCGCGACATAGCGTTCTCAGCGAATCGTTTGCGCAGCGCTTCTTGTACAGGGTTGAAAGACGACATGAGCTGGTGCAGGCTGAATTCGACCTGGCTCATGAACTGGACGGGGCGGTGGACAGACATCATCTTCGCAGCGACGTCGTAGTAGCGCGCTTTGAGGTCTTCGAGGGTGCGGGGTTTGAGTTCGGGGACGAGGGCGGTGCTCTCGGTGCCTTCGGGGGGAGGGGCGGGCTGGTATTCGTAGCGGTCCCAGACGAGAGGCCATCTGAGGTCGAAGTCGCGCGCTGTTTGCATTAGGTAGTCTGTTTCTTCTTTGGTCCAGTCTTCGTTCTTGAGCTTGGCTTCGTATTGTTCGTCGTCGTATTTGGGGATGTTGACTTGGACATTGAACTTTGCGAATGCCGAGTCGTCCACTTCCTCCTTCACTTCACCCTCTGCCGCCGCCTCTCCACCCTCTCCCTCCTGCGCCTCTTGCTTCGGCGGCACTTCAACTTTCCTCCTCCAGTGCTTCAGCTTCATGTCATCCTCCCTCGCACTATTCTTGAAGGGCTTCAACTCCCATTTCGCGGCTGGCTTGCGGCTCACAAGCCTCCTCTTCTTGAACTGGGGGACTGCTGGCACAATCGAGATCGGGTTGTCCCCCCCCAGGCTCTGAACCTCACGTTGTAATCCCTTCAAGTTGGGTCTCGCGTTGGTGAGTTTTTGTTTCTTCGCTGGGCGCGGACCGGCACTATTGGGCAGGTCCAGCATGTCGCGCACATCGAGGGACGTCATCGTGAATCGTCGAAATGCGCAGCTGCGCGTCGTATTTCGATCGTGTACCCTGTATATCTCAATTCCCCACTCCCTCTGAGATTGATAAACTTGTTGCGACGATAAGTTGTAAGTTGTTGTGTCGCGAAAGGAATAAAGATCCGTCGTCGAGTTGGTGTTCCTTTTTGGGAGTGTCTAAAGATTTAAGGAAGCCCGTCAAGCAACCGCGACCGATTACTGGATACCCACCACCACCCCCAACTCACGTGACACAAACACCTCTGGCTCCACACCCCTGACCGCGCATTGGAATCTGGAACCGTGGCCGCTGTCAAAATAGCACGAGAGAGAGAGAGCTACCACCACACACGACACCTCAACCCCCACGACTCCTCCTCACCATCACGCGCCTCGTCGTCTCTCTCCCTCTCGAATAGTCACAGCTACACACAGCAAGCAGCACAGCCATGCGCTCCTTCCTGCCCGCGCTCTCGCTGGCGGCCGCGACGCTGCTCGTCCCCGTGCAATCGCTGTACTTCTACATTGAGGGCACGAACCCGAAGTGTTTCTTTGAGCGGCTGCCGAAGGATACGTTGGTCGTTGGACAGTATAAGGCTGAGGAGTTTAATCTGGATCAGAATAGATATGTGAAGAATGATAACCTGAATATCTTCATCTCAGTCGAGGTATGGCATCCCCAGCTCCCTCAGCAGCTCCCCAATTCATCCCTCCTTCCTCCTCCCTTCGCCCTACTTTTTCTCTACCTTCTCTCTTTATTTGGTTTAATTTGAGAGAAAAACCAACTCTAACACCCCCCAAGGAAGTCTTCGACAACGACCACCGCATCGTCTCCAGCCGCGGCCAATCCAGCGGCAAGATCACCTTCACCTCCGCCGACTCCGGCGACCACAGGATCTGCTTCACCCCCTCGCACTCAACGGGCCACTCCGGCTGGCTCGGCGGCCAATCGCTCGGCGGCGTCAAGCTGACGCTGGATCTGGCCATCGGTACGACCTCGGAGATCGAGACGGATGACCATGGCAAGATCACGGATCTGGTGCAGAAGGTCAAGGATTTGAATGGGAGGTTGATGGATATTAAGAGGGAGCAGCTGTTTCAGCGTGTACGTCTTTCTTCCCCCCTTCCATTTCTTCCATACCGCCCGTTTCTCCCCGTCGTATTTGATTGGGGGGAAGTGGGAATGGGGAACGGGGCGAGTTTTGGAGACAATGCTAATACGGGATAATAGGAGCGTGAAGCCGAATTCCGCGATCAATCCGAAGCCACCAACTCCCGCGTCGTGCGCTGGACCCTCATCCAGCTCGCCGTCCTGGGTATCACATGCGCGTGGCAACTCTCTCATCTGCGCTCCTTCTTCATCAAGCAGAAGCTTACCTAGACGCTTCCCTCTCAGCTGGTTGTCTGTCTGTTTGACGAAAAACTACTTTAATGGTGCCGGGGATAGATTGATAGAATGAAGATGGGAGGGAGGCAGAAGAAGGAAAGGGAGGAAGAGGAGGGGGGAGAATAGGCGGTGGTGGCAGTGGTGGTAGTGGTGGTAGAACGACGCGCGGAACGTGGGTAATGAGCAACGCATACCGGGCTTTTTCCAAAATAGGGGTGTTTTACATATGTATCTGGGTTATCTGTCTATCATCGGACGGTCGGTGGCCGTGGTCTCTTGTAACTTTTGAGCAGCATTTTTCTCAGAAACATGAAGGAAAGGAAATTCGAAAAATATAACTACTAGAAATAAGTCATCTTGTTTATCGTTCACGGGGGAGAAACGAAGTGGGTGACGTGCGGGCCCTTGGGGTGGGTGTCGTGAATGGGTTGGGAGGGGGGGTCGTATGTCCTTTATGTCAATGTGTTTGCTGTCTGAGAGTTGCCATCAGGTAGAGGACGGGCGGGGTGTAAGTCTCGTAGTTACTCAGCCCTCCATTCCCCTGAATCGAAGAACATGTCACATCACATCACACGCACAAACCACACCGTAGTTAACTTGAAAATACATCATCAAACTTTCCCCCACCCCAGTCTCTACTTTCTATCTACCTCTCCCCACCCCCCTTTCCCCTCTCCCTCCCCTCGCCACCCTCCAATCCATGTACCAGCCATCTACCTCCCCTCCCCACACCCTTCTCTCCATCTTCCCTTCCCGCCTCCACACATTAACCCTCCTCAACGAAAATAACAAAGGAAAACAAAACAGACAAGAAAAACACCCGCTATAAACCCCACGACACCTGACACCCGCGCTCTGACATGACGCGAGTTTAAAAAGAGAGAGAGAGAGAGAGAGAGAGATTGTATGTGTACGTCCGCAAGCAACACCCGGCGCGCTTCTGACAGACAAAAGTTTTTTGCTCGAAGGGGGGAAAGGAAATAGAGAGATTGAGATAGATATATTAAGTCGCCCCTTTTCGCGTTCCTGTCCCCCTCCCGATATTGGCGGATTTGTAAGCCAATCTGTCGCCGCGGGTGCGTAAAAGGACCCCTGGGTGCTGAATATCGACGACGATGATGGAGCGAGATTGGCGAGAGTTGGAAAAGCGTAGAGCCTGTGTCTGTGCGAGGGCGAGGCGAATCGGCACTTTTGGAGAGAGAAACAAGTGTGAGAGAGAGCGAGAAAAGGGATCCGTCATGTACACGCACGCTCCATCCCATGCCCCGAACGCGTCCATATAATGCCGAGATAAGAGTCGCCCGCGCCGCCCAGACCATGCAGAAGCGACACAAGTGGAGAGATATATGAAAGTTTTGTTTGTTGTGTGTGTGTGTGGTGTGGCCTTGTTTCTTTCCCCTGGTCCGGCGGAGTTGCGTTTTGGGACTGGATCAGACTGGATCTGCTGGATGGGAGGGAGAGGTGATGGGTGGTGAGGGCGGCATTATACATTTCATTGCGATTTTTCTGGGTTCTCTAGAGTCATAGGGTCGATCATCCTGTTGTCTAGTTAGTCACTGTCACTGCACCTTGTCTTCCGGCCCACCGCCAACGGAACGGGGAATATACGTACTGCAACATATCGTCTTCAAAAACTTCTGGAACCCCTGCGGCTGCGCCTCCTCCTCCACCCTTCCATTCCCCATCTGCTGCGCAACCATATTCGGCTGCTGCACCATCCTCTGCGGGAGGTTATTGCTCGAGTTCTGGAACTGGGCCTGCGTCGACCCCGCCGGCGTCAGCTCGCCCCCGTGCCCCGCCGCGCCGCTCGCGCGCTTCGGCGCCAGCCTGCCTGGCCCGCTTGGCTGGTCGCGCATCTTCCCCAGCCCGGCCTTGGCGGGCGAGGGGGGCGGGGGCTGCGCGGCGTTTAAACGGGCGGCGGTGAGGTGGCCCGGTGTCGAGCCCGTCGCGCGCGTCGTGCCGTGGAGCTCGCGGTTCGAGGCGCCCTGCGCGACGTTGGCTTGGTGCATTAAATGCTGGGACTGGTGCTGTTTGGTTGCCTCCCAGCCCTTGCCGTTGTTGAGCTTCATCCAGTCGTACTCGCCGTCTTCGATCTCGCCGGAACCCTTGAGGGCTTGCGTGAAGAGGTCGCGCAGGTAGTCGTAGTCGGGGGTGTCCTCGAAGCCGAGGTTGCGCACGTAGCTGAGGTACTTGTTGAGCTCCTCCGGGAAGCCGTTGCAGAGCTCGGGGATGGGCGTGGTCTGCTTCTTCTCACCGATCTTCTCGTACTTTTGCTTGTTGGTGGCAGCCTTCAGACCTTGCCATGGTAGTCCGCCGCGGAGGAAGTACATGAACACATGTCCGAGGGCCTCCAGGTCGTCACGGCGTGATTGCTCGCGTCCCAAATGTGTGTTGATAGACATGTAACGTGCGGTTCCAGACAGAGATTTCCGCTCACGGTATGGGATGTGCTGCTTCGTCTTCGGGTCGCGGTATTGCTTGGCCATGCCGAAGTCGACAACGTGGATGACATTGGCCGCCTTGGAGCCTGACCTGCCAATCAGGAAGTTGTCTGGCTTGATGTCTCTGTAGATTAAGTTCTTCTCGTGGATCGTTTGGACTCTCGACAGCTGTGCAAAAGGTTAGGGGTTGACGCGTTGGCGGTGTGGTGGAAGTACATACCATCTGCTTTGCCACCATAACCACAGTCTTGATCGAGAAGCGTCTATTGCAGTGGTCGAAGAGGTCCTCGAGGGAGGGGCCTAACAGGTCGATAACGAGGATGTTGTGGAGGCCCTCCTGGCCGAAGTAGTAGACATTCGGAATGCCCGCTGTTTCATTGTCAGTCATGGCAGAGTGTTGTCGAAGATGAGGTGTACTCACGGCATCCAACCAAGATCTTGTACGTCCGGTACTCGTCACGCAGCTGAGGAGCATCGCTCTTGCGTGGTTCCTAAGATTGAAACAATCGTCAGCTACAATCAATTCGTGGGTGAAGCGGTGAAGCCCTTTAATAGACAGTGCCTGCTGTCCACGTCTCTCTCCATGCTCGACAGTCAATGGAGGTGAAAGGGTTGGGTGAAACGTACGAATTTGATGGCGACCTGCTGGTTGTTCAACAGGTTGGTGCCTTCGAATATGACACCAAAGGAGCCCTCTCCAATCTTCTTCCCGACGCGATAGTGCACACCGACGACATTGCTGCTGCTTGACGCCATTGATGGGTTTTCCAGCCGACTCCGGATGGGAGTCCTTGTCGTTCGCGGGTCGGAGGGGGTGAGGTGTGTTGTTTGTGTCGCTGTGTCGAGGTGGTGATTCTTCTTTCACGGATGGGACGTTGGGTGGTGGTAGTGGTAGTGGTGAATCGGGAGTCTTTGGGGGTGAGTGGTTGTCGGTCAGGGAACGTCCGTTGTTAGTAGCGTAAGTTGGTGGTTGGAGGATTGTGGTTGGTGGTTGGGGGGTGGTGGAGGAGGAGGGAGAGGACGTGGGTAGCCGAGTCCGGGGTGGTACATGGAAATCGTATAGAGCTGTGGTGCGATGTGGTTGTACCTTGGCGTAGGAGAGGCGTAGGAGAAAGAGGGAAGGCAAGAAGAAAAAGCGAGGGAAAGGGATGGTCCGTGTAGGGTAATATGGTAAAGTATAATATAGCAATTATAGTTATAGTATAGTTAATTAGATGTTTCCGAGATTGGAGATTGAAGATTGAAGATTGAGGTTTAATCGTATTATTAGTCGTTGTCAATGGCAAAAGAGAGGCTATGCTAGCTGTATGCCTACAAGTCGTCTGCAGTCTATAGCTAACAGCCTGTAGTCTACAGTATGCAATGCAGTATCTGCTAAGCCTTCTTCTTCTACCTCACTACTATAATGTACAGCCGCGTGTGCTATACGGATTGAGCGCCTTGCCCGCCTCACAGTGCATTATACGTGCTATACCGCGTACTCTCCTCTCATTCTCCTCACGCCACTCCCCATGAATCGCGGTGGCTGGCGTGACTGCGGCTAGAGCATGTCTCTGGTGTCTCTACTGTCTCTCCACCGCCTATCCGTTCCTCCTCCTCCCCTCTAGCCCCTCTAGCCCATCTAACATGTCTCTTTCTCTAGACAAATCGAACAAAACGATGGATGGCGGAGCCACTAACCACCACTCTAGACCTCACTAACGACCATCTAGTAACTAGAGTTAGTTAGCAGTGGCTAGGAAAGTGAGGAGTTTGAGACGGCCGACACCAGAAATACGGGTGGACCTGTGAGTTAGTACTGGGCTGTTCCTAGTAGAAAAACGACAGGCTAATGCGCTGTACACCACTCTATGCTACAGTACTAAATAGTTGGTCGATAGACAGTTATTCTAACGTCTTTTTCACGGTTGTCTGTCTGTCGTGTCCGTGTGTGGTGTTTATCCAAAAGGAGAAGCCTCACCTCACCCCTTGTGCCTGCCATCTTAAAAAAAGATCCTCCCTAAACCCGTGACACTTCTCCTATTATATCTCAAACTCTAATCCCATGAAGTCTGCCAGCTCACAGTACATACACATACACATACACAGCACAGCCCGCACATCATCGTACATCTCCCGCCTACCGCAAAACACGGAAATCCCGCTTCTTTTCTCTACCTAATCGCTCGCCCACAACAACAGGGAGAAACATTTTGTCTCGGAAATTGACTTTTTTTCCCAGACCCAAGGCCAAGACATTTAGATACACCGTGGTGGTAGTAGACGGTCTAATCCGATGGCCCTTCTTACTCTACTATTCTACTATAGTACGATAACTAGGCTACTAACACTACTAAAACTGTGCTCTTAATTTCCCGTTCTAGCTAATCCCATCCCCTATTCAGTCGAGGCGGCCGGTAATTTAATATTTTTCCAGCCGGGAGACGAGTTTTTTTCTTTTCTTTTCCGCCACGGCCGCCACGCCGTTTGACACGAGATGACGATCAACGCAGCCGGCCAGGCCAGCCCGTTATTCCTATTTTTGTCTCTGTCCACTGCACCATCCAGCCTCCTCTCTCCACTACATTTACCCTCCCCCATATGCGCCCCATACACACTTCCTCAACTTTCACGTGAACTACTCTACGGCACCGTAACCGTTATACGCACCACCGCCATGAGCACTCTACTCTACCCCATCCCCAAACGGCCCAGGAACCCGATCACCACTAACCTAGGAACCGATCACTTAACCCCCTTCCCCCTTTCCCCCGATTAGACCGACTCATGCGCATCTTACCGACCAGTCCAGCCCGTCCGAGATACGAGGAGGAAACACACTAGGCTTCCTAGACACAGGATGATCTATCGCTGGAAGCTGGGTGGTGGTGGTGGCGTGTAGTGGTGTATCACCAGAGAGACGGGTTGGAGAGACATGGCTATTATAGTGGTAGATCATTGTGCACACGCGTAGTGAAGTCGTCTTGACTTACTCCAGCCGTAGCTGGGTAGAGGTCTGTATCACCACCACCTCTCTCACAGCCCTCTCACTCCCCAGTATTCCACCACCCACCCCGTGCACCTCTCATCCATTACACACAGTAACTCCTATCAACACACCACATCACCTCCGCATAAACCCACCGAAATTACCTCCCTCCCCATCAAGAAACTCCTTATCCCCCCTTCTCCACTCCTACGAGGGGTTTTAAGATTACACATCACGTGTCTCCTAATCCAGTTACGTTTTTTTTTACAACTGAGCCGAGAACCACCACAAGACAGGCAGGGCAGGGCATGCAGATGCCAAGCAGAGAGGCCGTAAACACGCTTTTGCCTAAGCCGATGCGCCGAGATGTCAGGGGACGTCACATGCGGCGTTGGGATGAACGGGTGGTTGATGCTTTTGAACTTCCCCTAATTACTGTACTATACACCAGTGCAGTGCTGTGCAGCAGCTAACTCACCGCTTCCCCGCGTTTGCTGATTCCTGAGCTACTACTACTACTACTACTACCCCAGATAAAATGTAATCCCACACACCTCAGCATACGGAAAATAAGTAGAAGAAGCACGGGAAAAAGATGTATATATACCAACTACCAACTGAACCACATCATCCATCCTATTAAACGCCCTATTATCCCACCCATCCATCCCCTCTCCATTTTTTACAACACTCCCCCTCCCCCCACAAACAATACAACCTCCCCTACACCCTCCCCCCCCTAGGTCTACACCTCAACATCTCCCTCGCCACCCCCCGTTCCCTCTCCTCAATCTCCGCCTCAATCTCCCTCAACCGCTCCGCCACATCCCTCAACCCCCTCTCTCCCTCCTCCTTCTCCATTCTCTCCTCTTCCACGGAGCGCTTCGCTAGGTCCAGAGCGCCTTCGAACCATTTCCCGAGGCGCGCGTGGGTGATGTAGGATTTTAGGGCGCTGTCTTCGCTGGAGAGGTCCGAGAGGAGGGGGGCGCGGACGCCGGAGTCGAGGGAGCGGTAGCGGGTGTCCAGGGTGGGGGTGGTGGTGGAGAGGGAGGAGGGGGTGTGGATGTGGAGGCGGGAGGGGGTTTCGAAGAGGCCTGTTGTTTTTGTTAGTTTTCTGCTCATACTCTTATTACTAGACGCAAACTGCTTGCGGGGAGGAGAACGGGGGACAAGAAAAGAAAAGGGAAAAACTCACGATCCCGAACACACCCCTTCAACGTCCTATACAACGCCGTCCCCTCCAACCTCCACCTAACCTCTTCATCACTCTTCGCATCCGTATCATTAATCGCGGCCCAATCATCTCTCAGCATACACCTCCTCCACACCCCCTGCTCCGCGAGTCTAAACTCCTCTCCCTCTGCCGGTCCAGCTGCATTAAGCGCAAGCAGCGCATAATGGAACTCCTCCCCCCCCAACACTCCCCCTCCCTCTCCCCTACTATCCGGACCGAGGAGTGTCAACAGGTCGACTAGATCTAGGGCACCCATAGCTTTGTGCTCGAGCAGCCAGCCAAGCTTCTCGTGCAAGACGGTAGCCAAAGCGGTCTTCCCGCGGAGAGAGGGGTTATCGTAAACCTCGAGCGCAAGCTGGCGTTCGGCTGTATCATCAATCGCCCCCTTAACCGCACCGCGGACATGTTTATGCACAAGCCCCTGAATCCTAATAACCTCCAACTGCGCCTCCGTCTCCTTCATCTCCTCCCCCCCTTCCGCGACTCTCAGTCCACTCCCCGCTTGCCCCGCCAGTCTTGCCAGTTTTCCAATGCTGAGCTGCACTTTCTTGCTCCACAGGTCGCGTTCGCGGTGCAGTCCGAGGTCGAGGAGTTCAGCCGCGGCGCGGTGGTAGTCTTTCTCCTGGGTGACCTCGTTGATCCACGACACTTTCGCGTACTCCTTTTTGCTGCGCAGGAAGGCGGTCAGGTATTTCTGGTGCGTGTCGTTGTCGCTGAGGAGAGCGAAGAGCTCGCCTTCTTTGATGTAGTATGAGTACAGCGACTTAGCCCACTCCATGCCGAAGAGGTCGTAGTAGCCCTCTACCTGTGCTTGGAGACGGGCGACGCGAGCTTTGAGGTCCGTGGCGTCGCCGTCGGGCGTGGCTTCGGTTTCGGCGATGGCTTCATTTGTGCGCTGGATTTCTTCGACGATGAGGGGGACGAGGGTGTCGAAGACCCTGTGCTTCTCCGCTAACTCGATGCCCTCGTCCACAAGTCCAATCTCGGAAAGGTTGTAGATCTGCCCCTCCCGCACCTTGAAGTACGAGTGCTGCATCTGCAGACCCTGGCTGTGGCGCTTCTTGTCATCCTGGCCGAGGTACCAGCGGTACTTCTCGGTGGTGGAGCGGCAGGCGAGATCGAGCATCTCGGGACACTCGGTGCGGATCTTGTCGACGAGGTCCGGGTCGGGTTGGTTTTCGCCGGCCGCGGGGGGCCAGTTTTGTCGTACCATTCCTATGGCGAGATCAGTCTGCTTCTTTGCGTTATCCGCTACGTATTGCTGGCATGTCCAGGGCTCCGGGATGCCCTGGTAGTTTTGCATCAGGATGCCGTTCTGGACATCTTCGCCCTGGAGCCCGTACAGAGCTAGGTTTTCAGTCCGGAAGTCGTAGGCTCCAGCCAAGGCTCCGATTAGGAGATCATTGGCCTCGCTGACGAGCTCGACGATCTTGTGCTGGCCCAGCTCGGACTCTTCGTATCTCAACTTCACTGCATGGAAGGCCCAAGGCACAACCATCTCGAAGCGATGGATGTCGTGGATGAAGTAGTGGCGAACACGATCCACCTCGCCAAATTCCTTCGACGGCATTAACTTGTACTCCTCGTGCAGGCACTCGACGATGTCATTCCATAAGCTGCGCTTCTGACCGACGGGTTTGGAGCTTATGAGGGTATCGTAGTTGTTCCATGCACCCTTTGCACCGTTCAGTTTCTCCGCGTCCCATAAGAGCTTCCATTTCGTAAGACGGTCAAGGTCGACATTCATCTTCTTGATGTGCGTCGCGAGGCTATGCAGTGCCTGTGCCCGTACGCGTAGATTATGTTCAATCGACGCCGGGATAGAAGGAATATGCGCTGTCGTAGAGCTCAAAACCTCGTGACTGAGCTGTAGGGCAGCCTGGCCAACTTCCTCGGGTGAGAACTGTATTTCCGACCGTCCGGTGAAACTCAATGGGTTGTTCTCGAGAATGCCAAAGAATACTGCTTGATCCAGCTTGCTCTTAGCCGTAACCTGTGGTGCCTCCCCGGCTGTAAACTTCTTCGGGTCTGTCGTGGCAATACGGATTATACCGCCACCCTTAACCAGTAGAACCACAGCTGGGAACTTGGCCTTGTGGCGCCTCGAGCGGCTGTCCTCTGCACCATGGGAGGGTGTATGTGGCTCTTCCAGCCCAGAGCCGGTAATCTCCACACCGGCATCTGTCCTAAAGTCTACGACATCCTCAAAATAATTGGTTCCCGGGCGGAGTTGTTGACCTGGGGAATCTGGCTCTTGGACCATTGACGTCACCACGACGGCGCGGTCAAAGACGACAAATGCTGCAACGCCTGGCTTTGGCAGATGCAGTCTCGGCTTGGACGTGGAGGTTCGGCTGACTGGGGTTGAGTAGGAGCGGAGGTGGTGAACGTTGCTGACAATGATATCCCTTTGACGAAGGAACACCTGCACAAGGGCATAGTGGCAGATCCCATGCCCACCAAGAGACGTCAGCATGAGAAGCTCCGTGCCGTTGTCGTCGCGGTAGGTCAAAGCTGTTGAATCTTCCCTATCACCGGCTTGTGGCGCAAATGAAAAGTCGAGGACTTCAAACGACTCAAGGTCGAGGCTCTCAAGACTCTTGTCGGTGCGCTTCAACTGCTCCACAATCAACTCCCTGACATCTCCTTCCGCCTCGAGGGTATTGTGGCCGCCTCGATGAAGACTCCAGGCTTGCAATCTTCCCTTCGAAGATGCGCTCACGATATCACGCTCCCCTGGCTTCAATGACGGGCCAGCCCTGGCAGCTGCCAGGTCTCCGCGCCAAGACGAGCTGCTGAGAGCATTTCTAATGCTTCCAAATATCCCTCCATTGCCAGCACCGCTCGTGCCGCGCAAAAACTGTACAGATATCGCTGGTCTCCCCTGGCCGTCTCGTACGCTCATATACGCCAACCTTCCACTGCTGAAGGACAGCAAAAAGCCAGCCGATTCGGCGTTCAGAATCTGGATTACAACCTCTCCATGCAGTAGGCCAGGGATTGTAAGCTCAACGCCGTTTCTCTGCTGTTGTATGAGGTCCAGGGTGGCTGCGCTCGCGATCGATTCCCAGTATGTGATCTTGCCACTTGAGGGCATCACCACGACGAGGCCAGGCTCAGGGGTGCTTGCTGAGGCCGAGACTAAGGATCCAAGGGGGAGGTGCTCGGATGTATGTTTCGCTGGGTAAGGTAGGGCGAAGGTGAAGGTCTCTGGGGTCGTGGTGTTGAGAGCGTAGGGCCAGACAATCGCATGAGTGGTCGTGAGAGCGAGGGCGTAACCACTGTCGGAGTATATCGCGCCATGTTGTCTACCTGTGCATCAAAGGGTCAGTTCATCCTTTATTCAATCTCTGAGATATTCATACCTGTAGTCGTGGATTGTAAGCGATCTGGTAAAGCAGGAAGCCTGCTGACAGTGTAAACATCATTGCTTGTCTATGAGCCCCGTTAGCATCCAAACCGAGGCTTTCAATCCAATTAAATCATTTACCAAAACCGTGCTTCCATCTCCCTTGCCAGTTCTCTCAGCAGTCTTGGGCTTCTTGCCTCTAACCGTGAGATCGCGTCTTATTGTTGCCTGGGGTTCTGCGATGCTCTCGTGCCGTGCGACTCCCGCTGCTGACTTCTTCGCCTTGACCTCCTGCATCTCAGGGGAGGCATCGGGGGCAACGAAGGTATTATCATGTAAGCTGCTGCGTTGCCTTTTGGCTTTGGGTTGTAGCGCAATGTTCTCTGAAGATGTTGGGCGCGGCCTGCGCCTGGCGTTGCGAGTATTGGCAGCTGGAGTGCCGTTGGTCGTCGCTGGTGAAAACATGGCGAATATGGCCCTTTCTGAGGGTCTTGAAGTTGTCCAACCAGTGCTATTGATAGCTAGAGGATGAGGCGATTAGAGATTTCGCATTGTTTGTGTCGAGATGTCGGTGGTTGGTTCTGGTGTTTACATTGGTTTGTGTCTCGAGCTCACAACAGAGCAATATTTCTTGTAGCCAAGCGAAACAACGCAACAAAAGTATCATCTACAACGGGCATAGCCCAATCATCCTGTACATAATAAATCGTTATGGGATATACAATTACTCTGCCATAATTGATCTGCTAGTATATTCTAAAATTGTTTATTTGGCATCAATTCGGAGTCATTCTCCTCTTCAGTTCTGCCTCTTCATCGTTTCCCCAAATCGTCGTCATCATATACAGACCAGACAAACACACAAAACGGAGCCTCATGGATTCCAGGGTACACCAGCCTCAACAACGCATGGGCCCTCTCATAACAAATTATACTGGACGACCTAAACATGAGCAGTTTTTAACGTCAGGCACAACAGGCACAACAGGCACAACCTATCATATATGTAATTACTGACTACGAACAATTATTTAATTATTTAAATATGATGAACGGAATTAATAAACCTAAATAGTAACAAGAGTATAACCCCCAAAACCAGCGTTTCAAATACCACATTCATACTGTAGTATTATTATTAATATCCATAGCGAGCCAGAATTATATAGACACTTCCACGTAGATTAAAACAGGCGATACAATGGGAGCAGAAGGAAGTTTGAAAATATGCGGTAGTGAAACCAGAAAAGATTATATCTATTTATTCCCATCGGTTGTAAATATATACCATTAGCTTCCAAAGCAACGCTATCTATCGCATCCAGCAATCTAACATTTGCCTAGCTCTTTTGTTTTTTGGAGTTGAGACTCGTAACCATAAATACAGTTCGCAGACATGACCCATCATATACCCATATATACATCCCACCGCTCACAGATACCCCCCAAAACGCCTTCGCCAAAACTTTCATGCAATCAACAAACCACGCCGGACAGACTCTAGCATGGATCTAAGACTCCAGCCAGTCCAAGAAGCGAGGAGTGAAGTACGACACAACAATCGTAGCACCAGCCCTCAAAATTCCCTCCGTAGACTCAAATGCCATAGCCTTCAAATCAAACACGCCCGCCTTGGCAGCTGCGTGGATCATGGCGAATTCGCCACTGACCTGGTACGCAGCGACTGGCATATCCTTTCCGATTTCCTTAGCATCGCTAATGATATCGAGGTACTGCCCAGCAGGCTTAACCATAATGATGTCCGCCCCCTCCGCAATATCTCTGTGCATCGCCCGACGAGCCAACCCGCGTCCTCCGTGAGGGAGCTGGTAGCACTTCCTGTCTCCGAACGACGGGACGGATCCAGCTGCGTCGCGGAAGGGTCCGTATAAGCAGCCGGAGAACTTGGCGGCGTAAGACATCAAGACAACTCTGTGGGCAATACCCTCTTCGATGAGCTTGAGCTTGATAGCACGGATGCGGCCATCGTTCATGTCTGACGGAGCGACGCAGTGAGCGCCGGCCTGGGCGTAGGCAACAGCGACATCAGAGATACGGTCAACAGACAACTGGTTGTTCAAGCTGCCGTCATCGCGCAGGATACCGCAGTGGCCGTGAGATGTGTATTCGCAGAGGCAGACGTCGACGGTGATGAAGAGCTGGGGGAAGCGCTGGCGGAGGAGACGGATGGCGGCCATGACGGGGCCTTTTGGGTCGTCGGCGGAGGTACCGAGGGCATCTTTGGAGCCTGGGGCGAGAGGGACGCCGAAGAGGATCACGGATTTGAGGCCTTTGCGGATGAGGGGCTCGAGGTGGGGGACGAGTTTGTTGATGCCGCGGCGGTGTTGGTCGGGGAGGGAGGGGATGATGGATTCTTCGTCGTCCTGGTCGGATACGAAGAGAGGGTAGATGAGCATTGACTAGAGGGGTGGGGTGTTAGCAATTGAGGTTGGTATTGGAGGGGAGGAATGGTCGTGTGCGAACCTTTGTCAATTGTCTCTCGGCTTGCCATGAGCGGGCAAGGGGGTGAGAGTATCCGCCATGCAATTGACTGGAGATGTCTCCAGAAATGCTGACGCTGGTTGCGCTGGTGCTGGCGTATGACATCGCCCTGGAGACGTGCGATCTCCGGTCATCAATGGTAGAAGAGGTAGAGAGAGGAGCGCGGGGAGGGCGTCTCTCATCATTGGCGTCCCTGAACGACAAATCTTGAACGAGGCTGGAGAACGACATGGTGATAGCGCGAATTCGACGAGCGAGTGCAACAGTGAAGGTATCAGGAAAGAACTTTGCAAAGACTCCGGAAAGCGTGGAGTTTAGAAAGAAGTCAGCGAACATGCATGGAGTGATGGCGAAAAATGTTCGTCGGTGACAGCCGCACTCATGGGGGTTACAGGCGGCTGGACGGCGAGTGCGGAATGAAGTTGCCGGGCTGACACACGCTTGTTTGGAATTCACCACATTTTAATTGGCCGAGGTTTCCGAAAGGTACGTACCACTCTATACAAAAAGTCATATGCGGAGAACTCGTTCATCGAACATTTTTTTATACCGAGTACCCCGCAAATCAACTACCGAACAAGAATACGAATGCGGGGGGTTTAGAGAGGGATAGGATAGGGGAATGATAGTTGTTTTATGTGAGGTTTGAGAGGTTTGACTTAGCAGAGACAACATTATATCAGACTCTCGGTCGCTGCATGTAACGGGCTGTTCTCAGTGAGACATGTGATTCCATGCCTACTGTAGATATCAGATCTAGACACCTAACACCGGCTCGTACGGCCCTAATATATCCATCATGTGTTGACACCAGCACTCCCTTGCACATGCCCAATACAGCATCTTGCGCATTCTTGTGAGGCCTCGGAGTGTTTAACTTGGATTATACATGGCAGGTTAGTACTCCTGTTCTTCTCCCCGCACAGCTGGAAAGGATGCCGTGGAACATTGGCTCCACGAGCAGCAGGTTTGCTGGGAATATGCTCTCCCTTGTGTCGGCGTAAACGACGCTGGTTACACTATCAAGGCAAAAAATGATAAGTTAGTAGATATATGTAACCATTGCATAATTTAAAGTAGCCAAGATTATGTGACTTCTGACGAATTATGGAATATCTTAAGGTAAGGGAATCCCTTGCATTTACGGGATTCCTCTTTCACAATTATCTACACGCATTAGGATGTTGTGTTGGCTGGAGAGTCAAGAATGCGATGTCTTGGAGAATGTGATAACAGGGTCCCGTAGCGGTCGTGACACGCGGTGGCGACACGCCTATCATCCCCAAAACCCACCCGAATAGTGGCAATCTAGAACCACAGCTCCCCTCTAAAAGCCAACCACCACCCACCTCACTCCAAATTCCAAATTCTAAATAAATTTTAATACCCAGTGTTCCCCCAAAGAAACCTCTAATCACACAATGGGCCTCATCAACGACGCCTCCGGCGCCCTCGGCGGCGCCCTCGAACACGTGAGCGGCACCCTGGGCTGCAGTGTAAAATTCGACACCTCATCTATCCCCTCCCAATCAGGCAAAGTAATCCTCATCACCGGCGGTACGTCTCTCAGCCTCACCTCACTTACCTCACTCCGCGCCTTCCACTAACACGCCTCCCAGGAAACATCGGACTAGGCCGCGAAACCTGCCGCGTCCTCGCAGCCCACCAGCCACGGCGTATCTACCTCTGCGCGCGCACCGCGTCCAAAGCAGAAGCTACGATCAAGGAATTGAAAGAAGCGCAACCCGACGCACCGCTCACCTTCCTCCCGCTCGACCTGGCGGATTTGGAATCCGTGCAGGCGTGTGCGAGGGCGTTTGTAGCTAAGGAGGATAGGCTGGACTTGGTGTTTTGCAATGCGGGGATTATGGCTGTGCCGGAGGGGGTGACGAAGGAGGGGTACGAGGTGCAGTTTGGGACGAATCATGTTGGGCATGCGCTGCTTGTCAAGCTGCTGTTGCCGGTGCTGCAGCGGACGGTGGAGGAGGTGGAGGGGGCGGATGTGAGGGTCGTTACGTTGTCGTCTGTGGGACACCACTTGGCGCCGGCGGAGGGAATTGAGTTTGCGGCTCTGAAGGGGGAGATGGGACATCTTTCGACGTGGAATAGGTATGCACAGAGTAAGCTGGCGAATAGGTTGTTTGCGGGGCAGTTGGCGAAGAGGTATCCGGGGATCATGAGCGTGAGTGTGCATCCTGGAGTTGTGGCGACGAATCTCTACAGTAACTTTGTGGGGGATGTGGGGCTGAAGAAGATGGGGTTTTGGTGGTATAAGGCGCTGTTGTCGGTGTCGGTGGAGGAGGGGTCGAAGAATCAGCTGTGGGCTGCGACGAGTCCGAGGGAGGGGTTGGTGTCGGGGGAGTACTACTTTCCGGTTGGGATATTGGGGAAGGGGAGCAAGCAGGGCGCGGATGAGGAGCTGGGGAGGAAGCTGTGGGAGTGGACTGAGAAGGAGTTGGAAGGGTATACGCTGTGATGCAAATAGAAAACACTACGAGCATATTACTACACTCGTGACCGGCTCGATTATGTTTGCCTACAGCTTACTATGCCGCCAAGATCTGCATCCTCGCGGCATACAGCCGGTACTCGAGCAATTATCATCCCACATCAGCCAAAACCCCCTCGTATATGCCCTATACCGGCAAAGCTATTTCGGGAGCCCCAACAACATCTCGATGTTTCGCTTTGCTTCCCGGTAAAAGTAAGACACAGCATGCACCCCCACCCGCACATCCCGTATCCAGCGCACAGGTCCCCTCGTACAGGTTTACCAGCCTCACCTCAGTCCGCCGATCTCAGCTCCGAGCAGCAACGTCGCACGCCGTAAGCAAGCGTGGATAATCCCCCCGAACGGATTTGACGGCGCTGATCAAACTCGCTCGCTCGAGGAATGCTCAGACCGCTGCCAGTAGGCCGTGTCCGTGTTGTGGAAATAACCTTTATTTAGCGCACCAGGTGGCAGGAATGGGGAGCGAAAGGCTGGGGTTTGTGGTGGGCGTGCTCTCCAATCAGACTGTGAGCTGGTGCCGATCAAGACATCACGATGGGGGAATACGAGAGAGGCACTCACGTAAGAGCGTGCTGCTGCGCAAACTTCCTTTGGTGGGGGGAGAGACAAATGGCGCGCAAACAGTAACACGTCGTATCCCATTCCAAGGCTTGAGCTGAGAGATGCATTATGCCCGAATTAGCCTGCTCGGCGGTCACTGGGTTTAAGCCATGGAGGGGGAGGGGAAATGTATATAACCATGGACCTCCTCGTGGTTGGGAGATATCTCTTTACCCACAGCTCACACACTCTTCTCCCGCCTTAAGCCACCAGAAAATTCTCAAACAGCTTCATAGCTACTACTTCTAAACCGCAAACATGGTCCAAACCGCATTCACCCTCATCCTCGCCACGGTAGCTACCCTCGTCGCCGCCTCCCCCGTCACCCTCGACAAGCGCTGCGGAACTACCATCCTGCCCTCTACGCAGATCCAGCTGAAGCAGAGTGCACCAAACACTCCCTTCCCCAACACGGCGAAAACCGACAAGTCTATCTCCATCTCCCAGGGCCCCAACGGCTCCAGTAAGCCTCTCCCACTCCACTCCTCATCCTTTAGATATAAAAAACTAACGCCCCCCAGACAAAGTCAACGAACTAATCGCCTTCACCGGCGCCGTCGGCGCATTCGGCTGCTCCCTCGGCATCACCTTCCCCGCCGGCGCCGTTATCACTCAATCCGGCGGCCCCCCCACGCTGAACGTTCACACCGTCCCTACCCCCTTGCCCGCAAACCCAACATTCAACAACATCCACCCCGCAACGCTCTTCGGCACCGTGACCGTGCTAGCTGGACAGAGCACCGTGATTAACAGCAGGACGTGTCCGACTGCCGCGGAGGGGGGACTGGGGTTTGTGTTTGGATACGCGGATTGGCAGACGCAGCAGAGTAGTGTGGGGTGGACGGAGTATGTTAACGCGGCTAATGGGGCGGGGTTGACGGGGGTGTTTTTGAAGTTCAATTGTTAGGGGGTGGTGGCAGAAGGGAGGGGGGAGGGGAATGGGTTCAGATTGTTCAGTTTTTCTTGGGGGAGATGGGGTTCATGGGATGGGGTGGAATGGGGAGTTGGGATTGGTAATTTTTTGGATTAGATGAATGAAATTATGTCAGTTTTGGATCTAGTCTTTCTTCGACTGGGCATAATGTGATATTATGATATTCCGTCTGAAGAATGTGGAACACTCTTTAGGGGTGAGAGACTGGTAGTGAGAGACTGGTGGTGAGAGACTGGTGGTGAGAGACTGGCGGTGTGGCAGTGATGGAACTTGGCCACAGACACAATCAACGTGGATCGACAGAAACCCTCCTAGACTTCTGTGACGAAGGACAACATGATATTCCTTTCTGTGGCTGTGTATCCAATTCGTCGGGGGGTTTCTGTCGATCTACGTCGGTTGTGCCACCCGAAGAATGTTCCGTTTCTTCGGACGGAGTTACAGTTACATCTCATGTGTGGGGAGTCAGATGATGATTCTCCGATGTATTTGGGATTGTCGTGTATTACTTCCTGGAACCTATATGAATATGTATGGCAGTGCCACGTAATACTGTGCACCACAGCAGGCCGTTGGTTTTGTTCCTCACCATATGTTGGAGTCCATCCTACTAGATGTGATAATAATTTCCAAGACGTTAGGGTTATCTCATACCACGAGGTATGTCGGCAACGTTGCTTCCGGATCTTCAACACCCTTACCAAAGTTTGATCCCGTGTAGTTGAGTAATTGTCTCAGGCGCGCACCAATAATCACATTCAAACCAAAGAAGATACACAAAGCAAATCATAGAAAGCATTCTAAATCGTATTAAACCCATATCAATAAAACAATGGTACACGCGCTTAAAAATCCTCGGGTATCATATCCATCCTCCCCTCTCATCTCTCATAACCCCATCCCCTCCCCGCCTAATAATGCCTCACCTCCCTCACCCCCCCCTCCGTCCCATCCATCCTCCTCTTCCCCCTCACCTCCTCCGCCCTCCTCCCACTCAAACTCCCCTTCAACCTCATCATCGCGCCACTAATCTTATCCCCAATCGTCGGCTTCTTCTTCTCCACCACGACCGGGCGATGGCGGAACCCAAGGCGCGAGCGGCGCGCTGGTTGCACGACCACTTTCTCGGTGCGGTGTCCGTCCATGGTGCGGTGGTTTGTGGTGGTTGTGGCGCCGCGTCCGAGAACGCCGGTGCTGTGCCCGAGACCGCCGGCGCGGGGGACGGCGGTGGTTCGTTGTTTGCGGCCGAAGCGGGTGGTGCGGGCGGGGCGGGGGGTGCGGGAGAAGAGGGAGCGGCGGGGGGCGGTGGTGGTGGTGGTGTGGAGTGTCATTTTTGGTTATGTTATGTTTGGTAGGATTTGATTGGTGTTTGGGCTTTGAGTTTTGGTTTTATGTTTGAGGTCTTGTAGATGTGAAGTGAAGATCTTGAAGTTTGTTTGTTTGATATGAAGAAGGAGGATGATGAAGGGTGAGGGGAGGGGATTATATGTATTTGAGAAGGACGGGAAACTGGGTTTGGGGGATGGACAGGGAAATGGTGATATGACGGTGAGGGCGTAGATGGAGAATCTTGATCTACGCATCGTGGAATATAGAAGAGCTGCGTTGCATACCTACCTGGTGATACTTGGTGATATCCCGCATATTCGTAGGTTCTGGAGTTCTTGATAGATTGGGGCCAAGCCTGAATGACGCTGGTTGACGTCTGACATCGGATATTGGCAGGGGTCAGGACAGGGGTCCATCCACATATCGATGCAGGCAATGACGTCACTTTTTGGGAACGAGTTTATGGGATGAATTTAGCCATGGAGAAATAGACGGGTTAACGGAAGAACTATGGGAGTTGCTTCTAGAAATACATGGATTTAGAAACATCTACTTTGTATATAAATGTTTATATTTAGATATTACTGACGTCTTGTGTTTATTTATATTTATAGCAACATTCATACATTTTTGTCTATCATCGCATCACACACCTCTATCGAAGTCCTCACCCAATAGGAAAGTCGACCGACTCGAAGGACTCATAAACGCATCTACTTTGCGCTGCTATATCTACTCCAGGATAGAAGTTTGCTTTGCTCAATATCGAAACTGGTAAGAAGCCATAGGCCAGTGAGAAGTAAGAATCGGTAACAGCAGTCAGCGGTGACAAAACAGAACCGACAACAACAGCTCCACGGTAATAGTAATTTATCCAAAAGAAACCCCTTTGTCTGGAGGCCTCGGTGGGCCGGCCGAGGTTAACGACGCGTTGCTGTTGGTTCCGTATCGCAGTTGATGTGTCGACTCTCTCGAATATCGAATATTTACCGCCACGACACCCCAAGATTGATATATGACTTGTACGGATCTCATTATGACCATGAGACGCCACGCGTATCTACGCGAGGCGCTGCTCAGAAGTTCCTGATCATCCAACAGGTGTGCAAGGATATACCCTCCCAGCTCAAGCAACTGTAACATAGCCATGCAAAGTAGATCACCGCACCAATCACCACCCAGTATCCCCTGCATCCAACATCGTAAAAAATCCTGGTATTGCTATCGAAGTCTACCTCAAACAAAACTAAGTCCACTCATTATCCCAAGGGCTCTAAAAAAAAGCAAAATCCGGTGTCCGTTCAGTTTACTCGTAATGATTATCTCGGGGTATCACCTTTGCCAAACGCCGTTCTCCGTCCCTAGTCTCGTGCCGTCGAATTCAAGACCGACTAATGGCGGTTGAATGGGGTCCTGAAGCCGCTGCTTGCCGTTGATGCTTCGAGAGGCCGAACCTCAATGCAGTCAACACATGCACACCACCCAAGCCCACCCCCCTCGTCCGCCAACACTCAAACCCCTCAAGCCTTCCCCCCTTCCCTCTTCTCCACCTCTGTCTCCGTCTCCTCACTCTCCGCATCCCCCTTCTCCCCCTCAGCCGCCACATCCGTCACCTCCCCCCACCCCGAATTCGCCCTACTCAACCTCCCATTACCCGCCGCCTCTCTCTCCTTCGAGCTCACAAGCGGACTACTCGCCCCCGCAATCCCCGCAATACTTCCTGTCACGCTATCCGCCCTCCCATGTCCAAGACGGCCACTATTGATGCTCCCGCCGTCCCCGACAATGCCTTGTTTGTTGGTGTAAAGGCTGTTCCGCTCGCTGGGTAGCGCGGGCGCGACACCGGTGGCGGAGTAGATGCTCGCGCGCTCGGTGCCGATGCGGGCTTGTATGGCGGCGCTGGTTGTGGCGCTTGGCGGAGCGTCGATGTTAGCGCTGAGCACGCTGAGGGGGAGGGACTCGCGGCTCCCGCCGAAGAGGGAGGAGGGCGCGAGGGCGCGGACAGAGGCGTCGGTGTCCATGGAGCGGCGACGGCGGCGCTTGGAGGACGAGGCGAGGGTGAGGATCGAGGCGTTGTCGGTGAGGAGGTTGTTGGCTGTGGCGGTGTTGTAGGTTGCTGGGTGGCCGCCGCTTCCTAGGGGAGGGGCGAGGTGGGAGGGGAGTGCGGAGGGTGGAGGGGAGGTGGGGAATTGGTGCGAGAAAAGCGTGGGGTTTGTGGTTTGGGTGGCGCTTCCGTGGTGGCTGTGGTTGGGTTGGTTGGGGCCGCCGAGAGCTGCGCCGGTGGAGTGCACGGTTGTGAGGGTTGTAGTGAGGGAGCGCAGGGATGGCGCTGGGGAGGAGAAGGTGCTGTCGGCGCCTCGGCTCATGGTCATGCTGGGGCCGCCGATGGTGGGGGTTGTGCCTTCGGCGGATGATGCGGCGTGTGATTGGGCGGCGAGAGAGCGTGCGGCGTCTCGTTCGGTCGATACGGTCGGCGCGTTGGATCTGTATCCGACGGCGTGGGATGGGAGGTCATCGATGGACGATCCGAAGGATGGCTCGCCGTTGCCATTGGAGGATGCGCTCGCTGTACGTCTTGTCGGAATGGTAGAGAGGGAGTGGCGCCCATTGGGCGGTGACATGTATGGGCCATTGTTCTTCTTCTTGGATTGGGTCTTCAGAGCGTAGCCATTGCGTTTTCCGTTTGAGCTGTCGTTTGCGTCTGAGGATGAGGTGCTCTTGAAGTTGGCTAGTTTCTTCATCCATGATGCGAAAGGTCGTCGGCGCCCTTGTCGGTCTGGACATTGGTCAGCTTGGTTCTTCATTCATAGCTAGCTGAGCTGCTGAGCTGCTGCCCTGGACAGTTCTCGAAGCTGACTGGGGGAGCTTGGATAGGACCTACCATGTTGCGGAGGTGTCGCCTTTGGTGCTGTATCGGTGGTAGCCATGATTGCGACAGCAGTGCTTATTGATCTTGTCGGCCGGATCCTAAGAAGCGGGAGACGTTCTAGGAGGTTTCGGGGAGTGAAAGTGATGATCCAAAGGTTTGCGACAAAGATGCGGCCGGAGCGCACGGGTGAACTTGGTGAACTTGGTGAACTGGTGGTGTTGTGGTCACAATAGAGTATAGTGCATGTGGATGCAGGGATTGGCTCGCTCTCTCACTTGGATTATTGGCACTAGTCTCCACACATCCATCGGAGACCAATTTTGATAGACAACTTCACGTGTAATATATGCCAATGCAGTTTATTCGCATCAAAGGATCAATATACTCTCAGATATCGTCGCCGATGGTTTTAAGGGTATAGGCCGTGTTGGCGCAATACACGGGTCTTTATTTATAGCAATTTATGCAGTTAACTAGCTTACAATGCTATCTATACCTATCTTACAGAATCATACACTATCTGACAAGTCTACACGTATCCTACTCTGACTCCAGCTTCTGTGACTCCAACTTTTCGTTTCCATAATATCGGATCAAATAATCCGCTCCCATTCCCGCTGAGATGATTCCGCCCGTATACAAGCAGCCATTGACAAACCACCACCAACAGTTCTTAGCATCCTTTAGATTGACCTTCTTGATCATCACAGCAAGCGTCAGAGCCGCACCTCCACAGCTACCGATGAAGAAAGCTGGCCCGGATCCAGCTGCAAATCCAGCCGCAGCCAGAAGCCCGATCTGAGTGACGGCCAACCCAGAGAGAATTGCCTTGGTATCCTTATCGTGAGCGAGGGCGATGCTTTTAATGCCAGCCTTGACGTCGTCTTTGATATCCATATGCGCGTAAATCATATCGTATAAGACGACCCACGCGTTATTCGACGCATAAAGCAAGCCAGCCGCTGCCAGAGCCGCGTTATTCTGCAGCAAGTCGACGCCGAGAGCCGGGAAACCCATGATGGCACCCCAGGAAAAGGTTAATCCTAGGACCATCTGCGGGTAGTACGTAATGCGCTTCATGAGCGGGTAGCTCGCTACTAACACCAAACTCGGGATTCCGTACCAGAGGCACTGCGTTGGGAATTGTAGAAGAATCGCGAGACCTGCAAAGAGCTGGGTGCCAGTGAAGGCGAGGGCTTTGAACGGAGTTATGGCACCGCGCGCTATTGGCCGGAGACGCGTGCGACGCACGTGTGGGTCTAGATTCCGGTCCCATAGATCGTTGATTGCGCAGCCTGCGCCGCGCATGATGATGGCGCCGCTGAAGAAGAGGAGGGAGGTCCCGACGACTGAAAGGGGCGTGGCCATGGGCATGGCGAGGGGTGCAGCGAGGAGGGTAGAAAACAGACAGGGCCAGTAAAGGTAGTAGGTTCCCGTCGGCTTGTCCAGGCGGATTAGTTCTGCATATGGAACCCATGATGCTGGAAGGACAGAGAGGAGGCCAGTGGTTGGTGGCGTATAGGGTGTCACCGGCAATGCATCGGGATCTGCTGCCTCTGCCACTGCTGTTGGGGAGGCGGCGGTCTGTGATACTGATAGCTGGCGGCGGCTAGTGAGTGCAGTACAGACAGAAGCCGCTTTAGGAGGTCTAGCCCGAGAGACGTGATGGTTCCTGGTGACCAAGGAACAGAGGGGTTTTGCAGCCCTGATGTATGCTGGCCTAAGCAGGGCATTGCTGTAGCCTCTTGGGAGGCCGCATAGTGCCTGCTTGACCAACATGGCCCTTATCCCCTGTATCAGCGAAGTTAGTATAATTCTTTATCAATTGGACGCGACAAAGATGATAGCGCTGGACGGTGGCTGGATAGCCTCGCGGTAAGAATCAAAGCAATAAATAATAGCAGGCACCCTATAAATACATCCTCTATATCCAACAAAATAAGCAACGAGCGTCCAATGTCTTTTGAAAGATCTCCTAGAGCTCGCCTCAAGCTTCCCCATCCTCCTCCGAGGGATCCCGTGACTTGCGAAAGTTGAATTGAGAGCCAGAAGCTAGCCAAAGGAGATAATGGAACGTATAATATCCTGCTGGAATGTGCATTCTAAATAAAGAGCTATCCACTTACAAAGTGACAAGGTTTTTGTGTCGGCGATTTATGGTTTTGATGCTGGAATTCATCGTCCCATCATTGAAGATTCCCGGTTGTGGCCAAAGCGCCCTGGCAAGGCTCAGGCTAGCCTGATTTGGGTGCTCCAAACATTGCGACTCTTACCTCGAGTTGATAGATGCTTGCCTCGGTGGTTCACCGTTTTATTACAATCGCATTGCGCGAGTTTACTCTCTAAATAAGCTCTGTCTTTATAAAGAGCTTGGAGTCTTGCCACAACGCGCAACCAACGCGGGCTTTCCGGACCTGGTTTCATCAATTTATACACGACCCACTCGACAGACAACCTTCGAACGGCGCAACCACAGCTCAACTTTACAACCACAATCTTGTCGCATTCACTACAAACTCTGGCTCTACCTTTGCCTCCATCATCTCACCTCTAATGAATTGCTCTCCGCCATAGCTTTCTCTCGCTGAAGTGAGGGGGGGCTTGGCCGGAGATCATACTCGTACCCATCCAAGTTGCGCCTAGAAGCTAGGGACCAAGCAAGATGCCTTCCAATCTTCACCCCCAGGCGATGTTCGATCCCATACCGCCGGATCTCGACCTCAGCGCCCTCGTTGAGAAGACGCCCAACTTCGACTATGTGATTCGTATCTCCACCGACCAGATCAGGGAACTGGGCCTACAAGAATTCGAAAAGCTGGTCCTGTTGCATGTTATCCAGGGCGGCAAACCTCTGGTCGTGGAAGGTTGGGAGAGTGATCTCCCGCCGTGGCTGTACAGCGCGACCTGGATGCAAGATAACCTGGGCAAGAAGCGTCAGTATGTCCGCCTCACTTCAATATCACCTGCTAACATTCAGTAGAGGAGCAAGTTCGAGACATTGCTAATCATACCAACGTCCCCATGACAATCGGCCATTACCTCAATTCTCTAGAGAAACTGACGAGGCAATGGACACCTACGAATTTCCGTGATGCCAAGCGTCAGCGCCTCTATCTCAAGGATATCGATTGCCCCGAAGCATGGGATCACCAATTACGCGAATACATTCCCCAGACACTCTTATACCTCAACAACTGCGTTGGAGAGAAAGGCGGCCCAGGATCCGTGCACGAGAGGGACAAATACAACCACCTCGTTATGGGGCAAGGAATTGCTCCAGCCGGCGACCTGATGAGCAATCTACCACCGGAGATGCGCGCGGAGAACATGATGTGCTATATCGGCCACGAAGGGACCTACACCCCCGCCCACCGAGAGATGTGCGCAACGGTTGGGCAGAATATCATGGTCGAGACGTCTGATGTGGGCAAGGGCGAGAAGCCGGGGAGTTCTATCTGGTTCATGACCGAGACGAAGGATAGGGAGGTTGTTAGCGAGTACTTCTTGTCTATGCTCGGTCACGATATCGAGGTTGAGAACCACTTTGCCCAGATTGTTGCCTGGAAAAAGGCGCCTTTCCCAGTCTACATAGTTGAGCAGAAGGTGGGAGATTTCATTCTCATCCCGCCGCTTGCGCCGCATCAGGTCTGGAATAGGGGCACGCGGACGATGAAGGTGGCATGGAACCGCACGACGGTGGAGACGCTTGAGATGGCGCTCTCCGAAGCCTTGCCACGCGCGCGCATGGTCTGCAGGGACGAACAATATAAGTGTAAAGCTATTGTATACTATTCGCTGTTGAGATACTACACCGATCTGCAGAAGACAGAAAAGGAAGAGGAGTCTGGTTTTGGTGCTTATCAGTCAGAGCCGGTCAGGTTTGCTCCGAGGGTGAGACAGCTACAGCGAGACTTCAAACGCCTTTTCGGGCTCTACAAGACGATTTTAGTGAGCGAGATGTTTTCGCCTGATATGCCGAAGGAGAAGAACGTCGAGTTTATTCAGTTCGATAGCAACGTCACTTGCTCTTACTGCCGGTGCAACATTTTCAATCGGTTCTTGACATGCAAGACTTGTGTTGGAGAGCTAGAGAATGGCGATGAGGATACGTATGATATATGTATGGATTGTTACGCTATGGGTCGATCTTGCGCCTGTTTGTCAAATCTACAGTGGGTTGAGCAATGGCGCTGGCCCGAGTTAACTAAGCGCTACGACGTATGGCGTGCAATGGTCTTGTACATTGATGGATACGTTGATAACACCTCACCTCAAACGTTGGAGATAGAAAGGCAGCACTCTGGCAAGAAGCCAATTGCTCAGATATGTCAAGAACAACTCAAAAAGAGGCCGTGGCGCGACATAACGAAGCCACATGTCCTCGACCCGCTTCCTGGCGACTCCGACGTCGAACCAGAAGCCGATGATGAAGGCCGACCAAAGAAGAGGAAAGGCAAGCGGCAATCCCTCGCTGAGAAGAAGCACCGGTCAACTTGCCATATCTGCAGAAAAATGGAGGCGGACTGGAAACTTGCTTTCTGCACTACGTGTCCACTTTCGTACTGTTATGGTACTCTTTGGCGGGCCTTTGACATCAAGCCAGAGAAGATCATGGAGACGTTGGACTGGCAATGCCCGAAATGCCGGTTGATCTGTTCTTGCGGCGCGTGCCGTAGAGTGAACTCGTCCAAGCAGATTCCCTACCAGCCGAAAGGCACATTACTTGGCCACGACACACGCATGGTCGCTGATCCACGCAGTGTAGAAAGCTTGGTCGATTTCAGCCGCACGAACCTCGCTTGGTTGAAGGGGGAGGAGGATACAGCGCCGAAGGATTCCGTAAGGATGAAGAAGTTGATGGAGAAGGCGCAGGCTGAGAAGTCCCGTGATGAGACGCTGGAGGAAGACTCTGAGATGGGTCAGCGTATGGGGAGTCAGCACATGGACATGCAGCCTGTGGGCGATGCGATCGACCCCGCGCTGTTATCTGGTGGAGATGGAGGGGCGCCTACTGCACCCATGTTTGGAGGAACAGGCGTTTCCAAGCTACCCCCAACCATAGACGTAGATGCGAACCCCGCATTCGCATCCCCGGCCGACGTAATGAAAAATCCCGACTCCGTCTACCCAGACCCCCAAGGCATCCCCCGCGAGCGCATGATGGGAATAGGGTACTACCAGCAGCGCAACGACGCCGACAAGATCCTCTTCGACGCCCCCGACGCCGCCGCCGAAGACGAACACCAGGACGCCGCGTACCCGCGCCTACAATCAGACTCTGAAGATGGGCTTCTGGTGCGTCCGAACAAGAAGCATCAGCGTGAGAGCCTGAAGGGTCCAGTAGATGAGGCGTATTTACAGTTCCAAGCCGCGCAGAAGAAGCAGAAATTGACCGATGCGAAGAGGGAGGGGAAGTTTTTTATGACGAAGAATAAACTTGAAGGCGGGAAACCGTGTAAAGTCAAGCTGTTGCTGCCGAATCATAAGGAGTTCTTGGGGAGGCTGCAGGCGTTTGGTGAGGAGGAGGCGCCCAGACATAATCCGAGACCGGGGAGGGGAAGTTTGGGGAGGAAGGAGCAGGTGGGGGTTGATTCTATGGTCGTCACTTCTGATGTTCGCGAGAATGCGGTATACCTTCAGGATGATGAGGATGAGGAAGAGGAGCCGGAGATCAACACTATTGTTCCAGTAAGGCGTTACCCTCGTGGTTCGGTATCTGCACCGCAGGAGAAGGAGCGTGCCCCTCGTGGATCGATATCTGCTCCTCCGGCGAAGGAAGGTACCATCGTAGTTGAGCCGCGGAAATCACAAGGACGGCCTCCCAGATCCCAAGTTTCAGCAACTATGGCACCCGAACTATCTCTCGCCAACAACGTAGATACGCCCAAGCGCGGACCGGGTCGACCACCGCGCAGATCCGACGTTCCTGAACCTGCGCGCGAGTCTATCCTCAGCAACAGTCCAGAAATACAGAGGCGTGGACCGGGTCGACCACCGAAATCCCGGATTTCGGAACCTCCAGCGCTTGAACCCCACCTCATCAGCGGCCCGGAAAACCGGAGGTTCATAGGAGGTCGCCCGCGTAGGTCTGAAGTTTCTGAATCTGCGCCCGAGCCCACCATCAGCAGCCCAGAGATTCAGAAACGCGGACCTGGGCGACCGCGTCGATCGGGGGTTGCTGTTTCTACAACGCCCGCGCCTGAGAACGGCGTCGGTACAACAACAGCAGCACCACCACCACTTGGCACACGAATGCGGAGATCTGGGATGTTTCAGAAACCTGCAGCCCCAGATGCTCCAGCTGCCGAACCAGCCATCGCTCAGAAGAGAGACCCGGGACGACCACCGCGCAAATCTACGAGTTTAGGAGTGGATGAGGGATTACAAGCTAATAAACGCCCGCGCTCTCCAGAAGCACAAAATGCTGAGGCGGATACGAGACTCGAGAAAAAGAGGAGGGGGTCTAGTCTATTCGTTTCCGATGACAGCGATGAAGTCGAGGAACCCACCAACTCGTTTACAGCTGTGAACTCTGTTCCCATCAAAACGGAGAATCCACCACCCGCTGAGACGACGGCCGCGGAGACTATCACTATTTCTCCATTGCGCGCCTCATCCCGAGCGAACTCGATACACAAGGACGCGGATGCGAGGCCGAGGAGTAGGGATATGGATGGTAGCACATCCCTCTCTCCTCGTCCGGTGCCGGGTGTGAGTACAGATAGTCCTATCCGGTTCGACGATAATGATGATGGTGAGATTGTGTACAACGACGATAACGATGATGGGGGATTCTTCTCCTCGCACTCCTCGCACTCCTCGCACTACCAATCCGCCACCCCCTCCGTCGCCGACAGAGCGGAATCGCAACAACCCCCGCCCTCGGGAGCAGCGTCGAGCGCGGGGAGTGTCATCTCAACCGGCTACAGGGATGCGAAGATGGAAGCGATGCGTCTAGCCGAGGAGGAAATGAAAGAAGAGATGGAGAGGGCGAGGGTTAAGCGTGGGGGACCCCCGAAACCGGCTGTAGCGGGTGGGAGTGCGGGGTTTAAGGCTATGTTTCTTGATGAGGAGGAAGAGCAGGAGTCTGTCTCACCGTCTCCACCTCCCCCAGTTAAAGCTGCACCAGCTACAGTTCCCGCAACAAAACTTGCGGAGACTCGCGCGGTGAGTGTGAAACCAGCCGCCACGGCACCGCCGAGGGGTGGAGGAGGGATGCAAATCCGCCTCCCCCGCTTCTCACCTCAGCAGACGAGTGGGGTAGGGGAGAAAAGGGGAATTGAGAAGGTGGGAAGCCCGACGTCGGAGGAGTCATCGGATGATGGGGGGGATGCAGATGAAGAGATTCCGGCGCGGAGGGTTGTCCCTGTTGCTGGGAGGGGCGGGACGGTGGGGTTGGGGTTGGGGTTTGCGAGACGGGGAAGGGGGGGGGGACGGGGGAGAGGAAGGGGAGTGGGGAGGGGTGGTTAATTGGGGGTATGGTTTGGCGTTTTTGTTTGATTGGGAGGTATGGGGGTGTTGATACGGTGGGATGAGAGGTTATTGACGGGGTGGGATTTGTTGATGATGGGGTTTATTCTATGATAATGGGGGAGTGGTAAGCTTCAAAGCTGTATCCAGCTTTTGTGGTCTATGGTGTGTGTATGGATGGATGGATGTGTGTAAGGCGCGGGGGATACGTGCCTCGCGGGTTGAGAAAAAGGGGGGTATACCAGTGCAAATCAGAGAAGATTAAGGGGTAGTTGTAGATATACTATTCGTCCAGCTATCAAAACCAACGAAATCGACGGGTTAATCGAGCAAATAACCACCACCGCCCCCTCTCTACTATAGAAGTGATCCAAAGAGTGTGCACCCAGCCATCCATCTCCAGTTCCTGCTCCCCAAATCCTGCTCCCCAAATCCTGCTCCCCAAATCCTGCTCCCCAAATCCTGCTCCCCAAATCCTGCTCCCCAAATCCTGCTTCCCAAATCCTGCTCCCCAAATCCTGCTCCAGAGTAAATCGTAAACCCCCCCCCAACTGCCTCCCCAAAGATCCCCCTCCAACGCAATAGCCAACCCCTCCCCCCACCCCCCCACCGCTACCAAACCGCAGAAAATCCCTCTCCAAAACAAAAAAAAACAAAAAAAACAGGAAAGGGCATCCCGCAACCCCGGGACTCCCTTTCGAGCACTCCCAGCAAGGGAGTGGGGCGGCCATAAACCCAGAAAGTGATACCGAGAAGCGGAACACCCAGAATGTATCATCCGGCGGGTAGCGGCAGGAGGGTGGAAAACGCGAGATATGTTTGTTTGTCCTACCAGCTCGTTGTGGATACCGCCATAACGGGTACTCGCTGCAGCGGAATGGCTGGATATGCTTACCGAGAGGCCGTGGGGGGAGGGGGGATGGGTGAGGTAGTACAGAGAGATGAAAAAGTGAGATCCTGCAGAAAGGGGACGCGGAAAGGGGAATATCGCCGCTATGGGTCATGGCTGCAGGATGAAGAGGTCGAGATGGACTTTCCAGGCGGCGGGAGGACGGAATGGGCGTTGGGGAAGTAAGGGACAGACGTTGGGTTTGTCGATCCCAAGAGGTTTAGAGATATATATACAGGAATGAGAGACAAACGGAGACCGAGGAGGCCTAGAACGTGTATTCCTGCTGAAACGAAGGGGTACAGGAATGCAGCATAGGTCGAACGGGGAAATATCGCTGGAAGGACGCATCTCGTAACTGCGATGGGGTGTGAACGGACGGATGGGATGTGATAGGACGACACCCTGGCTGCGTCAACGGTCGCTGGGGGAAGTAAGGGACTGATATTGCGTCGTCGATCTTCGATGGACTTCACAATTAACGGGAGAGGGAGGTAGTAATACCCAGCTTAAGCTCGCAGAACGCATGAATCCCACGGCTAGGGACAGAACGATACAGCACCATCTCCCCATCAAGGCAATACCGCCGCCCCGGCCCCTCAGCGTTCCAACCACCAGGACGCAGTTACGGGCGTTGGGGAAGTAAGGGGCATCTCGGTAAATGCAGAAGAAACGGATGTGATAGTGATACCGAGCCCGGCAGCTCCCATGGCGTGCGAACCCCGCGGGTAGGGACAGAGCGATGCGATGGTGCTATCTCCCCTTCGAGGTAATACCGCCGTGATGGGACCTAACTACAGCAGAAAACATTGCTTGTCGTAAGCTTACCGGATCTCGGGACGCCCGTTGACGAGACGCCACACGAAGCAAGGGACAGCATTGGGTTGACGATCGCGACGAATTCGGAAATAAAGAGGGTGATACTGATACCGAGATTCTAGAATGCATCGGCGCGGGTAGGGACAGGGGGAAAACGAGCGAACTCGAGGTGAGATGGGGTAGATGGCGCGGTCTGGACGGACGAGGAGATATGGCCGGAATGGGCACTGCATGCATGACTGGAGGGGAATCTGCTTACTGTGTCTGCTCTTACCGGATCTCGGAACGCAAGTTAGGGGAGGGCGCTGTATGAAGCAAGGGGGCGGCATTGGGGCGACGATCGCGGTCAAATGGGGGGGGAATGAGTATGATAGTGATATTGATAATACCACATCACGCCTCAAGCCTAGAACCGTGGTCTCCCACCGCTGCCACCGCCGAACGAGGGAAATACCGCTGCAACGGTCCCTACGCAACTGAAGGAGAAATTTGCTTACTGTATCTTACCAGATCCCGGGACGCCGTTAACAGGACGCCACACAAAGCAAGGGGACCGACGATCACAGTCAAATAGGGAACAAACCGGTGTGATAATGATAGCGACACCTTACCGAGCGTTCCGAACGCTCAAAACGTGTATTAACTCCCGCGATAGGGGATACAGCGACGCATAGGCACGTTTCTTAAGGGGGGGATACCGCTGTGATGGGTTCACGCCGCTGGTGCGTGTACCGGTCACCGGGTTGGAAGAATGGTTGGGGAGTTGGGGAGGTAAGGGGGGTGGTGTTGGGGTTGGGGTGTTGGACCGGGCAGAGGTGGTGTTACTGAGCTTGAGCTCTGGGATGCTGTGATGGGTTGGTGGGTATTGGGAAGTAAGGGGGGAGGGGGGATGACAAATGCCGAATTCCCACAAGAGAGAAAACGTGATTATGACTGCGCTATGGGATGTTATGATGGATATTGGGGAAGTAAGGGGGGGAACGTGACAAATGCAGAATTCCCACAAGAGAGAAAACTTGATTATGACTGAGCTATAGGATGTTGTGATGGATATTGGGGAACTAAGGGGGGGAACGTGACAAATGCAGAATTCCCACAACAGTGAAAACGAGATCATGACTGCGCTATGGGATGTTGTGATGGATATTGGGGAAGTAAGGGGGGGAAACGTGAAAAATGCAGAATTCCAACAAGATCCTATACATGCCCAGATCAAGCTTCTCAACGCCCAGAAACGTGTTCACCCTCCCAAAAGAGAGATGTGATACCTACCATCCATCCATCCGCAGCAGGGACGCCCCAACAACGTGTCCTCCCGCAGCAGCAGATCACATACATAGGCTTTTTACGAGATATGATAGAACAGCCCATCCCAGCAGCGCACCCCCGAAAACGGCCGAACAGGAAAAACGTGTTCTCACCCTTGCTGCCGCAAAAAACAAGAGATGTGAAATGTGATGGATAGGGGTACTTCCCGAAAATGGACGGCAATAAAACGTGTCTTGGACATAAAATGAATGTGATATACGACAGTCCACAATTCGAATGCGGAATGGGATGGCAAAAACGTGCCCTACCGTGTGTACCTTCCAATGAGGCCGAAATATAAATGTGATATGTGACAGCCCACATCCCCAAAACAGACTCTCAAGACTCGCGAAAAACGTGTCCACCCGAGCGTGTGAATATGAGATGTGGCCCCGAAAACGTGCTCAGCTCAGCCCCGTCCTCCCCAAAGATAAAAAAAAATGATATGTGACCAACCTCCCCCCCCCCCGCCCCCAGCCGCCCTACGCACGCCGCAGCAGACCCAACGAACCCCGAAAACGTGGAGCGGCAACGGACGGGTTGGGGGCTGAGCACAGAGGGAAAGAAACGAGATGAGAGTGAGATGTGAAATGTGATATGTGACAACTCCCACGCGCACCCACCGTATGCACCGTATCTCGTATATAGATCCGAGCACACTCCCTCTCTCCCTCCCGAGACACGGGTCGTGCGTGCGTGCATTCTTTTGCATTGGATACGGACTCCCCCGACTATGGGACCGGGTGACGGAGGGAAAGGAGGCCACGCGCTTGAAAGCGCCCAGCCGTGAGAGGTGAGACTTGCAACTTACCGTCCTGTACTGTACTGTGCAGTACCGCCGGAACAGACCCAAGCGTATGGATGGGGAATTTAGCATATCCGCGCGCAGCGCCGTTGGGAGGTTCATCACACCAGTCATCATACCAGTCATCACACCAGTCATCACGCCGCAATCACAATCACCACCCCCCTTCCCGTCCTCCGGGTCGGGTTCGTCCCACCGTCAGCTTACTCTCCCGAACCCAGGACCCCGAGACCGGGAGCGCGACGCCACGCCGGGTCGTCGGCGATTTTAGATCTTGGTACCGTCAGCGCGGCAGCTCCGGGTGATGCTGTGATAGGATCCCCATCCTGCGCTGTGCGACAGTGTGTGTGGCAACGCTATCCATGGTGGGGTGGTGGGATTAACCTGGGACAGTACGGTGGTGGTGGTTTGTGCGACGGACACACGGCTGGTCTGGACTGGCTGGCTGGCTGTGGTGGCCTGGACTGGAATAGGGGCAGGCGCGTTGTGCGACGCTGTGGGCGTGGAGATAGCCGTGCTGTGCTGGGGGCTGAGGGAGGCGTTTCTGTGCTACGCGCCCGCTGGATCGTCGGTCAGCTTCAGGTGCTGCGTGTGGCTCGATGCGGATGTTGAGGGGGGTGGTTATTTGGTGGTGGAGAGGCCGTTTGTCTCGGGAGGGAAGGGGGATCGGCGGGGGGGAGTTACACGGTCAGACTTTGTGTGTGTTAGTCGGGAGGGAGGGTTGTTGGGTGTGCCGTGCGTGCATGAATGTGAGGGCGGCAGGGACTGGCTGGTGTATTGATTTTCTTTTCTTTATTTTTCTGCAATGGGATGGATTGAATGCAGACGGTAGATGCCGCCGTGGTGGTGATGGGTATGGGGAATGCGACGACGACAGCATGAACTGTGGGGGAGGATGTCACTCTGATTGAACTGCCGGATACCACCATAGGAGAGTAGGAGATGCTGTCCCGCCCCCATCCCTCCACACATCACATCAATGCCTGTCATCTGTATAGCGCGTGGCTATAGTGGTAGTGGCGTTCCAAAAGCAACTCTCCTTTCCCACCCCCCATCTCTGACGGCTATCCCCGTGATCACCTCAGTCGCAAAGTGGTGATCACCCTCACTTTCTGATCTCACCCCCTCGTCCTCCCCCTCAAGCCACCAACCCAGCGCGACGGCCGAGCTTACCGACTGCAACATCTGTCATGCACCTCGCCCATCGTAGATGTCGACCAGGTCGTGTAATCAGAGCCATGTCATGCATCCCACCTCCCCCCAGAGTCTAGCTTCCCCAGCTCATCTACCGTGCGCACAATGGCAAGGTAGGTACAACGAAACGGCGGCGGCCGGCGGCCAGCAGCGATCAGTCGCAAGCATCATCAATCAATCAATCAATCCACTTCATCAAAATTGGCCAGCTCATACATTTTCCCAACATTACCCCACTTCCATACTTCCCCTCGTTGGAACTAGCCAGCTCTTACATACGAGTAGTACAGAAAGCGTACAGTTCCCCACATACTGCTTGTGCGAGTTTGATGAGAAAAAATCGAGTTCCCCACAATCCTCTACGCCCGTTTCAGATGCCTCGGTGACAGTTTATAATTACTTCTCCACAGTTCCCCAGGTCAAGTAGTGGCTTAGCCCGGCTGGACTTGCTGCTGTGATGTTGCTTCCTCCACAGTTACAAATCGCACTACTAACGCTATTAACGCTACTAACACTACCAACGCAACTAATACTACTAAACGCTACTAACACAACACTACTAACACTACTAACACCACAAACGACACTACTAACAAATAGAAACACTAACCCGCAACAATTACCAAACATAAACCAAACTCCCCCCCTCTCTCCCCCACAATCCTCGCCCACCCCGAAAGAACACTATCACCTACCCCCCTCCCCCTATCCATCCCCAGCCACCACCCTCCGCACCGTGCACCCAACTATCCCCATACCCCGCGCCCTCCCTCCCATCACAATACCCCCGAGCCACCATGAAGCTACTAAACAAAGCTCCATACACCCCTAGCTCACAACACCTCCCCTCTCCACCCCACCCGTCTTAGCAAGGCCACGCAGCTCTCAGACACCTCCACCTCTCGGCACATCGCCAAGACACGCCTCTCGAAGGGGAGGAAATACGCGAGCCATGCGAGCGTGTGTGAGTAAAGTAATGAATTGAGTGTTCCAGGCTATTTACGGGATAATCACCTGGTCTGTGCCGACGCTGCCGCTGTGCCGTTGCGGGAGGGATGGAGGGGTGTGTGAGTGCGGGATGGGAAGAGCGTGGGATGGATGGATGGAAAGATGGAAAGATGAATGAGATGTATGTCTCGCTCAACTGTAAACGAGGGGATAGGTACTTTCTTCTCCCTTGTCTTACTCCTGCGTCATGGGTTATACGGCGTGCCGCACCTGCCGCTGCCATTCCCCTACCGTTGCGGGAGGGAGGGGGAGAGCGCGTGGCGTGGAAGGATAAGATAGATGTCTTGCTTAGAAGCGAGGGGATAGGTGGTTTGTCTTTGTCTTACTGCTGCTGCGCCTTCCATGGAATATACGGCGTGCCGCTCCTGCCGCTACCTACCGTTGCGGGAGGGAGGGAGGGAGAGCGCGTGGGAGGTGGATGGTGATGTCTCGTGTATACGAGAGGGAGAGGGAGGGGGATGAGATGTCTTGTCTATATGCGGAAGTATATGGATGATAGATGTGATAGATACCTTTTCCTTTTGTCTCGGATAGTTTCGCGCTCACCGGCACGGAGGAACGCGTGGCCGATTCTGCGCAACGAGTCGCATCCTGTGGGCTCGTTGCGCAAAACCGGCCATGCGTTTTTCCAAGCCGGCGCAATGAGTCGCTTGGTGTGAGCTCTTGCGCCGGCTCGGAATAATGCCCAGCCGGTTTTGCGCACTTCATTGCAGTGCGTGCAAGAAGTGCGTAAAATCGGTTATGGGATAATCCGGCCGGCACTATGAGCACACCGAGTGACTCGTGGTGCTGGCCGGATCAATATACGACCGATTTCGCGCAACGAGTCGCTTCTAGTGCGCTCGTTGTGCTAAACCGGCCGTGAGTTAATCCGAGCCGGCTGGCGCAATGAGCTCATTGCGGTAGCCGGCTCGGATTATTATCCGGCCGATTTTGCGCACTTTGTCGCAAGGAGTGCAACAAGTGCGCAAAACCACAGGCTTGGCGCTTATGTAAGGTATGGAGGAGAGGAGGAGTGGAGGCGGCAAAGGTTGTCACCGCGCCGTGAGCAAGGCGGCAAGCAGCTCACGGCTGCCGACAACACCGAAATGTGCGCAAAACCTCCTAGTGAGTAGAGGTTTTGCACACTTTTAGGGGTGTGGCGGTGCAAGATGTGGCGCTTTGTCACACCTTGCACACACAGCCTTACACCAGCCTTGTTGACTACTCTAAGGCTGATGTGAAGGGTGGCCGCCTCACGGCGGCCGACAGCACCGAGAATGCGCACAAGCGTCACTTTTCGTGCGCTTGTGCGCGGTTTTAGGACTGTGGCGGTGCAGGCTGGCACCACCACAGTTAGTCTGCCTTAGGCAAACTATAAGGCACAAAGGGGAGGAGACACAGGGAGAGAAGGCTACGAGGGGGTGCAGGCAAGGCTGGCTGCTCACAGCGGCGTCCGGCAGTAGGTAGCACCGAAAATGCGCATAAGCGTCGGCCGGTGTGCGCTTTTGCGCATTTTCGGCGTGTGGCGGTGCGCTTATGTGAGATGGCGGCACCGCCACGGGCTTAGGCTGCTACAAGGCTTAGATAGCAGGAGAGAGGGGAGAGAAAGGCTATGAAGGTAGACAGCACCTAAGGCTGCCATCACGGCGGCCGACCTCACCGAGAATGCGCAGATGGGCTGTTTAGTTGCGCTTCTTGCGCGGATTCATAGGTGTGGTGTCTGGTCACGTGCACTGCATCTGCCACACCTCCTGTCGATCTCTCAGCCTGAGAAAGTCCAGACCAAGCTGGCTGACTTACTACTATACCCCCTTCTACTCTATCCGCGACACCTACGAATCCAGCGAGGTATCACACAAACACACTCAAACAATGACAGGTTTTTATTTCTTTACGTAGGGTACACAGCATGATCTCGACTGAGCTTATTGTGTCATAGATTAATGTGCTCATTATTTTTTAGAAGAGTGGGGGGTTAGAATTATATTAGCTTGAGTTGAGTGATATATATTTCTGTCGAGTGAATATATATTAATCCACAAAAAATATATTAAAAATCAAAGTCTAGATTTAATATCATATCTTGCGCGACTATTAAATGGCGATGACCGATGGCGCATGCGATATAGCGCATACATGCATGCATACATACATACATACATACATACATACATACATACAGTATATGGATACAGTATATGGGATAGGGTAGATAGATTAACAATTAATGGGTTGATGTGGTTGATGTGGTCAACGCACTTCCGCCATTCCGCCATACCCGTCCACCTGTTCGTCAGCTACACACCCACCACCCACCACCCACCACCCACCACCCACCTCTCTCGCCTCTGCCGCCCACGCCGATATCGATACTACTGCTGGTGCATGTGTGTCTCATGACACTCCTCACGATCTGCTTTACTACACACCCTCTGTCCATCGCCCCTTACTTCTGTACACCCACCCACCCTCACCCGCCTCTCCCTCACACCCTCATCGCCACCCAATAATTACACTACACTACACTCTCAATCTACACCCGCCCGATATCCGGACCCTCTCCCCAATCTCAACATTTTTTTTCTTCCATGCTTGGTTTTCTCTCTCTCAACCCGAAAAATTCGTCATTAATTCGCCACCGTCAGTCCCCTATACCTGCCCCCGTGCCGTGCCGCCGTCTCGTCTCGCCACTGCACGAGCCCACGGGCAGGTCGATCACGGGCCTTGCCTTGGCTTGCCGCTGTACTGTAACCCTTTTATTACGGTACAGGGCAGTACAGTACAGTACGTATACCACAGTACGTACAGTATATTTTGGTTTTAGATAGCCGTACCGTACCGTGGTGTTGCCAAGGGGTGGTGTGTACGTACTCGGAATAGAGGATAGGAGGGATAGGAGTGGAAAGAAGTGTACATATCCCTCACTCCCGTGTTCGCATCGCATCTGCATTTGCATCGCCGACCTCCTGTATGTACGTACAATACACATCCCTCGCATTCGCATCGCCGACCGACCGACATCCCATACAATCCCCTCCCTCCCTCCCTCCCTGGCCATGTCCATACGTATTCCCGCAGCATCCCAAGCACAAGCAGCGTATATCGTATAAAGAGGACGGGATATGAGTGGGCCGGCCACCACAGACATCCAGCTGCCTGAAAGGGGGTAAGTTTCCGATCGGACGAGCAGGGCTGGCTGTACACACAGACGACATTGACACGGACATACATAGCCAGCCAGGCGTCCGAGGCAGCCAGGCAGCCAGGCATACAGGACCAGGACAAGGACTGGACTAGGACAGGGTAGAGGGGAGAGGGAGAGTGACAAGGGCATACAGGACAGGGCATAAGAACAGTACAGTACAGGACAGGGCAGGGGGCAAGGGAATGACGCGCATGTGAGAGGATGCGGTGTTAGCGCCCATACACCCTGGGTGATACTGTTTGGATACTGGATGGTGGGATGGGATGGTTCGCGATGTGTTTGCGATGGGTTGCTTGCATATTACCTTACTTACTTTACTTTGTTGGAACATGGCTGGCTGGGTGGGTGGATAGATCGGTGGTTGGATAGTTGGGTGGCCGATGATGCACATGGCACAGCTGCGCTCCTGTCTACATACAGGAGAGTAGGAGGGATGGGAGGGAGACACGCAACCTCACTGGTTGTTGGCCTCGACGATGGTGTCAGAAACCCACGCCATCGCACCCAGCAAGGCGAGGAGATGCTGCGCGTTGACGGGAGGCTTTTTTTATTTCTTCCCTCATTCGTCATCGTCATCATCATCGCCATCATCGACTGTGCAGTTCATTAAAAGTCGATCCAATCCAATCCAGCCAGCCATCAACCCAGCAGTCAACCAGTAACCCCCATCTTCAAACCCCAATCAAGATGACTACAGTACACCCACGATCATGAGGAATCGCAACACCACCAAGAATCCCATACAGTAAGTTTCTAGCTCGCCACCAATGACGCCAACACAACACAGGATCGTTGGGTCGTCAGACTACCACGACGCGCACCAGCGGGGTCCTCCTCGTGCTCGTCCTTGGTACGGGAAGGGACCCAAAGCCTTCGGTGCAGATTGGAGCCGAACGAAGTGCAGATGCAGATGCAGGTGAGACATATGTCTTGTCTGTATGGCGTTTTACTGCGCCTGCGCCTGCGTCTGTGTCTGAGATTGGGATTGGGGAGAGGAGGAGGCGTCAGCGTGGTTGGCAGACGGCTGGCTGTGTGTCTCTGGGGCTGAGAGCGGGAGGGGAAGGAGGGTTAGAAGTGTGAGAAGTGTGAGAGTTAAAGGTGTGAGATGTGTTGGGATTGTTAGACATGGGAGGGTAAGATGTGTGTGTGTTAGGATTGATTGAAATGTCTTTCCGCATCCGGCTGTCTCGCTCGGCTGTCTCGCTCGTCTGTCTCGCTCGTCTGTCTCGCTCGTCTGTCTCGTCTCTCTTGGGTTGCGTGGTGGTTCCTGCCACAGCCTCGTGCAAGCGAGGGGTGAGTGAGTGAGTACAGTTCTGTAAATGAGGGAGTTTATTGAGGGTGCAGATAGACTCTTGAAGCGAGAGTCAGATAATCAGAGTCTGTTCTGTTCATTCCATGTCCATGTCCATATCCACAATCCACAATCCATAACCATATTCATATCCACGTACATATACGCATACGCAATCTCGCCCTTCCTACCATCTTAAGCCCCCTCCGATCAACAAACGCAACGCACGTCCTCTCTCTCCCCAACGTCTCAGATCATCATCGAAGAAACTCAAATCAACCCTCTCATCCCTTCCTAAACCGTGCTGGCCTCGATGCTCTCTCAACTATAGTATAGATTATCGCCAGATTGATAGTGGAGTCCACAGTATAGTAGATTGTCAGAATGAGGAAACGTACCCACACACCCTGATCGCCCATCACCGATCTCTCGAATATCTCCCCCACTCTCGATGGGCTATGAGGGATGTGACTGGGTGAAGGAGGTGGTAGGGGAGGTGGCACCCCCACTTTTTGTACGTACTTGCCTCGAAATAGCTGTATCTACTATCGCGCTATCGCAATATAGTATAGCAGGGGATAGCGAGAGGAGTTAGAGACACAGCGAGAGAAGTTAGAATCGGTCCTGCGTCCCTCCTAGCGCCGGGCGTATTGTGTACATACGTACCTTTTATATTACCATCACCACACTGGGAATGGACGGACTGGGGTATATTTGTGTGTGTGGGCGTGCGTGATGCAGAAATCCCGACACCCACAAACGAACAGACGATGGCGTCGGCGATGGCGAACACCCATATCTCTACCACTACCCTTACCCTCCTTCTTCCAGCTACGCGCAATTTATAGCCACCACCACCAGTGTACTTTCCCACGATGGGGTTAGCAGCGCGCTATACAACCCCCTATCACCAGCGCTGTCATCAACCCCCGAGGCGTCCTTGGCGACGGGCTTGGGGTGTGCATGGACCACCTCGAGTACCGTGCGGGGAGTGGTGGGTGGGAGGGAAATAGATAGACTGGAGGAGTATCCGCGCATACCGCGCGTAGCAGGGGGGGTAGGTATGCCACGATGGATGGATTGAGGGGTGAGACCTTTTGAGGTTGTTGGCTGTGAGGGCTGAGATTGTTTATTGATATTAATGATAACGGATGAGGTGAGGTGCGTGGGGGGAGGAGGGGGAGGGAGGGCTGGTGATTGATGAGGTGAGCATGATATGGTGGGTGGGATGGGGGTGCTGATCGCGTTTAAGGGTGGCAGGTGTTGTCTTAGCTGTGCTGGTGGAGGTGGAAGTGTTCGTGTGGGAATGTGTGTAGGTGAGTGGTGGTGGGAGATGTGAGAGAGGGGAGAGGGGTGGAAGAGAGCCGTCAAGTAACACAACACAGCATCATCTATCGCTCGCAGGTACGGCGGACTATATTAAATTGATTTTGATCGCATAGAGCACGTCCTTCCATCTGTCCTGTCTGCACTGACAAACTGACAAACCCAAGCGGGGACCCTCTGCGCGCATATTCCGCTGCTGCACAGAGGGACAGGACAGGACAGGAGCGTTGGGTGCTTGATTGCTTCCTCTGTCTCTGTCCTTATTAACCCCACCACCGCATCCAGCGGCGCACAGAAGCACAGAAGAGAGAGAAGGAAAGAGGGATTGGCGCCCCCTCCGCCACGACACCTCACATTCCATTTTACAGTGGGTGCTGCACCACGCCCATGCCCATGCCCATGGCCCCACTCCCGCTGTCTGCCTCTCTACCTGGTTCAAAGGCACCTGCTGCACCAAAACGCACTTATCCCCATCTAGACAACGCCCACCCGTCCAGGCGCGCGCCGTGGACCCCCCTCAACCAGAAGAAGTGGGGTAATCATTCAGTTCGTTGGCCAATCACGGTGTGCAGCTGCCACCCAGGAGAGGAAGAAAGGACCAATCACAAACAGCGATGTAGCACACCCCCATCCCCCTCGCCTACTCGTGAGTCGACTCGCTTACAACGCGCTGTGGGTGTGGGTGGTGTGAGACACTTTTGGGGCGTAGGGGATCGTAAATGTGTGTGTCTGTGTGTACCGTACCTAACCCTGCAGCTGAGCTGTTTCGCTAGTGGGTCAGGTTTTGGATGGATGCGGTGTAGTGCAGGTGTTAGTGGCAGTGGAACTGGAGAGAGGGAGAGGGGAGAGACTGGGGGTGGAGCGAGAGGACAGCTTTAGTTAGCCAAGCACTTGTCGACACGGCTGCGGGGACGGGGGTGGCCCTTGTGGAGGAAAGGGAGCAGGGAGAGGGGAGTGGTAGGTACGGGGATACTTATGACTGGACATACCACTCACACACCCATTTGATGCTGCACCTGCCTGTACCAACCCACACACACCGAAATGGAGAGAAAAAAATAGGTATTTTAGGATGTTCCGCGCCTGCCTGGCCTTGTTTCTCCTGTACCTGGCTGGCTGCGTTGTGGTTGCGCGTTCTTTCTTCTGGTTTATGGGTATGGGTGAGACAACCTTGCGCGCTTTTTGTTATGAATCCCTGCTCGCTGGCTTGCTTGGTCATATACCCTTGCTCGTGTGACCCCTTGTTGAAATCTTAAGCGTACGAAGGGGAGGGGGAGTAGTACAGAGTACAGACATTCGTTTTACTGCTCTTTCTTCGCTCTTTCGTCTGTCTGTCTGTCTGTCTGCCCCTCTCTCTCCTACCCCCCTCTCTCTCCTACCCCGTGCCGCTTAGAATATCTGTGCTATGTGCTAATATCTGTACTACCTCGCGCACACGCCCTGTCCCCATCGCCAAGACTTGTCTCTTTTGTCCTTTTTTGCTCTCTTGTCTGTCCATTTTGACGCTACTGATGCTAGTACATACTAGTCTACAGCCAACCCCACTCTTTCTCCTTCGATTCCCCACATTAAATCTACAAAGGTACCCAACTTTCTGCACCATCTTTCTTCCCTTTCTTCCCTTTCTTCCCTCCCCCTGCCCGCACCCTTCCCCCCTCTCCCTTCCTCCCTCCCTTTTCCATAATCCCGCTAAACTTATCTGAGAAGGGACTAGCAGGGGGAGTAACATCGTTCAAAGTTGTCTCCACTCTCTTACAGTACTCTCTCTCCTCTTTGCTCTCTGTCTCCACCCCACCCTCCTCTCTGTCCCCACCCCTGTCTTGTCTCCACTTCCTGCAAGCTGCACCTGCTACCCTCATCCACGACGCTCATCCCCACCCTTCCCATCTACGCTTGTCTATGAATGTCCACGCTTGTCTACAGTTATCCTCCTTCACCCATCAATCACCCCAAAGTACCTAAAAAGCACGCCAAAATCTATCCACAAGCCCCCCCATCCATCCATCCACCCCCATCCCACACACCCCTCCCCTCACACCACAACTCATCCGCCTCCACACTATCTCCACCCCTCCCTCCCTTCAACTCACTCTCCTCAACCTATCCAGCTTTTGTATATCTTCACCCTCGTCCCCACCCCGTGAAACCCACGAACATTTCTACTCCAAGCAACCAAATTCGCCTCCCCCCCACTCCGACTCACTCCCAACCGTCATCCTCACCTTACCCACAAAGAAATATTTATTCTTAACATCCCTTTCATCCATCTCCGTCCATCGTCGCCTTGCTTTAATATAACTTATCTCGCCGCACCCTCTTCTCTTTCTTCATACAAACAAGACGAACATAAACATCGACATCGCATCAATCTATCTCTACTGCCTTGCAGCCAATACCGCCGCTACTACTACTCCTGCACCTGCCTCGCCGAAGGGAATGATACCATCTGCACCTCACCTGTCGTCAATCTTCCTCTCCAGCCTTGCCTGTTCGCCATAGCACGCACCAAACGTTGTCTCATCACCATCACATCAACTTCACACCATCGCTCACAAACATATTTAATCAACCCTCTCACCCACCTCACCTCACCTCACCTCATCCACAACCACACCACACCACACACACAAACAACCACCCCCAACCACCACAATGGCCCAAGAAATCGACTGGTCTCCCTCCTACTGCCTCGCCTGCGACCGCCAAACCGACACTTCAGCTTACTGCTCTGAATCCTGCCGCCTCGCTGAATACGAGTCTTCTGCCTCCCCATCCTCCTCCCCGTCCTGGCCCTCGCACTCGCACACCCCCTTCCAGCTCCCATCCGCCTACGACTTCTCCCAGAAGACCTCCTCCTCCGCCATCCGCCCCGCCGTCCACGCACGCGCACACTCCCAACCTCAGCCGCGCCAGCAGGCTACATACTCTGTCCCGCGTCTGCAAACCAGGCCGGTGCTGACACCGAGTTCAAGCCAGAGCTCGCTGTTCTCGATGCAGAGCGGTGCGAGTGTGGGGGAGGTGGTATCGGAGGAGGCGAGGAGGGAGTTGAGGGGATATGCGAGCGCGTTTGATCAGAGTCGGTATCAGAGGAGGCAGAGCGCTTCGTAGAGCGGGGTTGAGTTGACGGCTTTGGCTACTACTTTACTCTACTACTCGAACGGCTACGCTTCACCTTCACCACTTCACCACTACGAATTCTTATATCTTTAACTCTACGACTTTATCTACTACGAACTCACGAATCGGCGCATCTCCACACATACCCATACCACACACAACAACGCGCCATGACACGACCACGCACACACACCCCTAATCCATCATCGGTTTGGATTGGGGGCTCGCATTTTCCACTTCTGAACTATCTTGTCTTACACTTATCATTTATACATCCGCATCATCTTGGGAGTTTCCATCCTATCTATCTATCCATCTATCTACCTACCTACACCAACCGGGCTGGCATCTTTGTCCGTTATAGACGCCGACGAGAACGAGATAGAAGGCAAGGAGCAACTAGAGGAGCGGATTGGGAACAAATCGGCGTTTTTTCAGCATCGGCTTTTTTGACTCACCACTTTTTTTTAAACCGTCATCATTCATCGAAGAAGAAGAAGAGAGAAAGACGAAGAAGATTACTTGTACTTGCATACCCCCGGCGCCAATCATCACTCATAAAAGCACCCCCCATCACCACATCATCGGGGGGGTGGCTAGCATCGCATCATTTCTTTTGTCTGGGCTTCTGTTTTTCTACTCAAGTTTTTTTTGGTGGGGAGACGGGAAGGTTGCATTTTTATTGGGGCATTCATCAGGGAGGCATCGGGATTGGGAAGCATGGAGGGGGGGATATCATACCACTTTTGTATTACGCGTACGCGCGGGGATTTTTGGGAGTGCGAGAGGAAAGGGAAGGGATAGTGGGAGGAACAGGACAGGAAGGGAGAGGGGAAGGGGAAGGAGGGGTGTACGCATACCCTTACGACGACTCGCAGTAGTCAGTCGGGCGATCTTAGATAGCAGATCAGGCATCAGCGATAATAGCTGTTTTGTCAATGAAGAGAACATTTACTCTCCTCACTACTTGTTTAATTGTCTCTGTCTACTTGTGCAATGTGTATTATGACCCCATCCTCCCTATCCAATGCATGCCAACATCTCAATCAATGTAAATAATACCCCCCGGTCTCCATACCCACACACGCTCGTCGCCATACACGCCTCCTCGCCACGTTACCATCAATCACCCACCCCCCTTACTGCGGTTTTGAATCCCCATCCTGCAGTCAGCGCTTTGGGATAGTTTTCTCCCTGCTAGCTAGCTTGGGAGCCGAGAATTTGTCAACCACCTCACCCCCTTGCATCGCTCACTCACAACCCGTTATGGACGCCAGGGAGGGAGGGGTCTAGACCGATCCCATCCGCCGGTGGCATCGCATCGCATCCCACCACATCTTGGCGCTCTACCGTGCTGCCATAGCTGTCGTGCTCTCACGATACAGCGAGCGTGCACAGTTGCGGTGGTATCCCAGATCCACCTCCCCTCCCCCGATTTAAGTCCCCGGGTATTAGATCGGGTAAGTTATATTTCGTTCCTCCGCAGCGGCACGACGATTTTCGACATCCTCTATCTGCCTCCCAGGGCGGAGATATCATTCCCCACCTCACATATTTTTTTTAGAGGGGTGTGTCTCTACTTCGTCCAGCCGGTCCTGCGGGCGTCCCGGTCGCGTATCACTATCTATCACATCACATCTTTCCACATTTTTAGTGTGCGGTTTTTCTACAATTGTTGGGGAGGGGGTCGATAGGTTCTATGCGGCCTGGGCTTGGTGGCGTGTCGTGTCTCTCTCTTGGGGTTTGTGTTTGTTATTCATCAACCCCTCCTCCCCCTTACGTCGCTCAACGCCCATCCCACTCTCTCAGTTTGAGGTTCATTTTACCATGCAGTCACGCCTCTTTGCGGTGGGTTTGTTTCGTTTTTGTACCCCCATGGAGTGGGAGAGCGCGAGGACGTCACGGCGGTACCGTCCTCGTTCGGGGGGTGCGTGCATTCCCATCTCCTCCTGCGATGGGATGACACGTTCTAGGTGTCCCGCTCTCGGTGGCGGTTTTCTGCGGTCGATGGGTTTCGGGGGGTGTTGGTGCTGGTGTTACCATCACCCCTTCTTTTCTTTCCCCCCCTCCCCTTTTATTATTTCCACATCTCCGTTTTTTGTCAGCCATCACCCCTCCCCTCGCCCCGGGCCCCTTACTTCACCATCGAAGTGCCCATTCTAGATATCCCGGGCGTGGCGAGATGGCCGGTCTAGGCCTTGGTTTCAGGCTCATGCGGTTCCAGCCTGTTATGGCGGTATTCTAGAGACAGCGAGAGGATGGTGGGAGGGGTGGGGGGGGGGGGGTGGTTTCTGGGGGGGGGGGGGGGCCGGCGAGGGGGGGGAGGGGTCGGGGGGGGGGTGGGTAGAGGGGGGTTGATGCGGGGGGGTTTGGGGGGGGGGGAAGGCCGANNCAGCGAGAGGATGGTGGGAGGGGTGGGGGGGGGGTGTGGTTTCTGTTCCGGCTGCGGGAGAACACGTTTTGGGCGTCCCGGCTGGGGGGGTGGGGGGGGGGGGCGTGGTGCCACAGAACTATTGTAGGTCATATCTCGTGCAGGTTATATATCTCCTACATATTCATCCTGGTTGTCACACTGCGTCCCCCCTTCCTCATCCCCACTTCTCCCTTACTTCCACAGTGCAGCGACTGTTGAAAGAACGGGGGGGAGGGGGGGGGGGTTAAGGACGGGGATTTGTAAAGAACCTGCATGCATACATGCATGCGCGACTATCCCAGTACGGCGGTGTTGGGTTGGTGAGATACTGCTGCTGCTGTGGTGTGTATGCATGGTATGCATGCATGCGGGGGGAGTTTTGGGGATGGAGATCATGGGATGGATGGAGATCATGGGATGGATGGAGATACTTGAGGGTGTAGGGGGAGAAGGGGGAGGGGGGAGGGTCTTACGTTCTCTTCTGTTGGAGTGGTGTATGTATGTCTCGGATGGCGGCAGTTTTCTTCGGCGTGGCCGGGGTGAAGGGTGGTGGGAGAGGGCGTGGCGAGGGAAAGAGGGTGGAGTGGTTCGGGTTTCCTTGTTGGGTTATTTGGGTGGGGGATGTGGTGGTGGTAGCTATGAGAGGGAGGAGGAAAAGAGGGTGGGAGGGGAATGGGAGGGAAAAAGGGGGAGGTAAGGAGTCATGTGTAGAAAAGGGGTAGAATTTTGTCATAGGGCACGATGCTCAAAACAAAGTAACACCAGATTGACTGTAAAAAAACTTGATATTATAATGGCACCAAAGAGATAAAGGATGAGTCGGAGTTCTTCTGCTTCACGGATGCACTATCGCGTTCTTATTGAAGAACAGGAGAGACAAAGACTCAAAGCAAATGCCCTATTGAAGACAGCAGCAGCACCCGCCGGTTCCTACCATTGACTTCCGTTGGCTTTAGCGGCGATTACCCCTATTCTACCACGTGATCCTCCGACAAGGAGTTACTGCGATTCAGGGGCGTTGTCGTTATGAGGTGGGGAGATTAAAGGATGAGAGGTCTGGAGAACCTCTAGGTTTGTAAAAGTATGTGTTAGGAACTTCTCTCGGCCCTTCTTGTCTTCTGTGCCTTCCTGTGTCATTGCCTTAGAGTCGGGAATCGACGCCCCGGTTATAGCGCGACGGCTGGCCATTGTTCTTTAAGAAGGTGGTGTTCTTACTTTTCTTACCACTTTATCTTCAACGCGTATTTCTTCCTAGGTTTCTTCATCGGAGGTTTCTGCTTCCGAGTCATCTTCTTTCGTTGGAGTCCTCGCCGGTCCTCCTGGGCTGATCGAGGGGGGCGATGCAGTAAGCTTGGATAAGCACATGATGACGTTCTTATGGCACCGTCTCGAAGGAAAGAGTTGGCTTGGGGTGAGACGGTGGTCTCGATCATCTCCCGCTCTGCAAATCACGTACAGGGGAATCGTAATCCGCCTACTGCTGTCCCCATCCTTCCAACAACAGAAGTCAGGAAATTAGACGTAGGTGATCGAGCACCCAATAATGCGCTTCTTGTGGCTTTCTGTGCCTGGGTATGGCGGCAGAGCGAGACTCCCCAATTCTGATATAAACCGCTGGCCATTATCCTTTAGCATGGTGGTGTTCTTACCACTCCATCTTCATCGGATGTTTCTTCTTCCGGGCCATCTTCCCTCGTTGGAGTCCTCGTCGGGCCCCCTGGGCTAATCGAGGGGGCCGACGCAGTAAGCTTGGTTAAGCACATGATGACGGCCTTATGGCAACGTCCCGGAGGAAGGAGTCGGTGAGGCGGAATAGAGTGTATGGTCTCGATCAACTCTCGTTCTGTAAAAAACACGTCAGGAGAATCTAAACCAGCTCAATGCGCTTGTTGTGGCTTTCTGTTCCTGGCTGTGGCGGTAGGACGAGATTGCTCGGTTCTGATATTATCAGCTGCCCATTGTTCTTTGGGATTGCGGATTTCCCCCTATCTCGACGCTCTCTATCTCCTCAGAGCTGTCTATCTCACTGTTCTCGGAAACATTCTTTGAGTTCAGCTTCTTCTTTCACCGGACTATCCTATCTTCTTCGGATTCTTCGTCGATCGGTCCTGGCTCTATCTGGTTTAGCGATCCGTCCAAGGGTGCATGTGCATCATTGCATCCGTAAGCACAGTAAAGTAACCCTTGGCCCCTGGTGTCGCCGCTATGTCTGTGGCCTAGCGTCTTCTGATCGTGATAGCTGGGCGGTATTTCCATCTTCCATTCTGCTTCCAGATCTTCTTCTCCAACTAATATCTGCCAGAGTCTTCATCGGCCCCGCAACCTGGCTCTATTTGGCTTCTCGGTCCGTCCAAGGGTTCATCATTGCATCTGTAAGCACATTGAAATCCCCTCGGGCACCTAGTGTCGCGGCTAAATGCGTATCTACGGTTGTCGCGTCTCAAAAGAAGGAGCTGGTTTGAGGTGAGAGAGTCGACTCAATCATCGCTCGCTATAAAACACCTGCAGGGGAAAAAAAAATCCACTCTATGCACTGCTTGTGGCACCTTGTCTGTGCCTAGGTATCGTGGCAAGAATATAATGCTCAGTTCTGATGTAACCGTTGGAATAGCGGTCTCCTTTCGCGTCATCTTCGTCAGAGATTTCGTCCTCGGCTCATCTTCTGGATCTCCTTTGTCCGACTCATCATCGCTTGAGTCTTCTTAAATTGGAGGTCTGCGATGAGAGAACACCCGACGTTGATAGATCGAAGGATTTCTTGAATTATGAGATATGTCTCACTAATATCAGAGGGGACGGCTTCCGTAACGTCAACTGATGTCTCGTCGGCCCCCTCGGTCAGCCCAAGGTTGCGCCTTTGCGCCTGTCGGCGCGTTGAGATACCTCTGACACCCGGTGTGGCCGCTAGGTGTCCGTCCACTGTGATGGCGTCTCGAAAGAAGGAGCCGGTTTGGTATGAGGCGCCTCTATGTCTTCGTCCTCGCCCTCGCCCAAATCTTCTCCATCCATGAAGTCCCCGTTGTTGTGAAGCCTCCGTTGTCGATGAAGCCTGTGCTGTTCGCCCGACACAATGCGTTTGAACGTCGCTGGGTTCAGGAACTTAACACGTGCCGCGAGGCTCTCTGAGTTGAACGGTGTCAACTCGCTCTTTCTCATCGCTATGGTCGCTGCGCGGTAATCGTCAAGCTCCACATTCTCTAGGTCGTCGAGACTATAATCCAGTTGATCCTTTAAACCACTCGCCGTTATCGATGACAACCCTTATCTCATCTCCTACTATTAACGTTGGCTTGAACGACGAGTAATATGCTAGGTGGCATATCGTGATCTGCGTGGTTGCCACAACTCTAGCGACAGAGAATATGTGTCCCTCAACCTCCTCTAGACGCCGAGTGAGGGAAATGCAATCATCCCTGAAGAAATCGTCATTAACTTCCATGAGTCGAGTGAAAACACTCTGACATCTGACAATCTATTGACAACCTCATCTTAGATGCTGCGTTGGGATCAACTGAAGGCAATGGACGAGCTGAAGTCGCCTTTGCGATTGGGAGGTAGGGTTTGACGCCCCTAAATAGAATCTCCAACGGGTGGAAGCAGAGAAGGTCTGTAGGGATCCTCCATTTCTTTTTTTCCACGCCCACGATGATAGTGGCGATCTGAGTGCAGTTTCTAAACCTAGTTAGCTGTCGCACCTTTCCAGATGTAATTGCAAACCTACTCGAAAGTGGGTGCTTCGTTACTGCTTGCTTTCGTCATTTTGACGTCTTTCAGGCTATGCGATGTATATATGCACGAGCTTGGTCTTGGTGGATTCTGTAGCTAGCTTCTTCGAGAGACTAGCTACGGGATATCTGAAATTCGACTGTTAGTATAGCCCATAGATAATATTTTCAAGTGCGGAGGGGACAGGTTTGCTGCTCGAACATACCGAGCGAAGTCACTGATTTAGGATCCGAGTGAATTTTTGATGAGTGGGTACTGGTGATGTGAAAGCTGCAGTCTAGCGGACACTAGATGACTTGAGGACCTGTCGACTTGAAGGTAAGCAAGAGCGTTTGGAAGGTGATGTGAGCTTCAGGAGATGTGAACTTGACAGAGGAACCGTCCAGAAGGTGGAATTTCAAAGTGTGTGAGTAAAGGACCAGCCGACGTGGAGGCAGGCGAGAGTTCACAGGAGGGTGCAAGTTTAAAACCTAGCGAACTTATCGGAGGTATGAGATGAGATTCTAGACCCTCAGAGGCAGAGCGATGGTTGAAATGTAGGTTGAATGTAAAGAGAGAAGGAGAAAATAATAAACCAACTCTTATAAAAGCAAATTCGACACCGAAATCTCAACCACTCAAATTTAAAATCATTGACTGCCAACATGAACAAGTTGGGAATTAATACAAATATTACACAAGTCAACAAGCGTTATCCACAGCCATTCCTGACCATCAATAGTAAACTAGTTATGGAAAGAAAATGAAAGACGAAACTACACACTGATGCAGACTTGTGAGTTGAACCAAAATATAAAAAGGGGTGGCTTGCTGTGCCTTACTCGCGCAAAAGGCCTCTATTCCCACAATTATAGAGCGAAGGATGCCCAGAAAACGTATTACAGACATCGATACAAACTCACGCTGATCGTTAGGTAGCAATGACGAGTCTCTCCGAAGAATAGCCTTGTTGACACAGATTTTCTTGGTCACCTAGATTCGCTGTTGGGCGGCAGTGTGAAATCATCGCTGTTTTTTTCGTCTCCATCAATTTTGGCTATAATTCTGCCAATCGTGAGCATCAAGCGCCTCATCCATCCATGTCCTGAGCTGTGGGTATATGATCCGAAAACGCCCATAAAACGATATCCCCCATTCCCAACGCCTCCTGAACCCATCATGCTGGCTTTTACAAACAAGCAAAGCACCCACTCAGACCTACTCCTTGGGCTCCTTGGGCTCCTTTTTCTTATATTTCCCCCGCTTCCCGCCGACAATCTGCGTATCGGCATCATCGTCCGCCTCCCCCAGCTCCTCGCCCACCAGATTTTCAACCCCCGTCTTCGTGATCTTGTCATCGCTCACATCGACCGCCTTACGCGCGGCATCAATCTCTGCCTTGCGCTCGAACACCTCCTCGATCTTGCCCAGCTTCAGCGGGTCCTTGCGGCACGCGAATTTGAAGTCCTCGAGCTTGACCTTCTGCCGTCCGGCTAGCTGCGCGGGGCGGTCCGCTTCGAAGCACAGCTCGATGATGAAGTCGGAGAGCATCTCATCGAGCACGCGGATTGTGCCAGGGAGGGAGTTTGGGACATCGCCGTGGGCGTACAGGAGCATCTGGACTGGAAGGGGTCAGAATGTGAAGTTTGACAGGGGTGGGGGAGTACACACGTTCTTGGTCCGTGAAGTTCTGCTGGCCGCGATTTTTGGCGGCGCGAGCCCGGGGCTCCATGGTGAGGTTAGCGGCTAATAACCGTACAAAACTGACACATGCAGAGGTGATTCGATAGTGTACAGAGTATAATTTACAAAAATTGCTTACCGGGTTCTTGGGAGGTGGTCGAGGGGCCATGGTGACGTCGGCGTCGGCTGGACGATTTCCCGCGTCTCGGTGAATTTGTTGTTGCGGTACCGAGAGACCGAGAGGCCAACTTTGTTGCTTGCAACGAGACCTGCCTGGATAGTAGATCAGTTACAAGAAACGACCCCTCAAGATGGTACGCAAGCTTACCCTGAATCCAGGAATGAAATGCTGACAAAAAAAAATAGACGGCTCTTTTCAACTTCCAGTCTTTGTTGCTGGTGTTCCTCCTCCTCATCTGCACAAGCGCGTACGCCCACCAGCTGTTTCCAGGGATTATGGACAGGAATAAGAATGGGTAGGTCGCACAACCACAGGTTGAAGATTTATAACTGACGATCGTAGTGTCTTGGGTGTCTTCTGGAAATGTGCGCGGATAGGAGAAAGGCTGAGCCCGTATATAAGTATATGTTGCCTGCTCATGGCTGTAAGTCATTCATGCAACCTCCCATGGTTCAAACTGATACCAGACAGGGCTCTCTTCTCATTGGCAACTAAAGCAACTACGATTAAGAATACTGGCGTTTGGGAATTCACATGGGAGATATACCTTTATAGTACGGTATCGATGAGCGACTTCGATAAGAGCATTATAATGTCATAATGAAAACGAAGATATTGTGTACATCAGTGTATACTATCGCCTCGAGCCATTGAACTTCGCACTTGATTTTATTATTGTGGTATCGATTCAGTTGAGAGCGATACCTCTGAGTCCTCCCAGATATCTCTGCTCTCCTTTTCCACGGCCTTCATCGCATCGGCGACGACCTGCAGTTTCGCTACCACATCAAGAACTCCACCATTGACCCGCTGGAAATACTCGTCATTGGCTTCTCTCCTTTGGCGGGCCAAGCGTGTGTCTGCGTCCGTCTCTTCGTCCAACGTATCCGTATTCAGATCCACTGGAATGCTTCCCGATACACCACTTGCACTCTTTCCTTCAGTTTCTTCTCTCCCCTCACCTGGCAACAAAGAACCTCGAAATCCCGTAGCACTCCTGTCAATAGTCTCAACCGCATCATCGGCTCCGCTCCTGACCCATGCTTGTGCCAGTGCGATCTGTGCCATCCGTAGACTGTCCAAGGCTTTCGTATGCTCTGGACCAAACACTTGGATGCCGTTGACCGCATTGAGTTCGACCTCCTCCAGCGTAGACTGCATCTGAGCCCACAATGCATCTGTCTTATCTGCCTGTTTCTGGCTCTCAGATTCGATGCGGGGCAGGGGACGCGGGATCGTAGAAATGTTCGTTGGATCATTAAATCCATCCCCATTCACACGAGGAACATGCCGATTAGATCGCTGGCGGGTAAGTGGAATACGACTTCCATTTGAGGATACTGTCATGGCACTTGTGGTTTGCGCAAGGTTTGCGCCCATTTGGGAGGGCCCCGCCAGTGAGATGTTGGAGGCATTTTGAGAAGGTGGTCCCAGAAATAGGGACGGAGGAGGCTCTCTCAACCTGCCCTTGTTTGTAGGCGTTTGCGACATGGCGAGTTGGGCGTCGTCATGTCATTATTGGTTTACATGGTCGTCGGCAGTCCTACTTCACAGACGAATTCCATACCTTGGGAGCTTGACGAGGCTGCCAAGCATTCCTGCCTCGCGAAAGATCCTTGCCGAGCCAGGCCCCAATTTTTCCCACAACACGTGATCCTGAGGAACCGAAACCCTAGTCCCACCACCGAATATTCTTCGCGAAGTTGTATTTCGAGAATCAATCGACAAACGCCAAACCACACCCTCCATTTCTCGCGATCAACACATAAATCGGTATGTAGCGCCTGCACATCCCTCATTCCCAAAAGACATTATTACTCGCGTCTACAAAATCCTTTCGACCGCCTTCGAGCAACGAAACCCCCCCGTCGAAAACTGGCCAAGAGCCTCACGAAATTGAACATATTAGCTAACCTACGACTTGTGCAGCAATCATGGGTAAAGGAAAGCCTCGTGGTCTTAACGCCGCTCGCAAGCTCCAAAACCACCGCCGCGAGCAAAGATGGTCCGATCTGTCCTTTAAGAAGCGCGCCCTCGGAACGGCTTTCAAGTCCTCCCCATTCGGTGGCTCTTCCCACGCCAAGGGCATCGTCCTCGAGAAGGTCGGTGTTGAGGCCAAGCAGCCCAACTCCGCCATTCGCAAGTGTGTCAGGGTCCAGTTGATCAAGAACGGAAAGAAGGTTACTGCTTTCGGTATGTTTGCACACGACAATACGTCCAACGGACGAACAACAGGATGAGTGGGAGACTAACAGAAAATTCTAGTCCCCAACGATGGTTGCTTGAACTTCGTCGACGAGAACGACGAGGTCCTGCTTGCTGGTTTCGGTCGTAAGGGCAAGGCCAAGGGAGATATTCCCGGTGTCCGTTTCAAGGTTGTCAAGGTCTCCGGTGTTGGTCTTTCGGCATTGTGGAAGGAGAAGAAGGAGAAGCCGAGATCGTAGATGCTTCCTTGTGCTTGGTACGACAATGGGCAATGGGTGTTATTTTTGCGATACATGGGCTTTACGCGCGCTCGGATTCGTGATAGCAATCTAGAGTAGCGAATTGCTACAGAAGGTCACCAAACAAGAGACATTCACGATCATCCGTTGTGTGTTTCGTCGCCTGTTTCTACTGTGAGCAGCAGGTTGGCTTGTGATACTGCTAACCATCGATTCAGAGCAAGACATGGCTTGTCGATTTCCCTGTGACTACAGCTTTTTCAGCGTGACATGGACATCCTCGACCAAGGGCAGTGAAAGTCATCTCCATCTCTACTCATCGTTTCTCTTCCTCTTCATCCCATTCATTTCCATCGTTAAGTCAAGGCATCTTCTGCAGTTCTCTGTACCACCCATAGAAGGCCGTCTGTTACAACTTTGGTAGAGCTACCGCCACCTCGCCGTTCTCGAACCAAGGATCACTTCTCCAACGTCTGTCTTCGGATGGATGAACAGAGTCTAGAGATCTAAGGACGGATCTTGAGCAGACAGCCGCCCGTCTTGGGAGGTATGTCGTAATGAGGTGCGACTGTTTCGTTTGAGTTGAACGCTGCCGCCCCATGTGCCACTGGGCGGATGGGGGAACTGGCTACGTTCTTAGTAATGATCCATACATACCTTCTATAGTTGGGGATGTTTTGAATATAATTTTGTTTCGTTGATGCACCTATTTCTGTTACTTCATTGTGAGATTTGTGGTATGGGTCCTGCCAAAGAGGAAACCCCTGAAGTAGCCTTTGTTCTTTGGTTCAAACGAAATGGTTCGATACTCACGACCTAAATTTGAGACCATCAGCTATCTTTGTGTGGCTTCACAATCACCATTCAGGGTCCCTTTAGTCCTTTTACGCAACCCTATCGCCACTAATTTTGATACAGACTGAATAACAATTTAATATATAGCACGATTAATGCCTCTCGGCCATTATCCTCCTTCCATATTCACTCTCCATACACCCAACTCCGTTTCTCAAACGTCTTGACAGCCAATACTCACTGTTGCAAATATCCCACGGCATTTCAAGAACCTCCAAAGCACAATACAAAAAGATTCCTTTTCAGATCCAACATTATCACAACTGAACCCCCAAAATGTCTGCCGCAGCGACATCCCTCGCTCCTCCCCCCACCTCTCTCGACAGTTTCACAACCGACCTCTTCCTCGCCCTCCACTCCCCCACAACCCCCCAATCCAGCCTCGCCATAACCCGCGCATTCACCCTCATCCTCCGCGCGCACAATCTCTCGTCTCACCTCCGAATCGCCCACCTCCACGAGCACGACTCCCAACAAGCATCCGGGAGCCAAGTTACATGTGCCACTGATTTCTCTATGCACGGCGCTGAGGCGGGGGGGATGGTGCCGGTTGCTTGGGCTGTTAAGGGAGGGATGGTGGTTCCTGTTGAGTATTTTCCGGGCTGGGGAAGAGGGGCGGGGATCAATTTCGAGGGGGAGATGCTGAGAGAGTTTGTGAGGGAGTTTGTGGGTGTTGTGAGGGAGTGTGGGCTTGAGGGGGTGGTTGGGCTGAGGTTGGTGCAGTAGATGGCGGGCGGATTTCAGGGAGGGAGTTTGGGATTTATACGGTGCTATGGTGTTTGGCTATGGTGTTTGACTGGCAAAAACATGAGGGAAGTGTGACATTATGGAGTTCAATTTAGAATAAGAGGAGTCTGCTGGTAATACCAGCGGTGTTTTGTGTAGTATTTAACCTCCGACACATGAATAACTGTTTCATCGACCATAGACTCAAGAAAATTGGGAACCTCGTCCTCTGTACTAGCAACTTATGGGAGCAATTTAAAGCTTGAAAGAACTAAACCATTTAACACCTTTGTCATTTATACCATATCTACTTCGTCTACAGCGCCTTATGCAATTCCTCTGCGAATTCCCCCGGCTGACTTACAAAAGGACAGTGATCCATCTCAATCTCCACAATCTCCATCCCACAATCCTGTGCCTCCAGCCTCTGCAGCTCCGGTAGGATAGCCTTGTCATTTCTGCATAGGAAATACGTCCCTTTGACCTTCGTCCTCCACAGATCGCCAACATCCGGAGGCATCTCCGCACGATTCGCATCCAACGCCGCCACGAACGGCGCAGCCGCCTCAGGTGACATGCCGTTATAGAAAACCTCGTACGGCGACGCTACCGTCGCGTCCATCGTTTCAAAGTCGATCGTGAACCACGTCAACCCCTCGGTCGCGCGGGCCGCGTTCAGGAAGCAGGAGATGAAGATGATATGGACCAGCCTGGCGCTCTGTTCGGCGCTGGCGGAGGCGAGGAACTCGTTAGCAGCGAGAGCGACGGATTGCCCGGATACGCTGTGGCCGACAAGGCAGACGCTGTAGCCGGCGTCGATCTCGGCTTGGAGAATGGCGCCGATGTGTGTTACGTTGGCTTTGATGGAGGGGGGAGGGTCGTGATGCCCGCTCGTGGGGAGTTTGACAGGTACAACACGATAGCCATGGGCCTCGAGGTAGGGGGTAATTGGCTGGAGGTGGAATTCGGTGTGCCAGCCGCCAGCAACAAAGATGATGCTTGTCTTCGCCATGTTTGTGGCTCTCGATGAGAGGTGAGAGAGGTGAGGGTGCCTTAGATAACTTTAGGATTCCTAACCTCAGTTCCTGAAACCTCAAACGGTAAGCTGGGTGAGGCGAAGCAATGTTTCGTGTCAATCCCTTCCTCCACAGTTAATTCTAACGATTATTCTTTTGACCTTTCTAGAAAGCTTGCAAACTTTATTTCTGTGAGTTATGTTTATAGAGCTTAAAGTTGGTTACGACCAGGGGTCTACACAAATTCCGTCGTCAGCAATTAATTAAGTAAGCAGAAAGATCAGATGTTAACATGACTCCTTCACCTTGATCCCACTCTGATCCGATCTTCTCGTAATATAATAGCCAACCATCTTTTACTGTTAGTAAAGATTGCTAAAGCACAGGACTATGGACAGTAACACGATGAATTGATCATACCTGGCTAGTAAAACGCTCAAGCTCAATCAAGGCAAGGATAGGTGACATTATTATATACACATCGCCCATCGCTAACACACATCAGACAAATTTGAGCCTATGAAAAGAAAGAATGAGAGCGTCTGCTTGCTTCCTGCTGAGCAGCCTTTTAGGAAACTTCTACTAGACTGCCGAGATGATCTGCTGCGTAGCCAATCTACGTCTCCTTCGACTATCTCTAACCTTGAAATTTGGGTCACTGGGGGTTGGGTGAGGGACAAATTACTTGGTATTCAGACCTCGGACGTCGACATAGCACGTAGTACAATGACGGGTGTACAGTTTGCTGAGGTTCTCACTGACTTCTAGTCTCGAAACGAGGCAGAATACAGTCAACAAGCAACCTAAATTGGCATTCCATCCCGGCTTCTCTTTACTGGCTTTAAAACAACCATCTGTAATCCTGGAATGTCAAAGAATCTCGAAACCGCTATTGGAAAAGTTTTTGGCCTAGAGATAGATCTCGTAAATTTAAGAACGGAGGTTTACACACCAAGCAGCCAGAGTCCGAATCCTTTATTCGCTGTTGGTGGAAGTGGTATATGAACAATCCTCTTTCGCAGTGCATCTCGAGCGTTATTCTACATTTATGAACTTGGTCTTTCAACAGAACTTGCAAGATGCGCCTACTATCAAATCAATCCTTAACGGGTTCGATATTAAAGAGGTTTTTAATCTTAAGTGTACCGGTCCTTTTATGAAGGCGGCGCTCGATGGACTTATTAAGTGGCAATTTGACCACGAAGGCAGCTCAAAGGATGAAGCTAAAGGCTGGCTTCGCACGCAAAGGGAAGATCTCGGTATTCCATAAGTAGCAGCGCACAATAGTGGCTGATAATAGTTAATTAATGGACTTCCTGGCTTTCAAGGGAACTTTGACTTGTAATAGCCGTTTAACTCTAAAATTCTCAGGAAGGCTGAGAATGGCAAAACATCTACGATGTAAGCATTGCCGTCTTTATATGTTAAGATATGTTGGCCCCTTAGAGTTGAAGTGAGTGCTGTGAGGGTAGTGAGGATCGGGAGAGTCGGTAGGATAACTTTGGCGTTATACGAATCACGGTTGCGGTTTCAGAGGATAGGAAATTAGGCCGCAGACTAAAATTCAACTCACATCACAAAACTTCTGGCAAACAATCAATGCAGTGGACATGAACTGACGTTATAACGTGGTATTTTAATGCTCGTCTCTACCTGGTGGCCCAACCAAACGCCATGCTTTCCCCTCATCCTATACAATGCAATACAGCCATGCAAGGCGTAGAGGACCTAAAGCCGCATTATTTTAAAAAGTCATCAAGCTCTACCGTCATCTACTCCTCTCTTGGCTCCCTCGGCTCCCTCGGTTGTCCACCTCCACGTCCACCGCGTCCGCCCCTCTTTCCACCCCTTCCTCCACGCTCCCCACGCTCGCCTCTCTCGCCGCCCTCTCCTCCTGTGTTACCGCCTATCGCGTCGGTGCTGCCAAGAGTAATCGTGGCCGTGGCCAGGCGCTGCGAGAGATCGATTTGTGTGCGGATGGTGTTGGTGAGGTAGGAGACGACAAGGATGTCTTGGATGTGGTTGTTGAAGTCGCGCTCGATATCTGCGGCGTCGACCTTTGGTGCTAACGAGAGGGCGTTCATGAGGAACTGACCCAGGGCGTTGTTTGGCTCGCGCTCCTCATCAAGAACGGACGAGACGTACTCGGAGACGCGTTCTAACAGGTCCAGAGTGTGCTCAATCGCGCGCTCGAGGCTCTCGGCGTCTGTGACGACTGGTGCAGCGCGGGCATCGACGTCCTTTGCGCCGGAGATCAGCTCGAGGCCGCTCTTCTCTGCCTCGCCGTATCGGATCTCGTATGGGACGGGGATGAAGAGACAGCTCTCAGCCGCACGCTCGGCATTCACGCCTACGGGTGCGCTGATGTAAGCCTTGGCCTCGATCTCCTTGCCTGCCTCTGTCGAGACGGTCAAGTGGATGGCCGGGTGTGGGAAGGTGCCGGTCTCGGAGCTGGCAAAGAAGTTCTGGATCAGAGCGCTGAAGTTGTTCAGCTCGAGGCTGGTCGTGTACCACCCAAGGAGGACCTCGCGCGGGTTGGCCTTCAGTTGCAGCGCAAGCATGTTCTTCTGGTATTCGACATCGACCTCGACCTGCTCCTCCGTCTCGGTGTGGTTGATGGCGAAACAGTTGCGGACCTCGACTTCCATTCCATCTTCGGAGCGGACACCCAGGAGGGCACCAATAACGCGGTTCGATGCCGGGTCGCGGCGGAGGGCGTGATCTAAGATGGAGAAAACGACCTGGTGGTTCAAATGAGCATAATTTCACGGCTTCCTGATATGTACAAACAAACCTGTGGCTGGACGATAACATTGAGCGGGGCGGTGGTGGGTTGAATGCCAACTGCCGTGGGCCCGAGTGGCCTGGCGAGATGGAGGAAAGAATCAGCTGCGACCGCCATATTGTGCGGATTGAATGGATCTGTTGAGATCGTAGATGAGTTAGGCGTGAGGCGTCGTGGGGGATCTCCAAACTCTTTCGACCTCGCCGTCGCCGTACTAGTCAATCTTTTGCTGTGGGTGCCAAGAATTTAAGCCCTGATCGCGCTAAGATAACGGAGAAGGATACCAGCCAGAACGACCCGAGAAGTAACGACTGACGTTAATATTTGGGAATAAACTCAACGAATTTATTTATTATTAGGGTATTATGGGGATTACAAGCTATTCCTTTTCTTTTGATTTAAATAACCTAAGAATCCAGCCAGTAACGGGAAAACTAGAGGAGTAACGCTAGCATTCCTCAGGCCTGGCTCTATTCTTTCGACCCCTCCTATATGAAAGTACAGACTTACGGGCTGCTTTCTCCTTAACTAATCCATGTATTAGAATAATATCTCTTCTCCATATTAAACTTATAAATCGGTCTACTATTGAGCATATCCGCCTATTAAACCCATTCCATTACTGAATGAACTCGAGAACGCCCGACATTTGGAACCAACCCCCACTTTCACAAGGCAGCGTCAGACAAGTACGACAAAATAAGCAAAAATCATAGGATGAAAGTCAGCCTGGTGGTCTCGTGGCTATTATAGTGTTGCCTCGTCTTTCCCGGCCCTTGCCTGTCTTGTATTTCGAGCATCAAGCGTTCCTTCCCTGCCTATCATACCAAAGTAAATACCCCGCCCAGATAATGCTGTATATATACCCCTCCTCCCCCACCTTCTCTTCGTCGGCAAACCGAACATATCCACGCACAACCTGAACAATACAGCATCCTACAACTCAATAAAGATCCTCTCACGATCAAGTTCGAATACCATCATCTCAAAATGAACCCAGGAACATGCCCCAAGTGCGGTGCTGCCGGTGACGGAACCAAGGCCTGCGGCTCTTGCGGTGCTGTAAGGCTTCACTTTCCCTGAGAGATAATGAGCTCCCACTAACGTCGCCACAGAGCTGCCCAAACTGAGAGTATAATCTCTTTCCACGCTGTCTTGCCTCCTCGAGAGCGACAAAGTACGAGAAGGGTAGCAGTGATGGCTTTCTGATGTGGTTGCGACGCTAGTCTGTTGGTTGTTTCATTCATTTATGCTATACTGGGGCTGGTTTACGAGAACAAGACATGATGATTCGAATGGATGATGCCTTTCTTGTAAATACCTTTTGAGTTTCACAACGCTGATGGCCATGGTATATCATCCATGCCATGGTCGATATCCTTTGGAAGCAGCGAGAGCCTCGAAGCGATCCCATGTGACCTTATATGAAGATGTAGGTGATTTGAGCTCTTGAAGATGCCACTTATCCAGTAAATCTAGCCATACCCTATTCCGTATTTAAAATAATCATATTCCTCTTTTAGAGTGGTAAGGAAGCCTCCCTTGAACTGCTTGAACCAGCTCAGAATGACATTTTGACGGGCGCCCACCATAAGACGCTAAGATAAGAAACCGCCAGGGACCCCAGCTATCGCCAATAATTTTCTGAGAATCTAATCGCGGCGCACCAAGCAAGCTTCCCAAGCACACATCCGACAATGGCATTTCACGGCAACAGAGGCGGCGCTCGAGGTCGAGGGTTTAGCGCAGGTGGCCGTGGCGGTCGCGGAGGTAGCAGCAGAGGCGGAGCAAGAGGAGGAGCCCGTGGTGGAGCGCGAGGCGGAGGGGGAGGCAGAGGAGGAGGTAGAGGTGGCAGAGGCAGAGGAAGAGGGAAGCCGATATTCGACAGTGCGAGGTTAGCGGAGAAGAAGGAAGAGTAAGTTTGATACTAATTGGCATACTGGTGGTGTGATTGCTAATGCCGCATAGTGAGGAAGAAAGCGACAGCGAGGACTATTCGGACGAGTCGGCTTCTGAGGAAGAGGACTCGGACGAGGAGATGTCTGACGACGACGACATTGTCCAGGCTTCGGCTGTGAAGCCTTACGCTGCGCTCCTGCAAAGCCTTGCGGCGGATTCAGCACCGGCTGCGAAGCGACGTAAGCTCGATACATCGTCTGGGCAGCAGGTGGCGGAGGATAGCGAGGATGAAGAAGAGATTACCAATGTCGACGACGTGGACGAAGAGGAGGAAGGGCCGGAGACTGCAGTGGAAGGCGCCTTAGACGAGGACGATGACGAGGATGCTTCCGATCCGTTTGAAGCCAATTTTGCCAACCCTGACAGTAATGTCCTCTCGAGGAGACTCAACAACTTGAAGAACGGGGTGTGGTCGCCGAAAAAAATTATCGTGAAGAACGTCGGAAAGGCTGTCGTTGCTGTTCCAGAGAAAGATGCCCCAGAACAAGCCACACTATCTGCGGCGATTAGCGGTCCTGCTGGGCTCGTCTTGAAGAAGAAGCTTATTGACCCAGTCACAAAGCAAAGGGGCTCTTTCGATCCGCTAGAGCAGAACATGGCGGCTTCGATTTTCAACTACCGTGATATATTATTCTGCGATAGGACAGCAGCGAACGCTGAGAACCTCCGCCGTTTGACGTGCCTGCACGCAGTCAACCACATCTTCAAGTACGATTCCCACCTATCTATCCATATGCTATCTACTAACATAACCCAGGACGAGAGATAAGGTGATTAAAAACAACGCTCGCCTCGCCAAGGAAGAGGGCAACGAAGATCTGGATCTTAGAGATCAGGGTTTTACAAGGCCCAAGGTTCTCATGCTCCTGCCGACAAGAGAGTCCTGTGTGCGGATGGTGAACATGATCAACAAATTATGTGAGCCCGAGCAACAAGAAAACAGGAAGCGGTTCGACGATTCATACGTCGACAAAGAAGAGAAATTCTCAGATGATAAAACTGAAGATTTCCGAGAACTGTTCGCTGGAAACGACGATGACATGTTCCGCCTGGGACTGAAGTTCACTCGCAAGACCGTAAAGTACTTTTCCCAATTCTACAACTCCGATATCATCCTCGCCAGTCCCCTCGGCCTACGAATGGCCATCGGAACCGAAGACTCCAAGAAAATCGACCACGACTTCCTCAGCTCCATCGAGCTCGTCATCGTCGACCAAGCCGATGCGCTCCTAATGCAGAACTGGGAGCATGTCGAGTACATCTTCTCGCACATGAATCAGCAGCCCAAGGAGGCTCACGGCTGTGATTTCTCTCGTGTACGCAGCTGGTACCTCGATGATGCTGCACGCTACTTCCGCCAGACCATCGCCCTCTCCGCCTTCAACACCCCCGAGCTAAACGCCCTCTTCCACTCCAAATCTCGCAACTGGCGAGGCAAGGTCCGCATCGGCGCCACCCACCAAGGCGCCCTACAACAGCTCGGCCTCCGCGTGAAGCAGACCTTCTCCCGCATCGACGCCCCCTCCATCAGCGCCGAGCCTGACGCGCGCTTCACATACTTCACATCCGCGCTTGTCCCAGCGCTCATGAGGCATAAGCACGATTCCGCCGGGACGCTCCTCTTCATACCCAGCTACCTCGACTTCGTGCGCGTGCGAAACTACTTCTCCTCCTCGCCGACGACGGCTACCCTCTCCTTCGGCTGCATCTCCGAGTACACCTCCGTGCGCGAAGTGGCGCGCGCTCGCTCGCATTTCCTTACTGGTCGACACAGCGTGCTGCTGTATACGGAGCGAGCCCACCATTTCAGGAGGTACCAGATTCGCGGGGTGCGGAAGGTGGTTATGTATGGGTTGCCTGATAATCCGATTTTTTATAAGGAGATTGTGGGCGGGTATCTGGGGAGGAGCGTGCAGGAGGGGAGGCTGGAGGTGGGTGAGGGGAGCGCGAGGGCTGTGTTTAGTAAGTGGGATGTGATGAAGTTAGAGAGGGTTGCGGGGACGGAGAGGGTGGAGAAGATGGTTATGGAGAAGGGGGATACGTTTGATTTCCTGTAGAGCGAAGGGGGTGGTGGGTGTTACGTTTAAATAAAGGTGCTGTATAACCTCTAACATCACTCGGGGCAACCTTAAAATGTATCATTGATAAACTTGAATTCAAGTAACGTTGTTATACATTCTTACCGCGTGACAAATCATAGACCTCTCAAGTTCGAATTCGACTTCTGGTCAACTGGCTTATATCTCTCCGCCAACGCCTCCCTGACTGACTTGTTCAGCGGGGAGGCTGCGTCGTACCTTTGCTTCAAGGCCCTCTGCACATCTGTCAACCCATCTGCCTCCTCGTGTCCACTCGTCCTCCCCATGGCGTTCTCCACAACCTCCTTGCCGCGTCCGACAGTCCTCTTCACTGCACCAACGACGCTTTCTTCCGTCAGCTTCAGTCCTTCCGCAACCTCCGCAGCCTTTGAAGCCTCGTGGCGTGCAGCGCCCCGCACAGCATTCTCGATGGCCGTCTCAGTAAGCTTCAGTCCTTCTGCAACCTCCGCAGCCTTTGAAGCCCCGTGGCGTGCAGCGCCCCGCACAGCATTCTCGGTCGCCGCCTCAGTAAGCTTCAGTCCTTTCTCGATCTCACGTCCCTTTTCAACACCCTTTCTCCAGGCCTCCCTAGCCACAAGCCCCGCATTCTCGAGGCCGTGTTCTGTCTTGTCTCCATAAATGCCCTCTCTCTTGCCAATCTCGTGGGCCGCTTCGGCGCTTTTCTCCAACTCACGCCTTACAGCGTGGGCAACAGACTCTTCCCCGAGTCTCAGCTGCTCCGCAACTTCATGCGACTTCTCCACGCCCTTCTTCCACACCTCCTTCGCGGTCGCACTCGCATTCTCCAACCCATGCTCAGTCTTCCCCTCAAACTTCAACTCCCTCTCGCTCGTCGCACTCAGCGCCCTCGATGCCGCCCTCTCAGCGGCAACCCTCGAGCCATCAAAGCCCATCTTTGCGCCCTGTCTAGACCTCTCAATCGCCTCCCTAGCAATTGGCCCCGCCTTATCCTCCGCAAGCTGAATCTCCTCCCTCGACTTCTCCAGGCCCGTGCCCAGCGCCTTAGCAACCGCACCCTCCATCCCTTCCTTCACGTTGCCCCACTCGGCGCCCTGCACCCAGCGCACCGCGTTCTGGATCTCCGCGTTCCAGCGGTCCTTGGCCGTCTCGACGAGCGTCGCGCGGCTCGTGCGTCCGGTCTCCAGGTCGGGGGCGGAGTAGGCGAGGCTCGGGTCGGAGAGGAGCAGGGTGTTGAGGAGGGAGGATTGAGTGCGTAGGTTTGCGCCTTGCGCGTTGCGGTTGCGCTCGTGTGCAAGGACGGTGAGGTAGGCAATTCCGAGAGTAAGAGTTACGCCGCTGGTCTGGGAGAGGTTGTTAGAATTTTTCTAGGGAGGTTTTATGTAGTGGGGGTTGCAATTGGGGGACCTACGAAGCCAGTGGCAAATCCCATCGTGCCGTTAGAGTAGTTGATGTGGGTAGTAGAGCTTATATAGGCGCGGAACGGCCGCTGTATTTTTGCAGGAGTTTCAGATCCTATATAGTAGCCTGACGTATAATTTTGTCTGCCAATTGAGTCTTTGAATCATTGAATCATTGAAGTGGGAGAAATATAAATGAGTGACGTCGGGATCAATAGCTTGGTAGCTCCCCGGAACAACCTCGCCAAATTCTCCCGAACGCCAAGAAAATCGCGGCAGTCCCTCACCTCAATCCCGACATATCGAATACATTTTTTGGCACACGAGCCGCATACCACGCATCCGTCCCAACGACTCTCCCTCGCACCACACCCCCGCGAGATCCTTTACCACGCCCATCGGAAGAATATTTGCGAGGACTTGACCTGGAGGGTCAGAATAATCCGTAATGGCTGGAGGACGCATGAAATATCGCCATCTCGGGCGCACATCAGCACACAGACAGGCACTTCTCCGTAACTTGGTCACCTCCCTCTTCACACACGAATCCATCCAGACGACATGGCCGAAGGCAAAGGAGGCACAGCGGTTAGCTGAGAAGTTAATTACGCTGGGGAAGAAGAACACAGAGGCCAGCAAGCGGAGAGCGCTGAGCATTTTCTTCGTAAGTAGTCCCCTATCCCACCCCGATACCACGGCTGGGCTGCAAAGAGACGATGGGACCCCAAAAGGCTAATTTCAGATAGACACCACACTCCCTGCTTCCTAAACTCTTTGGACCGCTTCGCGAACGTTACGCCGAACGCCCGGGTGGATACACGAGGGTTCTGCGCATCGAGCCGCTAAAGGGCGATCAGGCGCCATCAGCGATCCTGGAGCTTGTCGATGGGCCAAAGGATATGCGCTTTGCCATGACTGCAAGGACGTTGGCTAGGGTTCAAGAGGCTGGCCAGGAGGTAAACGACATGACAGCGAAGAATATTATGAAGGTTACGCGGTACAGACCAGATGCCGATGCGGACCTACAGAGGATGGTGGCTGACTTGAGGGATTTGGAGATTGAGGACCCGAAGAGGGAGAAGGGTGTGGAGAAGAGGTGGGGTGGAAAGATCTGAGTGTATTGAAGGGGAATGATGTTCTGCGAATGTGTATCAATACTGGAAGGGAATAGTGCAAGGCACTTTGTATGTACGGATTAGGGACGGCGTCAATTGTATCGATTAGATTTCACATGGAAGTTGATATTGTGGATTAACATATCCAAGTCACATAGCGATGCATATTTAAGGTGATTTCACAATCTTCCATTTATTCATAGTAGCAGGGTGATCCGTCATCCCAATAGCCCACCGCGACCCCTTTTGACACCATTCCCTATGCGAGCTCCATCTATGGTACTACCGAACGCCATCATTGACAAGAGATTCGCCTGTGGTCCAATTTAAATTCCAAATTCTTCAGGCAGTTGGTGGTGGCTTAGGGGGCAAGGGGCCCATGTTGCCAAAATGTGGGAGATGGTTGTTATTCTGATTCGGGATAGGAACAGGGATTTGGTTGTTGATTATCCCTTGGTGAATCATGGGCCTCGGCGGCATATGTGGTGATGCGTGATAGGATGGCAAAGATGCATTAGAGCTCTGGCGGCTCATGTTATATCCAACGCCGTTGCCGAATTGCTGAGGGGTATTATAGCCAGTATACTGAAGGTGGGGTGATCCCTGGTGGGGTAAAGGTTGCGGCATCGGGGCCCCATTGTTGCCCGGAACAAATGACTGGGTCTTGGGGTTGAAGGCGTGCCTGTTGAAACTTCCTGGTATTGGGTGCTGACTTTTGGGGTCGGCCGGGTTGATGGTGCTTGGCAGTTGTCCATATGCGTATGGGATTGTCTGTCCAGCTGGCATGGGTCCGCGAGGCTGGAAGGGTGCTTGATAGCCCATCGGAGGCCATGGCCCTGCCTGCTGAGGAGAGTTTTGCATCATAGGACCGCCGTATGGAGGTACGGATGCGCCGTGGTTTTGGTAGTTGGGGGGGCTGGGCCTTGGGAATTGCTACATGGACGTCAATATCTTAGTTGTAAGTACATCATTAGTTGGGCTTACCTGTGGCATCTGGTGATAAGCTGTAGGCGCGCCTCCAGCAGCCATGGAAGGGTGGAAGTGTGGTGGAGTAGGGCCGTATTGTGGCACTGCCGGGCCTGAGAATGAATTCTGCAGCACATTGGTGTACTGCGGGGCACCTATGGTTCCAGGCTGTGTAGGCGTCCACGGTTGTGGCTGTTGTGGTGGAAAGAAGGGCGTGTATTGAGATCTGACATCAAAGCTCTCGGAATCCGTACGATGCTTTTTAACCATCTTTCCTCTCTTAGCTTTCCCAGAAACCGAGCTGGATCGCGAGATATCGTTGCCATCTTCAGTATCTATATTTATAGTCAATACACAGGTAGCAGCAATTTTATGCATCCGCTTGCTTACCTGGAGTTGCATCGCCGCTCTTCTCTGTGTTTCCAAAAATTCTCTCTCGGGCTTTGTTATATGCGGCTTCACGTTCCTCACGAGATAATCTAGAAATTGTTAGTGTCATCAACTTAGCAATTGGAATAGATGCATTGAGCATACTTCTCTTTTGCAGACAAAGATTTGTCTTTTCCGTCACTGCCCGTCTCAGAGGTGGCTTTTGAAGGGCTACCTCCATTGTCACCCCCCCTACGCATAATTTTCATCGCGGGAACAGTCGGAGGAGGTGTATGTCCAGTAGTTGGAGGATTTGAAATACTCGTGAGTGACTGCGGTAATCGGCAGAACGGCGTCCGGAATATACGGACTGATCCTGCCACAGCATCAAACTGGTGGGTCATATGGTAATAATCGGCCAGTTTGTGGGTTAGCATTCTACAAAATGAATTGCAAGGTGGTAGATCGATGAAAGGTTCCCTAGACGAAGTCATGTTAGTTTGTGCAACATATTAGATCCAACCAATGCAAACTTCAAGGGAATTGCAAGTGTTAAGATGGAGAGAAACCTACTTCGAATCTTTGACAAATTCTATCACGTCCTGTTCCAGTCGCAACAAAAATATGCGATCCTTTGGCGATTCCAAAGCCTCTATAAGCTTCTCGTCAGGAGTGTGCTTATAGAAAAGGTTAAATCCTTCTGCAGCTGCTACAGGGCTGGCCAGAGGCTTCAAGCTGAGATCACCAGCTACTGGGGGCCCAGATGAACCGCTTTGAGGAGTCATAATTCCTTGGGCTCGTGATTCGAGAACCGGGAGTACTGCCCTCCTGTCTGCAATCTCGTGTGTTTGGGCGCGATATGCGCGAGCTATGATTTGAATTAGAGAATATGCGCTTAATCGAGGGAAACTAAGTCTGGCTTACCGGCAGCTTCTGACCCGATTCGGGAACCAGCTACAATAGAACCACGGCCTGAACACGTATCATCGTCCTCAGCTGCTTTTACACTGGCACTATCATCTGGCCGCAACGATTCTTTCTCGTCCAAGGCAAATGTTGTCCCAGAGGTGATGCTCTTCCCATCAAGGCTCGGTGGCTTTGTCCCGGCATCTGATCCAGAATCAGTGCGTTGAAAAGGATATTCTGCAGACCCCTCTCCAAATATGTCTCTTTCTTCTCCATCGGCATCTGTGCCTGATCCGTTTACAACAAGGCTTGGTGCTAGGCTAATCGAATTGAATGTGTCCGCCAACTTCTCATCAGCATTCGCCTGTTCATCCGACTTTGTTCCGCCATTGATTGTTTGTTGTCTCGAACTACCCGTAGCATTCTTGTTACTACTTTCATTTGTCTCTGACAAAGGAGCATTTCGTGCGGGGTTCGCTGCCGCCATCTTAGCATAGGATAATGCAGTATTCTCCTTTCCCTGGGAAGCAGCAACCTAGTAATAGTTAGTGATTGTTCTATCCCTGTAGACTCGAGCTAAACTATGTTGATAAAGGCGGATGATGTGCATGTGAGGGGTTGTAATGGTCTCCAGGGCAGGAATGTTGCAACTCACTTTAGCAAACGACAATTGATTCTCGGCTTTTGGCGGCGCAGAGGCCATAGCGATGTGAATAACGCGCTACAGATCTTCAACTAGATGCGTGATATAAAGACACAAGTCGAGCACGGATCGATTCGTACTTAGTGAATGAGTGCGAGGGTCGACAGTTTCTCCAGAATTATATTAGGGCAGGTTGTGATCGACGTCGCCCGTTTGGAAGGAAAGAAAGCCTGTAGGCATTGTAGGAATCGTAAAACTTTCTTATGTGTAGTTGATCATCCGTTGGCGGAGGGGAAGTGAAGTCGAAGCCTGAAGGTTGTCGTTTGCCCTGTGTCTGGCGAGATGGTACAGCGTTGTGCCCCAGTTTGTTGAAGTTGAACGGGCGCCAACACAGTCGTCGAGGCTATCGAGTCCTCCAAAACGTAATAGGCGAATCGTCCCCTTGATGCCCTGATATTCAAAGGTATTTTGTTGGGATAGTTGGAGCAAGCTCAACTTCCCTATGCATGAACTCCAGGAGGTTAAGGTAATTCTCTTGATCCTGCTCCGTCGAGGCTGTCTTTAGCGCCTCGGATCCCTGCAACCTTTATACCTGTGGTACGGCGGCACGAGGCTTTAAGGCAGCCAGCCTTCCCTGCCAGACAGTTCAGAGACATTCACGGCGACTGACAAAAAAAGACAAATTGTATTCACTTCAGCCATCGCAAACTTGCAAATTCACCTCTACACTGACCAATTCAACCTGCCCAATGAACTCTTACAGAGGTTCAACGATCGGCGCTCCGTCCAAAGCTACACCATCTACTCTCTGCCAGAAATGCTTGAAACGAGGGCATTATAGCTACGAGTGCAAGGCTGTTGCGCAAGAACGCCCATATGTCTCAAGACCTTCGCGTACCCAGCAACTGTTCAACCCAAAATTAGTTCCAAAACTTACGAACGATGCGCCCCAAGACCTACCCGGGAGCAAAAGCAAGCAGGACGAACAAGCAGCAAAGAAGAAGCTAGAAGAGGATCGTGGGCGAAAGAGAGACCGCGACAGCCATGATCTTGACAACCAGGGCGAGCCTAAGAGAATAAGGTCGACTTCATCGAGATCTTCTGTGTCTGTTTCAACGGTGTCTACAAATGCGGAAAGGTCACCGCCACCCAGCAAAGACAGAAAACGGGATCAGAGGAAACGACGTCGCCCGTCTCCCGGTTTCCAAGCCGACGAAGTTCGCTCTTCTCGGGCCCATGGAAGGAAGGAAGAGGGCGAGATCCCAAGCGGCAGAGGCCGGCAGACAAGTAGGAGTTGGTCCCGCAGCAGCTATTCGTCACTTTCAAGGAGTAGATCCAGGTCACCAAGGCGTGATAAGTTGAGGGAGGAGCCACTTAGAAGGTATTCGCAAAGCCAAACGCCGCCTCGTCAGAGAAGAGCCTACTCGCCAAAACAGGATGATGAGCAATACCAGCCCCCGAGGAGGAGTACGGAACGCACGGGACCTGTCGACACTACAGGCAGAAGGGATGCGGGGCAGGCCAGGGAGTTTAATGGCCGCAATGACACAAGAGCATATCGTGAGAACCAAGCAGAAACGGCACCCCCTAGAAGGTCACGAAGCCCCAGGAATGCGCGTGTAGAACGGTCTCTAAGTCCATTCAGCCAACGGGTGGCTTTAACCAAAGCTTTGGGAAGATAAATAATTAATTGCAATCTTCCACAGCAGCTTTCTTTGCAGCACAATAGTGCAATGATATACCTTTAGACGCCAGACCCCCCGTGCAATGATTCCCCGCCAGTGACGCCTGAAAATGCTATAATACATCGCTCATGAAGTTACACCATCATCTCGTCCTCCTTTTCTCGCTGTTCCTCTAGCTTCTCCTCCTGCTCGCGCAGTCTGGCGCCCTCCACAAGCGCGATACCCTCCATACCAATCTCATCCCCGCCTTGGTCAGCTGCTGCTGCTGCAATAGCCCCAGGCTTATCGCCAGCATTTTTCTGAGCCTGCCCAATCCTCTCTCTGACCAGTGCCGCAATCGCGTTGTCGGTTCGCACATTAAGGATCTCCAACTTCTTGTCCAGATCGCGCTTCAGATCCCAATTGGGTTTCTTAGGCTGTAATTTGAAGATATCAACGCCCTTGTCATCCTGCTCTTCCTCTTGCGTTTTCTTGCGTATCTCGGCCTCAACCTCCGCTGCTTGCTGTTCGAGAGTATCCTTCTCAAGAGATAGTGTAGGCGGTGCTTCAAACCCAAGCTTCGGGCCTCTGGTTTCCGGATCATAATTGCGCCCTGACAGATGGAGCTTCGAGACGTCTGGTGACCCTGGGGGTGAGCGGCGGGGTGATGCTGGGGCTGCGTCTTCGTCGCTAGGTTGTTTGCGCTTCAGAGATTTGAGCTTTGCGAGGCGCGATTTGCGCTCATCGGCCGCAGCACCAAGTGAGCTGTGTGCCGCAGACATGATATGAACTATTAAATAATCCTGTCTGTTTGTTTTGTGTCGCGTTGCGCGGGTTGTGGTGTGGATTTTATTTTGGAGAGAGAGCCTCAAGGTTCCCAAGCCGCCCCAATCGCGGCGCGGAAACCTTAATTTCTGCCGCCGACGTCCCTTGAATTTCTAGCCTCGCTTTACTGACGGCTTCAACCCAACCGGCAATACGAATCAACACCGGGAACCTCATAGCGAACTCTCTACAAGAATGGAATGATGCTTTGTCGCTCAATATTTTATGCCAGCCAGAATCCGTCATAGCCCGTTGGGGGCAGGCTTGTCGCTAGCTGATCTTAACATCCTGCCGTTTCTTGCACCGCGACTCCTGCAAGCATGGCCAAGAAGCCGTCGAGGACAGAGGGCTCAAAGCACTGCCAGTGTAAGATTAGAGGGTCCTATTGCACAGCCTCTGAACGGTCACGGCCAGTCATCGAGTGTTAGTGCTGCTGCCCGACAAGCCCCCCCTTCGGGAGACAGAACTCGCCATCCTCAATCACAATATGGGGCTTCCTATGAACAGATCGATGGCCGACGAGGGCCAACAATAACTCGTACATCAACAAAGCTGCCAGCTCTATTACCAGCTGATAATAGGAGATCGTACCCTCAAACCTATACAGGCGATATTGCTGGCAGCAGCCAAGACCGCTCTACCCTCAAGCATCTACATCAAGAGACCACCGACGAAACCTCTCTAAGACGAGATGAATCCTCCAACCTCACTCGTGAGGATGTTACAGAGCCATATTTTAACGAGACGCATCTCAACATGTTAAACGACTTCTTGAAAGCAAATCGAAAGGACAAAGATATACAGGAGAGCAGAGAATACCTCGGTCGGCATTGGGAAGTTTTCTTCGAAGAGAGGCGGAATGAAAACCAAGGCAGGCAGGGTGGCAATGGCTCGAAACGCTCTCGACAGATGGAATCGATTGCCAACTTCGATCCAAGTGTGGATGTCTACGATTTACAGCTTGAGTGGAAGAATATACCTCGCAAATATCGGCGAAATTACTGGCCGGGACTAATGCTGGACATCTTGTGCAAGAGACCAGACGATGCCTTGAAATTCCTTGTGGCTACCACTTTGGCCGACCCGCTTCCCAATAGGGCTTGTATAGAGGACAGTCTGGACTACATCGTCGAGTATCACCTATACCGCCAGAGCCGTTCGCCTATCACATCGAAGAACTTTGCCGTGCTTTTTGAAGCGATCAACAATCTACTTACCAAGTTTATACCAAGTAAAGTCCGCATATCGAGTTACGCTATATACCATATCTGCAAACATGCGGACCGTCTTCAGGCAGAGACTTTGCTTGAAACGTTGAGCCGACGGGGCCAGGAGGTCAATCCAAATCTGCGACTGCATTTTGCCGATTTTTTGGCACGACGAGGAGCAACGGACTCGGCAGTGACGTTACTAGGGTCGATGCATCGCGATAAGGTAGTAGACTTTACAGAGCCCCGAGTTACGAGTATTTGCGCAACACTTTTGAGGTGCAGCCAGCAAAACCCAGACGCAATCCATTCCGAATCGCATATCTATTCACTCCTCCTCGAGTGGGGCATCCGGCCAAGTATCATCTTCTACACTATCCTGGCTCACAATGCCTTTGAATCGTGGGATCACGAGACTGCGTGGAAGATTTATGATATGATCATAGAAAACGACATTGAGCCTTCGGATCACACATACTCGATATTCCTGCATAATGCGAAATTGCGCAAGGACCAAGAAGCATTGGAGAATATTTTGAATGGCGTTAAGGCGAATAATATTAGGAACGAGTACGTAGCAACGGACTTGCTACATGCTATGCTGCTTTTGCACGAAAATCAAGCGCGGAATCTACGTGGAGATGAAGCCCGAGCTTCATCTGAATCGTTATTTCAGCGAATGGTGTTGTTATACAGCACGTACTTTGAACTATCTCCCCTCGAGGACTTGGCACCGGAATACTTCACTCTCGACAGAAAACTATCCCCTGAGGCTGAAGGTAGACGAATGCACCCCGATTGTGCGACACTGTCTCTCATGGTGTCGACTGTGATACGCTGCAGGGTCGAGCAATCTGAGCTACCTCTATTCTACAACCGTTTCAAGGGTCTTGTCGATGCTGGACATCCTGATTTTGTCAATGTCGCCACGGAAGTTAACGTGTTCAATGCCTTTATCAAGGCCTTGGGGAAAGACAGAGATACGCTGCCGTTCTCAACTCAGATCCTGGGGGACATGCTTGGCGCCGAAGCTTCTGGGGTAAAGGCGCAATCTACGGATATCGAGTCAAATGATCGGAAGCGGATGGTCTCTCCAACTGTCCAGACATGGTCTATCCTGGTGCACGCGTTCATGACACAAGGTCAGCCCCGCGCTGCCGAGAAGCTTGTGGCGATGATGAGGAGGCGTGGCGTGGATCCAAACAAAATCACCTGGAATACTCTTATCACGGGATATTTGCAAATGCAGAACATGGCTGGTGCCATGCACTCCTACGACCGTGCCAAGGAGGAGGGCTGGGAAATTGACGAGAGTATATGCGACCAGCTGGGCCTATCCAAGCATCATATGATGCTTGATCAGCAGTCTGAAGCCATGCCGCGGATCGCAGGGTCGCAGGAGCCTCATAGGGGGTCGGAAGAGCAGGAAGATACGCAGCGTCCGATTTCGTCGACTGACGGCATACGCTCCCTTCGCCGTGCTGAGTTTCAGACCGGTGAAATGCTGGACTTTTTGCTCGGCGTTGAGTTGAAAAGAGTCGAGATTGTGACGAGGATTGAGCGCCTTCTCGGGAGTGCGGAGGGAAACCCGGAATTAGCCCGTAAGAGGTCGATACGTCTTAAGAAAGCTTCGAGCGGGTTGAAGAGGCTTGAGAATCTTGTCGATGGCCGTTTGTATAAGTTGGAGGAGGTATCGGAGGTATGATGTGTGGGTGTATGTATGTATATATGTATAATATTATATCGTGGAGTATAGATATATGGGAGCGAATGTTTATTCGCGTGTATATTTATTTAAATATTTTATGACTCAATTCGTTTTATGAGATATTTTGTTTACATTGCGTACTACCTAAAACCACGTCTTGGGAACGATTTATATAATATTATATCGTGGGGTATAGATATATATATATATTTAATGATTATTCAGGTGTATATTTATTTATTTATTTAAATATTTTATGACTCAATTCATTTTTATGATATATTTTGTGTATATTCAACAACACCGCGTACAATATAAAACCACACCTCTTAAAACGTATTTACTCAATGGAATATATTATCAACAATAGAGACTCACTCTATTTCTCATCTCTATTGCCCAAAGACTTTGTTTGGACGAATTCGAGTCACACAGCGATATTCCGTAATATATTTTCACATGCGTCACGCTACGTCATCAGGAGCTGATTTTTTTCTAAACAGAGCCTCCCAAAACCTGGTCAATGCAAGGGAGCACGACCCCTTAACTTCTCCCCCCTACGCCCTCCCTTAGGTTTTGTTTTTTGATAATCGAGGCGCAGCCTGAGTCAGATATCAGATATAATTTTGATATAAAAAGCTTATATAAAATATTGGATGGGCGGCTGATGTCCTGAGCGCCGAGTACGGATAAAATATCGCTGGTTGTTCTGGTTATAACTGGGGCGGGCCCCTCATGTCTTTCCTCTGTGGAGTAATTGGCGGGTTATTTGAGGCCGGTTGCAATGAAATGTTCGTACTAGGGTACAGCTTGGGGCAGCTTCCGGTACTTGAGCATCAGCCGGGATTTCCACTATTTTCCACAATTTTGCCCTATTTCCCATCTTCACCCGATGTACCTGCAACAGTCAATTTTTGTACCGGAGTACACTTTCTCCGTTCTCTCCGACCTCGTTGGTGCCCGTGCCTGTTTCGGGGCGCAACGATCGACTCACCACCGAACCTCACCCGGGCCACTACGACGCACTACGGTATAAGATATGGCGTGGTCCCCACTGAGACCAGCTCTGAGGCTGTGATCATCAAAGGTTTTTTAAAGAGGGGCATTTGTGGTCCTGCTATTCCTTCTATCGCTGCTGATAATCCTACGAGTAACAAGTGCTCCGTCCGTACGTATACATTCAATCTCCTCCGCGCCCCTACTATCACGTTCTGTTCTCTCGTCCAACGCAAGGCGACCTATCGAATTATCACAAAGGGGTCCAGAGCTGACCGTATATATAGCTTGAATTCGGCTTTCTCTCCCCTTGGCCCCTCCTAGCAAGAGAAACGACAGGCGATATTCATACACTACTCTACACATCCTTACTTATACCTCCACCGACGCCGGATTGAAAATTGGATAGCCCATTCCCCAGCACATGGCGAGTCAGTGACGTGTTTGTGGAGACGCAAACTAGAACCGGTTTCTATTTCGAATTAGAATTGGCTCTACCAGCCTCGGCCTAAACTTCCCGATAATTGAAACGGGAATTAACGACCCTTTCAACTTCCATCCCATCTAATATATCGCCATAATTATGGCCTTCAGGTCGAGAATCACGAGGGCTGCGGCCTACGGATCTGGAGCTGCTGTCCTCGGTGGCGGTGTCCTATACTACACCTATCGCCCACGAAACATCCCGGGTCTCGAACCGGCGGCAGTGCCACCGCCTGGAGAGCTCCCGCCGAGGTTCCCCAAGGTCAAGTCGAGAGACGAGCAGATCGCTGATCTGAAGAGGAGCGGAGGAATATTCACACCTACATCAACTGCAGTCAAGAATGCATTATTAAACCCGACTGTGGTGGACGAGGTTGCCATCACTACACCCCAAGATGACGATATCTACGATCTCCTCGTCATTGGTGGCGGTGCGACCGGTGCCGGTGTTGCGTTGGACGCGGCAACTCGTGGATTGAAGGTCGCGATTGTCGAGAGGGACGACTTCAGCTCTGGTACCAGCAGCAAGAGCACGAAGCTCGTGCACGGTGGTGTGCGATACCTGGAGAAGGCGTTCTGGGAGATGGATTATAACCAGTACAAGTTGGTGAAGGAGGCTCTGCGCGAGCGCAAATACTTCTTGGATACCGCTCCCCATCTGTCGTCGTGGCTCCCAATCATGTTGCCGCTGGACAAGTGGTGGAAGGCACCATACTACTGGGCTGGAACCAAGGCCTACGATCTTTTGGCTGGGTCCGAGGGAATTGAGAGCTCGTACTTCTTGACGAGGAGTAAGGCTCTTGATGCCTTCCCCATGCTGAAGAGGACGGATCTCATTGGTGCGCTGGTCTACTACGATGGTGCGCATAACGATTCGAGGATGAACGTCTCATTGGCTATGACCGCAGCACTGTACGGCGCGACTGTTGTAAACCATCTTGAAGTGACAGGACTGAACAAGGATGCCAATGGCCAGCTTTGCGGTGCACGCGTCAAGGACGTTGTCCGCGAGAAGGATGGCAAGAAGGCTGAGGAGTTCACTATTAGAGCGAGAGGTATTATCAACGCAACCGGCCCATTCTGCGACTCCATCCGTAAGATGGACGAGCCCAGCATCAAGGAAATCGTCGCCCCCAGCTCTGGTGTACACATCGTGCTCCCCGGATACTACAGCCCGTCGAACATGGGCTTGATCGACCCTAAGACTTCTGATGGCAGAGTTATCTTCTTCTTGCCTTGGCAGGGAAACACCATTGCCGGAACCACCGATGCCCCTACTACTATCCAGCAGAACCCCATTGCTGGTGAGGATGAGATCGACTGGATTCTGTCCGAGATCCGTCACTACCTTGCCCCAGACATCAACGTTAGACGCGGTGATGTCCTCGCTGCTTGGTCCGGTATCCGCCCTCTCGTCAAGGACCCCAAGGCCAAGAACACCGAATCCCTCGTCCGTAACCATCTCATCGATATCTCCGCATCTGGCCTCTTGACCTGCGCTGGAGGAAAGTGGACTACCTACCGTCAAATGGCCGAGGAGTGCGTTGACGAAGCCATCACCACTTACAAGCTGAAGCCAACCCGCGTTCTCAACGCCCCATGCGTCAGCGGAAGCACCCAGATCGACGATGGCGCAACGCTTGATGGATCCTGCCAGACTCATCAAGTTAGACTCATTGGCGCCCACGGCTTCTCCAAGACCCTGTTTATCAACCTGATTCAGCACTACGGCATCGACACCGACGTTGCGAAGCACCTGACTGGTTCGTACGGTGACAGAGCCTGGACCGTTGCTGGCCTTTCCGAGCCCACTGAGAAGAGGTTCCCGGTCCGTGGCAAGAGATTGTCCCCGCTATACCCCTTCATCGATGGCGAGATTCGCTATGCCGTTAGGCACGAGTATGCCCAGACAGCCGTCGACGTTATCGCTCGCCGCACTCGTCTGGCGTTCCTCAACGCCCAGGCCGCCCTCGAAGCGCTCCCGGAAGTTATTGATGTTATGGCCTCTGAGCTCAACTGGGACAAGAAGAGACAGGAGCTGGAGTGGACTGACAGTGAGTCCCCCTTACCCCTCAGTTAATGATTAGTTATTATCGATTAGTGATCTAACATGTGAATCAAGGCTTGAAATTCCTGGAGAGCATGGGACTCCCTAAATCGAAGCTTTCGGCTACACGTAAGGCTGTTGAGAGCGGAAAGCTGGCGTTCAAGGACTCCGACGAGTATAAGATGTACTCGAGGCACAACGTGGCGCCAAGTGAGCCGTTGACAACCGACGATGGAAAGACCAAATCTGAGTGATAGATCCAACGGTTAGAGCGGAAGGGTATGTCGAATGCCAAAGATAGATCTTTCGGGTGTATATACTGTGTTTTTAGAGGTTAGATGTATTCACTTAATACTCCATGGCAATGGATTAATAATACCTCGGATATGTCATGTGGCGTGTTTATATGAAGATAGACCTTGAATAAGAATATAAATCACGTGACTACTGATTGTGTACTGACTACGGCATAGCTGACCATGGGACCGGCTAACCATTCTGCGATAGATTTAAACATTTTATTTTTATTTATCCAGCATAAATCGTCACTCGGACGGCGTTGTGCCACCAGCGGCGAATAGAAAGGCATGTGAAGCGAGGCTACTCAAGTATACCCGGCGGTCGCGGTTACTATGTACAATGGCAGTCTAACCAAGCCTCGGCAACTTCCCCAAATTCCCCGCAATATGGAGACCCCACGTTACCGAACGGCCGTGGCAGATATCAGATTGCCTTAAGCTTATGGTATTTATGTAGCAAAGGGGACGCTGTTCGTCATTTTTGATCATACCATTATATACCAATCCTAAATAACTATTTCTCCTTCAAACCCGACCAAACAATAATACCACAAACACTTCTCCCCATCCTCCATCACCCCTAAACCGCAACCATGGTCCGCTCTGCCCCCAGCAAGAGATGCTACGTCCTCGGCGTTGGCATGACCAAGTTCATCAAGCCCCGCGGAAAGGTTGACTACACCGAGCTCGGATTCGAGGCCGGTGTCAAAGCCATGCTGGACGCCCAGATCAGCTACGACGATGTTGACCAAGGTGTCGCCTGCTACTGCTACGGTGACTCCACCTGCGGCCAGCGCGTCTTCTACCAGTTCGGCATGACCCAAATCCCCATATACAACGTCAACAACAACTGCTCCACCGGCTCTACCGGCCTCCACATCGGTCGTGATGTCATCTCCAACGGCGGCGCTGACTGCGTCCTCGTCATCGGCTTCGAGAAGATGAACCCCGGCTCCCTCCAGAGCTTCTGGAACGACCGCGAGAACCCCACCGGCACCAGTGCCATGATGATGGCCGAGACCCGCGGCGTCACCAACGCCCCCGGCGCGGCCCAGATGTTCGGCAACGCCGGCATCGAGTACATGGAGAAGTACGGTGCGTCCAACGACGACTTCGCCGAGATCGCTCGCGTCAACCACGAGCACAGCCAGCGCAACCCTTACTCCCAGTTCCAGCAGGTGTACACGCGCCAGCAGATCCTCGACTCGCCCACCATCTTCGGCCCGCTCACCAAGCTGCAGTGCTGCCCTACCTCTGATGGAGGAGCCGCCGCCGTCCTCGTCTCGGAGGAGTTCCTCAACTCCCGCCCTCACCTCCGCTCCCAGGCTGTCCTCATCGCCGGCCAGGCTCTCACCACTGATGCCCCCAGCTTGTTCAACAGGAGCTCCATCGACCTGATGGGCTACGATATGAGCAAGGCTGCTGCTGAGATTGCGCTCCGCCAGGCCGGCCGCACCACCGCTGACGTCCAAGTCGTTGAGCTCCACGACTGCTTCTCCGCTAACGAGATGGTCACCATTGACGCCCTCGGCCTGTCCGAGAAGGGCAAGGCCCACGAGCTCGTCCGTAACGGCGATATCACCTACGGCGGGAAGTACGTCATCAACCCCTCTGGAGGACTCATTTCCAAGGGGCACCCCCTTGGTGCCTCTGGTATCGCGCAGTGCGCCGAGCTGGTGTGGCATCTTCGTGGATGGGCTAACAACCGTCTGGTCCCCTCTGGAACCAAGGTTGCCCTCCAGCACAACCTTGGCCTTGGTGGTGCTGCTGTCGTCACTGTGTACGAGCGTGCCGATGGCCAGACCGCAACTAAGGTCTCGGATGAGGAGGTTGGAAAGATTAACGGTCTGGGTTACAACCCAGCTGTTGTGGCGAAGGGATTCACTGCTGAGCAGGCCTCGAAGGTCAGGAGTAAGAACCAGAAGAGCGCGTGGGCGCTTGGTGAGGCTGAGGCGAAGGTTCTGGCCCGCTTTTAGATAAAGTGAGCGGATAGGGGAGGGAGCGGGAGATGTTGTATTTTTTGTACATTTGAAAAAATTGCTAGCCACGCTATGATGAAGTAGATATTATATTATATCAAGTTATGAATATTTCAACTCTTACGAGATTGTTCTGATGAGAAGTGACTCAATGTTAACAATATCCAACCCCCTTTTATCCCCATCCTTGTACGTATGACCCCCCTATTCCATGCGCATACGGAATAACCCTCCTTGTCTCTGTTCACTGTGTCTCTGGTTAGGCCTTCCCTCATTTTGCTGCTCATCATGTTAATATACGTACAGAGGCAAGTTGAAATAGGGGTTACATACTACATATATATGGCGCATTTACAACTTGAGGCGGGCCATTTTTCAACTCGAAAGTCTTGCTATTACATTCTCCCGTTTTTAATTTTACGCAGGATTTCCCGCTTACATTCTGCACATATCACCTGAACTTGCTGCAGTTAAGGTATGAGAGGCATCTTATCCGTATGTGGTTACCCGTGTGTGGCTTCCGTTGTATCTTATATTATTTCACTGCGCATTATACCAATGTATGTCGGAGTTTCATATTTAACCCCCTATAAAGACCTTAGATAACTCCTCATATTTAGATATTTATTCATCTTCTGCATCCAACTCTCACCATTAGCCTCGAACGTGTTGTCTTGTAAAAATACACAGCCCACGAGGAAGCTACGACCGGCCTTGCTTGATAATCGTTCTTTCCATATATAAGACCTAAAAGTTTCGAGGAAGCTACGACCGGTTTTGGTTTATAATCGTTCCTTCTATATATAAAACCTAAAATTTCCAAGGAAGCTACGACTGGCCTTGATTTATAATCGTTCCTTCCATATATAAGACCTGAAAGTTCTGAGGAAGGTGCGATGGAGGTTTTGCTTGGTAATCGTTCTTTCCGAATAGTATTTGCAAAACTTATTATGAACGATTCAATGCGTTGTCGCTAATGTAGGGTGAGGATAGGACACAATTGTGATTAGATGGGTAGACTATAGTATTGTCTTATTTATAAGAATACTAAATTGTTTTTGTTGCCTTCTGATTAATAGGGGCTATTAGCACGCCTCGGATTCAACAAAAATACGGCAAGTATGACTTCACTACTGTTCTCGTATGTATAGATTAGGCCATATATAATGCTAAGAGTGTCCCCTTTCTTAATGGCAAGCAAGAATGGTTTGAACACGGCTTTGTATGATACTAGTCTATATTTTATAGGCGGAGCTCTTCACAACCTGCTGCGGCACTTGGCACGAAAGCCCACCAGAGAAAAATAGGGATAGAAACGAGTGGGTGTGTGTATACTCTGACTTTGCAAATTAGAAAATAGAAGTGAGGGAGAATGCGCCTCTGGCTATGTTTGTAAAAAGACGAGGTGGGTGTTGAGGGGGAAAAACAAATCATAAATAGATAGGGGTAAAAAGGGGGTCGAAAAAGAAAAGATTTTGAACAATTATTACCTGCATTACCATAATTCATCTCATAACCTTTCATAACTCATATCAGTTACAAGACATCATATGACTGCCCCCCCCTTTAGAAGTTTTAAGCTCTGTGCATGCACACTCCTCACCCCTTGGCTCCAAAGTGACTCAACCCCTCCGTTCCCCGTATTCCGCTCTCCAAATAAGCGCCCAGTAAACATTTCATTTCATCTCCTCCCCCCCTCAGCGGCAAAGATAAGAGATAACCTATGCGCCGTATAAAAATAACCCACAGCGAATAGACGATGAAACAGAGCCCAGAAGAAAACAACGCACAATATCACATACAAACCAACCTACCCACGCGCCCCAAAACCTACCAAACTTTCTTCCCCCCATTTAATTGGCCAATCCACCTCCCATCCAATCACCCCGCCGCCCCCAAACCTTCATCAGTTTCGCATACCGTCCCTTACCAACAAAGGGGTCCACGGTCTCGACCACCCCAGAACCACAGCTACTACTGCATCTCATCCCCTACATCCCCGTCCCCATCCCCGCCTCCACGTGCGCCTACCCAAGCTTCCACGCACCACCAAGACACGCACGCAAGGGGCTTCACTATCACATCTCCCTCCCCCCCTTGCCCGCATCTCCCCACGGTACCAGTCACCCCGCAGACGTCATACCACCTCCCCCGCGCTTCGAGAACCAGTGCCGACCCCACCCCTGCCAGCGCCGCCACAGCACAGTAGCACGCAGAACCCGATCCCACGGTCCGCCGGTTTAGCGCCCATGCACGTGCGCCGTAGTCACTTCTACTCCCCAGGGTGAACCCCTACAGGGCGCGAAGCCGTTGGCCTGCGTCGATCGGGGTGACGTGCATGGAGCCGCCTGGGGGTGCATGGAGCCGCTGGGTTGGGGATCGAAGATGCATGGAGGAGAGGAAGGAGAAGGTGATCGCCACGGGCGCGAAGCCGTTGGCCTTGGTCGATCGGTCGCGGGGGTGCCATGCATGAACGACATCGACACTTGAGCCGCCGCCGGGGGTGGGGAAGTGACGTGCATGAACCCGGGCGTTACGCCGATGCGATGCAGGGACGGGAGCGCGCTCGTTGGCTGGACCGGTCCGGGTTCTCGGGAAAGGGGCGAGGGGTGCGTTGGTTGGTTGGTGGCGGCTTCGGTAGAGTCGGGCGGCTAGGGGGGACCGGGCTTGTGAGAGGGCAGAGGGGAGAGGGCGGCGCGTGGGAGACGGAAATAGCGTGATGGGATTTGAGATGCTGATGCTGATGATGATGGGGAGGAGGAGAAGGGGGGAGGGCGCGTAAGGGGGCGTCGACCCAGCGCTTCGGGGCGGGAACCGACTGGTTGGGGGCCGGGCGCTTAGGGGGCGTGGTGGGCGGCTATCGTGCGACGACGACTGGAGCAGCAGCACCACCACTCCCAACGTCGGTTCGACCGAATGCGAGGGAATAAATCGCAGCGCTTAGAGAGACAGAAGGAGAGGAAGGAGACGTGAAAATAGAAAAGGGAGATGACGTGAGGAGACGGAGGGAGAGAGACGGAAATAGATTTTAGATTTTGATGAGAACGGGAGAATATGCAGGTACCGTTTTTTTACGCGCCCGCCATCGCGATCTCCTGGCCCTTAACTGGACCGCTGTTCGCTGAGTCGTAAATTAGAACAGGGAATTCGGCTTCGCTCAACCAGTG